CGCGCGCGACTCGCACACGCATTTTACGAGTCAGCGGCAATCCGCAAGATCTTAACTCCCCACCATCCTCCCCCTTTTCCATCTCAACTCTTTTCAGCTCACCCAGGTGTATTCCTTGGCCCACTGTGACAAAGAACACACTGAAAGGAAAAGGATTCTATTTCTATTTCTCCAAAAACCAATACTATCACTTGTTTTATAAGTAAAGTAATTTAAGTGAACAATAGAAAACAAATAATATCTAATATTTAAAAAATATACTATATGAAGGTGAAGGGTAAAGTAATTGTTTTTAAGTTTCAATTATTTATTTATGATTTTCTCAGTGCAGCTGAAGTTGAGGAGCCCGATTCCGATTCTGATTCCGATCCTGGGTCTTATTCCGAGCCCGAGCCTGGTGATAGCTTACTTAGTGACTGCGACTCCGTGTGTGTGTAGTGTACACACGAAGCGGATTTCTGCAGGCCGCGTCGCCTTATTTAGGAGATCGTGATAAAAGTTGGAAGTCGCTGTGATTTATGTCAGCGCTTGGTCTCCGGATCTCGAGCCCAAGAATCCCTCACCTTCCGCCGAGAAAGCGAAGAATGCCCCGCTCTCATTGAATTTAAGTGCCAAATTAGGAGCAATATCGAGCCACAATTGCCGAGGATTCGTTTCGGGGTTCTGTGTTCTTGATTCTGGGTTCTGGGTTCTCTCCAATCTGAATTGCCAGTTCTCGCAGTCTGCCCAGATTGTCAACCGAACTGAAGTGAGCTGTCACGTTTGCGGTCCGCTTATGTCAGCTTCAGCTGCAACCGGCTGCATCCCTCAGATTTCAGACTTCAGAGCTCGCAGTCTTCCCAGTCTTCGCAGTCTTGGAAGACTTCGCAGCCTTCGACCGCCTTTAAGCCCTTTAAAATGTGTTGTTATGATCGGGCGGCGGCGATAAGTTGTGCCTTCAGATGGGAACGCGGTTCCAACTGAGCTGAAATTGCAATCGCAATCTGGCAGCCTGGCAGCCTTGCCACAAGCTCTAGAGTTACGCGGCACTGGGCCTTAGGTTTTGGCTTTCGATGCAAATCATTTTACGTGTTGGCGACATTAAGCGCGAAATGACCCCGTTATCCCACTTGTCATCATCACTTCATAAATTAATGCTAACCGAGGAGGTAGCCACAGACACCGGAGATCGGAGTCCCATTCCGTGGGACTTGGCTTATTTTCATTTTCGAGGCTACGTTGGTGGAGAGTCTCTAGCGGAAACAGAAGTTGTGCACCAAGAAAAACAAATAACCTTAAAATATCCCTCAAATTCCTACAGCTGAAATATATTGAATGGTTTAAGCTAATAAAGAAAGGCTCTTTTGCTCCCAAAAATAGTACTCCACAGACATCTTTAAATTCCAAGGTTTGCAAAGGTTTTTGTTCTATTCTCTGGCCGAGAACCTCCCCGTTGGCCTCAAATTTGTGCAGACAAATTGGTGCCTGGTGTTTGGTGGCTGGTGGCTGGTGTTCGGTGCCTGGTTCCTGGTGCCCGATACCAAGTGCCTTGGACTTGGCCAAAACGAAACCAAGCCAAGCCAAGCCAAGCCGCGCAGTGAGACACTCGGTCTGCGACTGCGTCTTTTGGGCGTGTGTGCTCCGCTTCGCGATTACGATCACTTTTAGATCCAATATATCAGGGGCGCGTTGACGGCGTACATTGGACGACAATTGATATAAGTTGTGGTGAAAAGTTTAGTGGCATTCAACGATTGCTTTGCTAGATTAAAAGCGACAGGCAGCCAGTCCCAGTCCCAGGACGGGACTGGACTGGACTTCAGTGGAGTGGAGTGGAGTGGACATGGTACTAGTACTGGACCTGGATGCTCGACCGGGATCTGAAGCCTGAAGTCGGCCACAAATCTTTTTTGGGCTGCGCCGCAATCACAATGCCAAGTAAAACAAACCAGAGAGCGGCGAAAAATGCGGAACAAAATAAATAAATAAGGGAAAATAAGTTAAGGAGCAGGCAGACAAGTCAGCAGACAAATAGCCGCGAGTTTGTACGTGCCGCTTCGGAATCCGTTTGGCCAGATATACCATATGTACTCTCGCACATATCGCACTGCCACGTACCGCTGCCTCTGAGGGTGTAGATTGCCCCCATGGAGTGAGTGCCTTGCTCCCTGCACCTCGTGGCAGTGGGGCTTTAATTGCAGATCCAGCAGCCATCAGCCAGCAGCCACAGGAGCGGCCGCCGTTAGCCGTAAAAAGCTGAATTATGCGATCCTACGTGACGGAGATAAAGCCGGAGCATTCCGAGCCTCGCTCCGATGCTATCGGATCGGGATTACGAATGTGTATATGGCCAGCCCACTGGCACTTATTACGTACGAGGTGGGCAGAATTTGGGAGAAGTTTGAGTACTCTCTTTTAGGGTAAAAACCAATTGTTTCCATCTGAAATGTGCAGCTTTCTATCCCTTCAGTAATACCCCTCTTCAGAAAGAGTATTCCCAGTTTATCAGCAAGCGACATCTAATGAGTTAGACATCGTCTCTTAACGGGTCCCAAAGCCCCACTCCGAATACCAAAAAGTATGAGCTGGAATCTGCTGCTGCTGCTGCTGAAGTTGCTGAAGTTGCTGCTCAGATGCCATATATCTGTCGCACCTTCGAGATCAGCTTTGATCGGTTGGAGGAGGCTGGAACCTGTTGCCAAATACCTCGCTAGATCTGACTGCGTGAGATTTACCCGCGGTCTTAGACAGAAACCCGAGTGAGTCAGTGGTGTAAGAAAACGTTTCTGGTAGCCACTTGGGGTTTGTGAAACGCGGTGAATCAGGCCGCAAAAGAAATCTGCATGTGCAACCGAGGAAAACCCAAGTTGTCACTTTTGGAGGGACGGAAATTGCGATGATGATTGCGCTACTGAAGTGTTGAATCAGTTTTGGGCCTAGCCAAAAATAATCAACGAAATTTGGATTGGAATAGGAATAAATGATTATTACCAAAGATCTCATTGAACACAAAATATTTAAAAAATATGCTAATAATATATTTTAATATTATATTTTTATCCCTTTTTTATATTTAATATTTGTTAGATTTTAATAACTTCTGACAGTGCTGTATGGCTTTTAAAATCACTTCCTGGCCAATTGCGAGTGGGTGGGCAGTGGCTCGCCCCTGAGCGTTGGCAACATGGCTTGGTTTAGTTTTCGCTGGGTTTCGGGCCTAAGCCAATGTGCGGCCAACAAAGCCAGCGGGTGACGGCGCACACAGCGGGTGCGTTTGGGCCTCCTTGCACCGCCTTTTGGCCCGGATTGACTCTGAATGCGACTCCGAGATGGCAGAGCCATTCCGCTCCTTTGCGATCCACTCCGAAGTCCAACTGCGTGGACGTCGTCCTTTGGCAGGGGAGGTGGAAACAGTTTAGGTTAATGCCACGGCCAGCAGCAGGAAGCGGCGGTTAGCTGGAAAACCACACGTGCCTCGGAAGGCGACCACATGCCGCCCCACAGCGGAGGTCAAGATAATAGAAGTGCCACCGAGAAATGCGAGACGAATCGCAGGCGATGCCAGTTGCGAAATGTCTTAGTTTCCTTTAGACAGATAGCTCTTAATATAAAAAATATAAATATAAATAGGTACATATAAATATATAGATAAATATATATAAATACATCTAAAACGCAGTACAAAGCTAACTTTTTATACCCATTTTGTATGTCCACATATTACCTATTTTATTTATTGAAATAAAAATCTATGTAAGTGAAGGCATTGTTACACTTATGTGGTTTTATATTCAAAGATATTATTCTTGTCAGTAATAACTCACATTTAAATGTTATCAAGACTTATTATTATTGAATGAATTAAATGCCTTAAAAATACCACAAGTTCAAACTTAAATAACTTCATTACAACTACCACTTCTTGACCAGTTGGCCTGGGGGCAGTGCTACCTATTATTCTGACCACCCCTGTACCTGCCGCGATAACCACAGGCCGCATTCTGGCCACAGGCCCATATCTACATGTCCTGGCCCACACTCGCCACAGTAGCTGTTGCAGCATTCGTTTCGCATTTGGAATCGCTTTCATTATGTGCAACTCGCCGTGGGTTTGGACCTTTTTCTCCCTATTCCGGGGTCCTGCCGCGTACTGCTAACATTTAAATTTGTGGAAAATCGAACCTGAAACTGAAACTGAACCTGAATCCGAACCCGAACCCGAATCGGAGTGAGGACTCCTCCGGGGCGAATGTTACGGCTTATCAAAACATAGTCAATATTTAATTAACACGAACGCAGCGGGCCGAAGGGAAAAGGGAATTTCGAACTTGAGAAATGATTTATGATCGCCTGTGAAAGTATAGTGCATATAGCATAGGCCCCTCCCTTTTCCCCGCTGCTATTTACCAATTGTGCGAGCCGACAAAGGAGCAGTTGGTCTTAATAGTTTGCTTAATTGTCGGTAAATAGTTAACCTAAATGCTCGGCAAACGCTGCGATGAATTGATTATCGCATCCCTCACAGGTACAGTGGGTTCTCGCAAAGGGGAGATACCGGCCACACATCGGAGGTGAGAAGTTTCCTGAACACACAGTGCGTACACCCACGTGCTGCAGATAAGAATTCGATCAGCTGAAGAACTGCATGTATGTAAAACTCTATATCGAAATGCACTTTATTGCAAACAATTTTTAACAAACTGATATTTAAAGTAGTTAAGAGATCGTTTGTCTTCATACTGAGGAAAACAAAAGACAACTAATGATATTGCAATTTGCAAATGCTGGAGGCAAAACATGAGAAACACGCTTTAATCTGACAGCTCACTGATGTTCTGTGTAATTTAGTTGTTAAATTAATTAACCCATTCATCTCAGCAGTTCACTGCATAATTAACTACTTGTGATTCCGTGTTGATAGTAAGAATAGTTGCTTATCCAATTACTTACTAGATTTTAACTAGTTCGTAAAGCCAGATCCACCTTTCCATAATTCCCACCCTCAGAAATAACACATTCGATTTTCTTGTAGGATTTTCTTTTAATTGTATAAATATGTTTATTTAATTACTTATTCATTCGCCATTTAACTCTAGGTCTGTTTACAAACTGCTTGCTGTTTATCCTTTAGCTGATTTATTTGGGGGAAATAAAACAGAAAATATCCAGAGGGAGGATGGCATTATTAATTATTCAATCTTTTATTATAAATAGCGGAAAACATTTACAATCTTATTGCCGGGCACTTAAAAGAAGGAAACAAAACAAAAAACAATTCTCGCATTATTTTTCGTTGATTTTGCGCACAATTTTTCTTTTTTTTTCTTTTTGTTCTATTTATTTTAAATTTAAGCCTAAACAAAACAATGCATATCGTAAATATTTATTTAATAATTGTTTTTATTATTATTATTAATTATTATTAATTTTATGTAATACATTTTCAACGTGGTTTTCTTTCGATTTTAAAATACAAATACTTATGATGTATGTGTGTGTGGTGTTTGCTTTTGATTGTTTGCGTTTTTAATATTATTATTAGGTTGTAATTAATTTTCATTACTCATAAAAGTATAGCGAGAGTGGGTGTAAATCTTTAATGTTTATTACGGCAAGATAGTTGCAGCTGATCGATGTTGCAAGTTGCTGTGGTGCGCTGTTGCTGTTACTGGAGTGTTGCTCTGTGTGTTGCTGCTGTTGCCTGATTTCGAAAAGCACAAGAAGCTCTGGCTTAATTGCACTTTCACCGGCAACACGAGCAACACACTCGAGGGGCAACAAGTTGCTATTGTGTTGCAAGCGGATTTGTTAGCTGTTTAAGTTGAGTTTCTGATGTTGCTGGTGGGGTGTTGCTGCTATTAGTTCTGGATGTTGCATGTTGCTGTTGGCTAGGTGTTGGCGGGTCGCAGTCAGTTTCGCCACTTGAGAGCTGCATGTGTTTGTTTTGTGGCTGCAACTGTTTTTAGGATGTTGCAAGTTCTCGGCATTAGGTGTTGCAAGTCGCAGGCTGCTTTGGGGCAGCTGCTCCATCATTTGCCGAAGCAGCCACGCCCACAAGTGTCCATGTGTAGATTTCTGCAAGTATTATTGAAAATGTGGTGGCAGCTGTTGCACTGTTCGCTGCCACAGTGCAACAATGCAACTGTTGCTGTTGCTGTTGCAGTTGTGCTGCTGCTGCGCCTGCGCAACATTTGGATGTACTTTTGCCTGCTGTTGATGGGGGCGTGGCAAGTGCATTGTGTAGACCAGATAACCGAATAGATTGGAAACCAACACCTGAACTTAGCATTCCATTCACTGTAATCGCTTGTCGTGGCTGTAGATTGCATCTAGTAGTTTAAGCAATATTGCAGTTTCTGGCGTTGCAGGTATATTTCTATATGTGTATTTATATATATGTTTAAAGAGTGGTGCATGGAGAAGTAGGCGGGTGTGTTGCAGTTGCCTCATCAGATCCCATTCATTCGTTATGTGTGTGTAAGATATAGCTGTGATATTGCGTGCTGTTGTTGGTGCGGCGGTGCTTAGATATCGGTTTTACTTTATATATTGCTCTGTGTGTGGTTTTATATATATTTATATATATGTTTATATAGTATTTTAGCTTATCGCCAAACACACTGACTACATCTACAAATAGAAGAGAGAGAAACGGAGAAATAGAGAATAATTCGTGATGTGGCAGAAAGTTACAATAATACAAAGTAATATTAGCATAGCTGGGTGCCCAAAATGATTTCGTTCCTTTATGGTTGGTTAGATGTGAATGATTTCGAGATAGTGTGAATATGATAATCAATCGAAAGAACCACTTATTCTGGAAATTAGTGGCTATCTGCACTTCATTTTCGGCTAATAACTATTTATATTTTCAGGGAAACCTTTTCTATATTTATTTTTAATACGAAAACTAGGGAATAAATAAATCCAACTGATTGTAAATCAAGAAATGCTTACAAATCTTTTGAATAAATAATAACAACTGCAATTTGTTGGTATTTCGCAATGTCAATATATGCATAAACTACTGTAATGTCTACTTATTTTAATTTATCGAAGGGGAACAGAACTTCCCCTAACATATAAATTTATGGGTTATTTTTTCCATTGCCTAATGCAAATTATTCATTTGTAGAAACCGTTTCCTATTCTTGTAAGTCCCCTGAATTGTCTCATTGAATATGGAACAGCATATTTTATTCATAAGCTCGTACTTGACTTCCTATTAACCAGCACCAATACAAAACCGAATTTCGAAAATAAGTTAGCCCTGTCCATGCAGTGATATCTTAAGTTGTTGAGTATTTACACATAGTTCATCATAATGACCTTTAATTGACAATTATATGAAGACAAAAAAAACATATATTTGGATCCAAAAAAAGTTAATTGTGAATTGGAAATATTTTTTAAACGCCTTAGCGAGTATTCATAAAGTATATATTTATTTTTTGAACCTAAGTGAACTCTATATATTTAAGTTCTTATTATTTTCTAAAAGAGAACACTCCACTTGACCAGTATAAAAATCAAGTTCGATCAATAGACTTTTCTTGGCACTGACTTCGTGTGGCAATGTGGCAATTGTGGATAATGGAGTACTGAGTTCTGTGGGGGATTAGGGACCCCTGAGTTGGGGATGTGGCTTACCTGTGCTGGCGCAGGTTGTCGCGCTGCTTGAAGTACTTGCCGCACACCTCGCACGAGTAGGTGATCTCGGGGGACTTGTGGGTGCGCTCGTGGATCATCAGGTTGTACGGCTTGGTGAACCGCCGCTGGCAGTACTTGCAAATGAACTCGCACTTCGGACGCATCTTGCGGCGGAAATCGGACCGGCAGTCATCGTTGTCGATTCGCATTACAGCAAACATTTTGACAGGCGATATGTGTACTTCTGCTCCGCGCTGAGTTTCGAGTCTCGATTGTTGAGTGTTGAGTGTTAAGTGTTGAGTGTCGGGTGTTGAGTGTCGAGTGTCGAGTGTTTGGCGCTTAGTGGGGTGCTCGGGGCTCTCCAAGCTGGGGGCTCCCGCTCTCGGCAAATGGGGATTTCAATGGGCTCCACTCCCGCTTTCCGTTGCCCTCTCAATCGCGCTCCGCGGCCGGGCTTTTCCACTCAACGGGGTTCGCTTCCAGCGGGTATCTGCTGCTTTCCTGCTTTCCTGCTTTTCTCGCCACCTCCACTCTAATCGCTATCGCCCAGATAACGCCGCCGGTTAATTGCTGCCTTTTTGGCTGCTTGGCTGATTGGTCGGTGAAAAGCGGCAACGTCGCTGTGCTCCCTCTTTCTCTTCCTCTTCCCCTTCTGTGAAGCGGCTTTATCTTTTTTTTGTTTCGGCGCGTATCGCTGCTCCGTGATTTCGCCTCTCCTCCCCTTTTTTCACGGGTGGCCAGTGGGTGGTGGTGTCGCGGTGGGCGTTGTTCAGTTTTCAGCTTTAGCTTCGGCTTTTAGTTTATGGCGCACTTTAAGGCAAACACCTAAAACAGAGGGAGACGCAAGGTTTAAATAAAGTTAGCAACGCCTGCGACAACTTTTATGGGTCGATAAATTTCGAGCGGAGTATACTATATGTAAAAATGTCCCGGCTTACTATATATCCGCACAGTTGCGGTCAAGTGAATAGCTAGGAGGGTAATTGATTCGAATTTCCCCCACCATAAATCTCGCACTCCCCCGAAACACTTCGCAATCGGGCAGCCCAGCTAATTTACCGATACTTAAACTTATAATCGCCACCTTCCTGGCCACAACTGTACGGTTGTTGTTGTTGTTTCCCCGCCTCCGAGATCACGCAACACGAAATCGACAGTGACTCATTAAAGGCAACCAAATCCGCACCTCGGATCGGTGTTGACACTTACAAATCACCCGCCGTCCAGACAACTGTTTTTCGCAGTTGCTAACCTTCGGCGGGCTTTATAACAATTTGTCTTCGGCGACACCAGCGATTGTTCACCGTTGTCTCTGGCTGAATGTGCCTGAGTATGTGCTTTTCCTCGGCGGAGTTCGTTGACGGAAGAGTACTGTACTTTGTTTCCGCAACACAGTTGTTCAATTAGTGGGGTAGGCACCAAGTAACAACTTGTTGTTATTCTACATACCAATTATCATTGCAAAAAGTTAGGATCACAAACAATAAAATGCTTGAACTCCCACAAAACCCAAAAAGGGCTTTCTATAGCAAAAAGACTCCCCATCCCGAGTTTAATGAAGTTATGACCATTAACAACCGAGTTCCCAGGGTCGGTTTGCTGTTTCTAAATGAACTGAGTCATCTCGCGGCTTCGGCAACTCCCCCGCCGCGTTATGGCCAAGTACAGTTGCCGAATTCCCCTGTTTTTGGCCACTTCATTAAGGTGGCGCTGTAACAAGTATATTTTTAATTGGCGCCTTGCGAAGCCGTCCGAAATTTATGCCCCTCAATGCGTTTTCCCTTCCCGCCCGCGCGGTAGTTAACAACTGTTATTTTTTATGTAATTTTATTTTTGTCATTTCGGCGCCGCTGGATTTCTGAATTTCTTCTTCAGCTAACTGGCTGGCTGGCTGGCCTTTTCATTTGGGGATATATATTTCCCAGATTTACTGGCCTTTTTGTTTCGCCGGGGCTATCCGGGAATTTTTCTGCGCGAAACAAAAGCCAGCGCTGACTGGTAGCGACAAGCGTCTCGGCAAGACCCGATTTCGATATTTATTTATATGTTATGGTGCTTTCAGCTCGCAGCTGGAACACTTTTGGGATCGAGAATGGGAATGGGATTCGGATTCATATTCGTATTCGTATTCGGAATGGGGCATGGGGAATGGGAATGGAAACGGGTTCGGTTTGGGGAGCTAACGTTGACAACAAAAGGCAAACGTCACAGCGGGTGTTGCACCGGCCGCAGACGGTACGTAGTTATTGTCATTATAACATTAATGCCCACTAAACATATTCAAATTATAACACTGAGTCGCGCTCGAGACCTGCACTGGCAGAAAAGGGAGTAGAGTTGGAGGGAAATGTTTTCGATTTGCCTCTTACCAATTAAAAGTAATGTAATCACAATAATTAATAGTAAATTTAATGGAAATAATCTCAAATGATCGAGCATGACTCTATCCAACTTTAAGATACAATTCCCAACTTGGGAACCCATTTTCCCCAGTGGGAAAGGTTCGGGCTTGGGTCGCTGATCGCATTGGTCATGTCTGGCGGGGACTCGGCTCAGATCGGCTCAGAGCCCGGCCAAAAGAGACTCCTCCGATGTTAATTTGTGTACACAATGTGGCGTCACATTGGCATTTTAACGCCGTTAATCATGCGACACAGGGCGCCTGCATAAGGCCATCGATTCGATGTGGATTCTTTGGGTCCGGACCGATTGGCCTCGCGTTTTGGCCATGCTTTGCTGGGCATTTGGACTTGGATTTGGATGTGGATGTGGACGTGAATTTGTCTCTGCTGCTCGGTGCCTGGGAGCGTGGGCCTAAGTGGAGCAGCATTAGCCACGGGTTGCTCTCCGGGGTTAAGCACTCTATTTGGCCATTTGCCGGATGCGTCGAGGGAACCCTCGAGAGGGGTGAAATTCGAGCTGACAATTGAATGAGCCCATCAATTTGGAAGGTTAAGTGAGTTGGAGAAGGAATAGCCCGTAAAATGAGTGGATGGAGTGCCAAGTATGCATTGCTGAATAATAATTGTGATTATTTTCTGAGCAACAAAGTCAATCCGAATAGTGGTAGTAGTTATTCATAGTCAGAAAGATCACTGTAATCCGTTGAAAATCCAAGCAAAACAATCTTCGAAATCCCATGCGAAGTCACTTGGCACCTTCTGCAATCCGGGATTCACGGCGATGTCCAACTGTTAGTATTTGGCAACTGCTCGTGGAAATCCGCTTAAGCGAGAAACGAACACCCACAGAACTGCCCAAATATTGTATAACAAACTGTTGTCCAGCGCAAAGATAATCCCATTAATCCGCACTGCAAATAATTAGTGTTGCATGTGGCAGGACTGGGATTTGGGATCTCGGATCTGGGATCTGAGGAACTGACCATCCGGGGAGATCTCTCGCACAGCGTGATCCTGACTCCGAACTTGGCTTGCCGTGAGAAGGGCATGCGAAAGGCGTTAATGCTGCGTGAAATTAGATTTGCGCCGATGGGAAAGGAATAAAATGGCCAGACAGCCAGGAGAGTGGGATTATGTATGAGCGGCGGAGGAGAAGTGCAGAGTAAGTGCGTCGGGGACTTCCACGAACCTCGGGCCGAGAGTTACAGTTTAACACCCCGAGATAAATGTGTAGCGGTTTGGGCGATAACAGGCTCACAACTCACAACCGAAAAAGGGCCAAGAGCAGTGCACACACGTCGAGGACGGGACATGGTCAAAAGCGATTACCACACTTCTTTCACCTCTCATCTCGGCCATCCCTTCGTTTCTTTTTTTTTTTGTAGGAGGCGGACTGTGAGTTGGCAAGGTGCCATTAAAAATTACAACCGAAAAGTGAAAAAACCGAAGCGAGAAGAAATGACAATAAAAGGACATACGGCTGCCAAGACAAAGGCACCGAAGTCCATTTGATACGAATCTAATTGTGCTAATGGCGCAGAATTCCCGGGAAAAACACCCACACACTCTCGGGGTCCTGACAACCGAACCACTAAGTCGGTGGAAACAATTAGGATGTGTGGCACAGGCACTTCAGCCCGAACAAAGGAAGGCAACCCCAAACACAAACACACCACAAGACACAAAGACACAAACACAATGCGACGTGGAATGGGGCTAGTATCCTCGATCCATCTCAAATCGGATGGGAATTTCGGGTCGAAGGAAAGTCGATTTCAGACGCTTCTCACCTTCGGCCGTTAAGATATGACAGTTGCTCAAAAGTCGGCGCAGATTAGCTGCCAGCTGAGCCCATTTACCGTAATCGCTTAGCTAATTAGACTCTAATTGATGGAGCGCTGCGGGCGGTCGAGACGAGGTCAAAGATCAGACAGTCGGGAGGTGAAGACAACGGACAAGAAATGGCCGCGAGAAAAGCGGGAAAAAGTCCAGTGTTCCTCAATACAAAAACCAAGATGGCACAAATAAATTTTTTGACAGAATTTGTTAACATTTTCTAAATTCTAAACGTTTCTTAAAAAGTGTAACAGTCGAAGATCTAAAAGGTTACAGGTACAAAGATTTTGATTTCTCGCACCTGTGCCCATTGCTACTTATTAAGATGCTCCATTCTTACAAGTTTCAAAAAGTTATCTGATTTTTACATTTTAGCATAGACTCACGGGATTTTTTGCACATTTGTTGGCCACTGAATAAAACCTTTGGTATTTTGAAGAAACAGGCGTCAAAAACTCTTTGAACATCTGTTGGCAACTGGAGCCTAACTCATTGGTATTTCATAATCGAATGAAAGAAGCACAAATGCATGACTCATAGCTAAATAACTTGTACAAAAACGGCTGATCAAATGATCTGTCGGACATTCTTGGCGATGATTCGCTGTGTTTTGTGCGTCTTGCGAACAACCTTCGACAAACTAGGCTTTTGTCCAATCTAAAATAAGTTTCTTCATGCTGACTCATCAACTTTACACGATTCCTGGCTTTTGACTTTAACCCGTGCCGACGGCTTTTGGGGCCTCAAAGGAATCTTCCAGTTGTTGGTAGCATATCAAAGAAAACCCATGAAAACTTTGCCTAAATCTTATGAAATATTTTGTATAAAAATTTAACCTTCAAAGAATAAGATTAAAGACTAAGGAAAATGTGCAACTCTAAATAAAATAACTGGTAATGGAGATTTTTTTTAGTTTAGTAAATTTGTTTACCGATTAAATCGTATCAAACTTTGCTTAAGTTTACCACAAAAAATGATTTTCAAAAACTTTTATGTTCTTTCAACACCAGAAAGGGCAACAGTCTGATTTGCGTCTTATTTCAAAAGTTCGAGATTAAGTGGATCACCTCAATTGGGAATATATGTCAAGATTGGTGGGCAAAAACTTTTACCGATCCAATAGGGAAATGTTCGGGCTTGCGTCCGCCATTTTGGCAAATGGCGACACTTTCTCACACACACGCACTCACAGACAGGGCGAAAAGCTCCGTTGGCCACACGCACGCCATATTAGACGCATCGCCGCTCTCCCTCTGGTACACTAAACTGCTCCTAAAGAGAGCCTGAGACAGAAAGAGAAGGCGATACACGCACCCGTGTTACGTGTGGGGCCTTTTCTTCTTTTTCTTTACTCAGTTTTCAGTTGTCCAATGAAAGCGGCGTAAAACTGGTAGCGAAACCAGTGTGGAAGGGGGAAGAACGAGCAGAAGAACACGAACGCCACCGAAGAGTGGACCGGAAGAAAGACTTACCCAATGGGGAGCACTGGAGTTACGCGTTCTTCGTACTTGGCCTGCGACTTAAATCGTTTTTTATAACTGATTTCCGATCGGCTTGAATCTGTTCTTTTGGGTACTCGCGAAGGAACTGATACTGATGTCGTTACTGATACTGATGCTGATGAGAGGGAACTATATACGCACGCTCGAGCGGCACAAAGTTGAATGAATGAATGCTACTAATAACTGAAAGAAATAGTAGTCGCCTCTGCCGTCGTCCTCTGCCGCCGTCGCTGCCGGCGTCGCTGCTGGCAAGTTGAGGAAGCGAGATCATCGCTCTGTCCCTGTCTGTTACTCAATTCGGTGGCACCGTGTGAGTGAGTGTGTGTGCGTGTGTGTACGTGTGTGTGAGTCATCCGAGGAGAAACGAAAAAACGAAACGAAACGAAGACCAGTAGCCGAAGCTACTGCTCATGCGCAGCGCTCCCTAGCCGTCCCTTTCGCTCGCGCTAAGTTCTTATGCGTAAGTGCAGTAGCTGGCAAACAGTAGCCACAAAATGGCGTCCCTTCTAACGGAAGCCAGCAAAGAAAGAATCCACAAAATGGCGTCACTTACCTATTGCGAAAGCTCCGAAATTTCCTTTAACAAACCACTTTGAATGCGATTTCGACTTGGTAGCACTGTTGGCCCGCAACTGTTGGGTAATATTATTAATAAAATATATTTCACTTCCGAACGCTTCTGTGCGCGAGAGTCAACTGCAAAGTTACGATCGAAAACTTCAGCTTGATGGGTTGAACTTTTTGTGTTTTTCCTTTTTTGTTACCCTCTTTTTTTACAGCCCTCTCTCGGTTGGCTGTCCCGCTCTGGCCCACTGGCTTAAACGGGGCGAACGGGTTTTGAGTGTTTCAGTTGATTGGCCAGCGGAAAATGAGCTAAAGAGCGGGCTGAGAGCCTGGGAGAGTGCGCGAGCGAGAAAGGGCTACCTCAGTTGAGTGTTTTTGAAGGCGTTACCTGAGTTGACCGTTAATTAAGCTTAAGTAAGCGAACATTTCAATTAAGCTAAGCGTGTTAATGAGTGAAATATGTATTGGTTTCTAAATACCTCAATATGCCCACCACCTATTTAAATTTGGTTAGACTGACTCTCTTTCTTTCTAGCTGCTGTTTAGTTAAAAAGCAACTTTCTTTCACTTATACCTGGGCACCTTTTTATTGGCGTGGGCGTGGCTTTGGGCGGCCTCCGTCTGTCTCTCTCTATCGTGTGCCTTTTCTCACTCTCACCCTCTTTTTAACTGCTTCTTAACCCGTTTTGTGTGCGAGCGAGAGGTGGAATTTAAAAACCAGTGGCTGAGCAGAGCAACCGTATTACGCGGCACTCAATTTTTTATATATAGTTTTTTCTTGATTTTTTGTGAAGCTCCATTTTGTTTTCAGGGCCTGGGAAACTTTTGGGCGATACCGAGTTGAGCAGAAAGCCGATTACGGTAAAAAAAAAATTCCGAGTTGAGCAGAAACGATTTTTGGACATAAAAAATGAACGTCCGAGTTGAGCAGAAACGATTTTTGCACATAAAAAATGAACGTCCGAGTTGAGCAGAAAACCGATTATGGTAAAAAAAAAAACAAAAACATCCGAGTTGCGCATGAACGCCTTTTCCACATAAAAAACCAATGTCAGAGATGCCACAAAATTATTATTAATTAAATAATTTAATTTTTCAAAAAAATGGTTCTTTTTTCAGTTTTCAGTTTAGTTTTTTTTTTTTTTGAAAAATTACTTAATAATCATATAGCATATGTATCAATGCAAAAGTGCGCGCGCACTTTTGCATTGATACATATGCTATATGATTATTAAGTAATTATTCAAAAAAAGGTTATGTTTTCTGTTTTTAGTTTTTTTTTTTTTTAGGAAAATTACTTAATAAGTAATTTTTCTCAAAAAAAAGGTTATTTTTTCAGTTTTTAGTTTAGTTTTTTTTTTTTAGAAAAATTACTTAATAATCATATATGATTATTAAGTAATAATTATTTGCAAATAAATGAATAATAAATATGTAATAATTATATGAGTAAGTAATGATTTTGACGCATCTCTGACATTGATTTTGCCCAACTCGGATGGTTTTTTTTTTTACCGTTATCGGTTTTATGCTCAACTCGGACGTTCATTTTTTATGTTCAAAAATCGTTTCTGCTCAACTCGGATGTTCATTTTTTATGTCCAAAAATCGTTTCTGCTCAACTCGGATGTTCATTTTTTATGTCCAAAAAGAGTGTCTGCTCAACTCGGACAATTTTTTTCAATTTTCTGCTCAACTCGGCTAGCCCCAAACTTTTTTCTCAAATTTCTTTTGGCTTTGCCGCCTTTGCCTTTGTGGCCTCTGCTTCTTGTGTGGCCTCCTTAGACCAAAGAAACATACAAAAAATACCATATTGATGGCCTGTTTATCTCTTCTGTCTCACCATATCTGTTTATCTTTTACGATTTCTCAATGAAATCTGAAAATTTGTGTCTTTCATTCAACAAAAAACTTTATTAACTTTACACCCAGTGTTTTTAATTAAGTGCGCCCGAAAAGGATTGTTTTTAATTAAGTTTTCGCCTGTCCATAAAGTTTAACAAATTATATTCGACTGGTTTTGGGCATTTTTAAGTGCAATTCGTTGGCAACTCCACTTTGATGGCTTCATCTTTGTCCGCCTCGCTTTGTTTTTTCTCGATTTGCGTCTGTCTTATTTGTTTTCGGATAAAATTTGCATATTTTAAGTGGGCAATCAGCGGACTCGAAAAGGAGACGAAACGTCGATTGCGAGGAGCTTCCTTATGAAGGAGAAACTAATAAGCCGTCCAGAGCAGATGATTATTTTATGGAATGTGATGAAATATATAACTCGAAATTGAAACTGCTCAAAAAAATGTCATTAAAATGGCAATCAGTCATTGAAAAGATCCTTGAATTTTGGAAAATGCCTTGCCGCAACTCACGGATCCTATTAATAAACACAGTTAAGACCAGAAAGAAATTCCAAAGACCCAATCGTTTGCCCCAGACAGTGCGCACAAAAGTATTAAATTTCCTTAATTGACAAAATTAAAAAGGCAAACAAAATCGGACAAGAAAAAATGAAGCTTGGTGAAAAATTAAAAATTCATACGGCAGCGATGCGGTCACATAAATTTTGAGGGCAACAAAGACCACAACTGAAAACGGACAGATGCAAAAAATATAATAAATATGTACGCGAAGATATACGGATGAATCTGTGGAAGCAGGCAAATGTCGAAGACGTGGGCGTTGAATGGGATCCGTTGGGGTTTTTTCGGAATAATTTTTTTATACTTTTTGGTTAATAATAATGAAACTGGACCGCAGCCACCGCAGCAAGGCGTTGTCAACAGTTGGCGACAAAGGTGCTGATGATTCCGATGATGACGATGACTTGGTTCCATCTTCGTATTTTTTTCATCATTTGGCACACGGTAGTTGGCTGGGTTGTCATTTAACTTCGGGTCTCCGGTCTTCATTCAAGGTGTGCGAGTACTGAAGTACTGTGAAGATACTCACAGAGGGAAAAACTATGATATTTTTACGGGTTATGTTTTATGTATAGGAAAATCTTTTCTCTAAATAAATCGTAAAGCAGTTATAATCAGATCCGAACAGAAAGTCATGCCTGGAAAACTTATGAGTCAAATAAGAAAAGTTTTTTTTTCCTTAAAATATAATTTATTTTTGAAATCCTATCTACGCAACACTTTGTTTTACAAGTGTATCTCCGCCGCACCAAAGTCGTGACTTGATTTATTTTTTGGCCCGGACTTGTGTTTTCACATAAATTTGAATTATGGTCCGCTGGCTCGTAAAGTCGCAGGGTGATGTGTCTATTTTAACAGTTAGTCGCGGGACGGAAACCGAACGACGAACGATCTATCAATGAATCCGCAGCTGAATGAACTGGCCCGACCAATCTTGATCGGATCCTCATTTAATATGCAGCTTTGATCCTCAGTTTTTATGCTAATTTTCGTTGTTCGGTTTTCGGTTTCAGTCTCCGTCCATTGTTCATTTTTGGGTGTTTGCCGTGCGGTTTTTATTTAATTTTAATTTTTATTTCGTAAATTTTAAATTTGTTGTCACTTCTGTGGGAGCAGTAAAGTTTTTCACTCGCCCGCAGTCCTATATGAATTGTTTTTATTATAATTGGGTGCGGTTCGCAGTGGTTCGGTAGTATTTCTGCAGAACTCCATGAATCGATCCCATTGTTTAGCTCCAATAAAAGCTCACACAATCTCACGAAGAGCTCTCTTTTTTGTGAGGCAGCCGCTATAGAAATTAATAAAATTTATGGTTTATTTGGAATGTTTGTTCGTTTCTTCGGTCATTAATTTGCCATAAAGAAGTAGGCAAAAGCTTTTAAAGTGGGTAGACAGGATGGAATCTATTGTTCGGATGGGTGAATGACGTTAGTTAAGTTTTAAAATCAATTTCGAGTTTAATAACTTAGTGGGGAGCTAAGAATTGATGTTCGTTAAACGCGTACATTTTTATTTTCTTTCCTTTTTGTAATTTTCGAAATTCTTAAAACTAAATGGGTATGTAAAACTCGGTTCAGCACTTGATCACAATACCCCTTCCGTCGATTTACTCTGATGATCAATTCACTCTACCACTTGACCTCATACATATAAAAGCATTCCATCCCCACCGAAAATGTACTTTTGTAACTTATCACTGCCCCATTGATCTGAAAAGGTGTCAACCCATGTCTTTATCGTTTCTAAATAGAAATCCCCTACCGCTTTGTGCTTAAAAACTTGTAAATTGCGTTAATTTCCAAGGAACTCAATCCCCATTCAATACAAATTACCAGCCCACATCTTTTCAAACATTTTCACCTGGATTCTAAGTGATTTACGATCGATTTAGTTCTTTGGTCTTCTCCTAAGCGCCACACGAACTTCCGTTCCGAACATGGGGGATATATATTCTGAAAAGTGTCACCCACGCATCAAATTCGAATTGAAATCAATACACTGCTGCACAGAAAACAAAAAATTGTAGGCAAATAAAGCTCTGTCAGAAGCTAATTTTTTTTAGTTAGTTTTTTGTTTACATTTACATTTTACATTTACATTTTTTAAAATATCAATATATAACTGAATAAAGTATTTTAAATAAGTATTATCAAATATTTTGTTTTCTGTAAGCCGAGTACCATCAAAGCGAAGAGACCAAAAAATGTTTTATTACATTGATTTGCATTTAAATCGATGTTGGCGGCGGCGTCACTCTTTCCGAGTCTGGATGCAGGGGTATATAGGTTTCTAGAGGGGAAAAGACCGATGATTACGAACACAGCGAGCGGTCAAAATGTTGACAATGATCCCAGATATCCCACACCGAGATCAGGTCAAAACCCAACCCAAAAACCTTAAAAGTTTTCAATGAATTTGTTTCTTTTTCCGTCCACCATTCTTTCTCTTTGTTTGTTGAATGGGAAGCGCCGAAGTTTTCATACTTCAATCTGGAGACTTTTTCTCTTTGTATATTAGATCATAAATTATCAAACTTTGCATATATGACAAAACAAATAATTTTTTCGGTCTGTCGTGCTTCCAGTAGCCACCCCGCTGGGCCTCGAAGCCCCCCACCTCGCCTCGCTAGTTGGGCAAAATTTATTAGTTTTCCCATTTTTATTGAGGAATTACAAAGGGAGGCCATCGGGAGAGGAATCTTCGGGGTAGGTGGCGCCTTGCTTAGGGATTAGACTCTTCGGACTCTTAGGAGAGACCCAAAAGCGGGGAAGGGAGACCTTTGGGAGAGAAGCAATTCCCTCACGACTTAAGCTCACAAAATGCTTTTGGCCCGAGGCCAAAAAAAGAAACCTAAAAATTCCTTTTTCTTCATTCAAAGTTAAGTCGAAAACGGGCAACAGGTTTGCTTTTTTCGATATTGATGCAGTACAGGAAAACATAACAAATCAAGTTTAAGTACTAAGTAAATTTGGGAAAAGCTTTTTATTTTGAAAAGTAAGATTTTTTTTAAATGTCCACCTAATCTTTAGAAGTATTTTAGACAACGTAATCAAATTTGATATGAGGCAGATTCATAGCAAAATTTGACTTATTTTTTAGTATTGTCCTATATTTTATTATAAATTTCTTAAACCTTTTAACAACATTTGTACAACGTCCATTTAAGTGAAGTCGACCAGTAATCTGAACAATGAGAAAATGAAACTCGCGAAACAACAACAATGGGAGCAAGAGAGTCGAGCATAAGATCAACAACAACAACCATAACAAGTGAGAGCCCAGAGAGGCTCCCCTTTTGTTGTTGCTGCACCCAGTCACTCGGTCTCCTTCTTTTTATGTTTCTGTCTCACTGGAATGGCATTCGAGGAGAGAGCGTGAGCTAGTGAGTGGGAGAAGGAAAGATAGACAGAGTAAGAGAGAAAGAGAGAGTCCTACCGTGGGAAATGAACAGTAGTCGTCTTTTGGCTTTTTGCACCAACAACAACAGCAATAAAAGCAGCATGCCCAGCAACAACAACGGCCTGCTTACTGGCGTTCCTTCTTCCTCCTTCATCTCTTCTCACTCCCACCAGCGCCCCCTTCTCCACACCAACTGCTCTTGTTGTTGTTGTTGGATTAGTGAGCCTTTGCAATTTCACTGCAGTGCTTTGTTTTTTGTTGTTGTCGGCGCATTTCAAATAAGCCTAATAATAATGCAATTTATGCCAAGTGGGAGCAGTGCGAAGATAGGGAAAGAGAAGGGGAGAAACAGGCGAAAGAAATAACAGTAACAATGGATACACAATATGCATGTGTATAATACGTATACGTAATTTTTGCTATAATAAAAATAAAAACTTTATAATTCCGAGTAATTACAGTAAGTAAACAAGTTGAGCAAAATTATTGATTTACAATATCATAAATGTTTTATTTACTTCTGCAAAGGCAATTACTCATTCGCAAGAAACAGAAAGTTGTATATAAATCTAAGAGTTTTTAAACCGTTCTGATTTTCTAATTTTTTACCTTAGCCCAATTACTTGAATTAAAAATATCCTACACATTCTCCTTCTCTTTCGTCTGGGAAAAACCTTTTAGCACCTTCGGCTGGCCACAGCACAAATCATAACAAGTTGCGGGCAAAACCGAGTCCACATTTGGCCCAAACACTTCGTCTTGGCTTATCAGTTGCCGTGCCAAAAAGTGGGCAAACATGAAATCATGGAATACGGGATTTGTTATTTGGGTATGAAAACGCGCAATGTGGACGCGTATGCGAGGGAAAACACCTCTTTGCGGGATTTCGAGGGATTCCCAGGTTCAAATTGATTTGCTTATTTTAAGGTTGCGGTTACACAGGAAAAAACTTTTTCTGTAAGTGTTTCGTTTTATTTGCATATATTTCATTACACAATAACTGATGATGAGTTTTAGCTTGCAATCGAAATGATTTTTTTTGTAAATCCATTTAAAATCAAACCAAAAAATATGTAGTTAAAATTGCTGTTTCTTTTTCTCCCAGTGCATGGCTATTCTGAGAGGTAGTTGGGTGGTAGTTGCGATGTCGTCGGCGGCGTCTTTGTCAAGTACGTGCGTCACCGCCGAGCCGCCAGTGTACCGCTGCTGCTTCTGTCCCGCTCTAGCGCGGTCTATGGACCGTTATCTCCGATCGATCGGCGAAGGATCGCACGCGCTTGTTGGTGTGGCCAAACACGAGTGTGTGTGGTGTGCTCGTCCGAGGAGCAGATAACAAGGAGGTGATAATTGACCGCCCAATTGGCTTGGCAACCAATTACGAAACTTATCAGCGGCACCGGCAATCGAATCAAACGATCGTCAACGCTGGTGGTCCAAGTGCCTTGCCCCTGTTTTCGGCGCACTCGAAAAAAATCCTGCTCCTGGCAAAGCATTGATTGACACAAATTTAATATGATAACAGAAAACTATATTATCTGAAGTCTTTAGTTTTCTAATTAAACAATAAACTCATTGGAGTTTACATAAAATATATAAAAGTGGCTGCAAAATCCAGAACAATAAACTGAAACATTATTCCTGCCAGTGTACTATTCCTCCGAGTATTTATCTCTCGGGAACCAGTGCAAACGAAGCAACCGCACTCCCATTCGCGAGGTGTGAAAAGATCGGGCTGGACTCGGCTGGCATGCTAAGTAGTTCGTTATCTCTGGGCGGATTTTACGGGCTGTTTGCCAGCTCGGCGGTTTGGTGCAACTGCCGCACCACGATGTCCTGGTCGTGGGCATGCACCAGCAGGGCCACCTCCAGATTCAGTTGCGCGATGTCCTCCTTCAGCTTGGCGATCGATTTCCTGATTTGCTGCACCGAACCTGATAAGCGAAAAGGGGATTAGCACCAAATTCTGGGTGGTTTCTGTGAGGGATCTGGGATTACGTTCCCCAGAATCGGGAATCAGGGATAGCAAATATCATATCTTATCATTTAAGGGGAATTAGAGGGTGGAAGGTGATGGAACTCCAACTGATTGGGGAACTTTCCAGCCATGAAAGTGACTTGTCTTGCTACTCAAACTAATTGGTTTGACTTAATGCTTTGATTAAGCGTTGTTCATCTGATGTATATTAAGTCAAAACCCCCAAATACTCACTGCCATCGGACATGACCTGGCCTCGTCGCTCCATTTCCTCCTTCTTGAGCTCCTGCTCCATCAGGACCTCGTTGAGCTGCGCCGTCTGCTTCTCGGTGTCCGCCTGCAGTTGGCTTTGGGCGTACTGGATGGCGGACAGCTCGATGGACAGCTCCTTGAACTGCTGGATGAGCGGCTGGAGCTCGTTGTTCAGGTGCTTCTCGCGACTCTCGATCTTCTCCAGGCTGAAGGTGAACTCGCTGTGGAGCTTCTTCAGCTGGGCCTCGGTGGTTTCCGATGTCTCCGCTATACTGGCCTCCAGCGCCTCCATCTGGGTGATGTGGGTCCTCCAGTCGCGGGCATCCGCCTTGACGAACACCTTCAGTTGGGGCAGCACCCGCTCCAGCTCCAAGTGCCACTCCTGGTGATCGCTCATCCTGGCATCGAGCTCCTGACTGCGCTCGTCGAGGTTCACATCACCCAGTGACTTCTTTTGGGGTCGATTCAGCCAGTTGAGCTGCCGGAAGTTGTGCGCCTCCAGCTCCATGTCGCTATCATCGCTCAAGGCGGCTGCGTTCTGCTCGTCCTCCAGCTTCTCCAGTATAATCTCGGCATTGTCCTCGAGGTAGTCGCCCAGGAACTCCTCCTCCTGCGCGATGTGCAGCTTCTGGTAGCCCACCTTGGCCACCTTGCAGGCTTGCGTGGAAAGGACGTCCAGGACCATCAGGCAAATGGGTCCAGCTCCGCGGATCAGTTTGTTGGGGGGAAAGTCCACTGGGACATCCTGCGCAAAAATGTATTTAAAGGATGGAAAAGCTGTCTTATACTTATAATACTCACAATCTCCCCAAGCAATTGAATGATTTTGGCTGTCACGGTGTTGGGATCATCGTACTCCTGCGGCTGGTCCATGTCCTTGCCAAGCTTTTTGCACAGCCACCAGCAGATCAGGGTGAACATGTAGAACTGCTCCCCGGGATTGGTGGCCTTCACAAAGTAGAAACGCGACAACGGCTTCAGTTTGAATTCCTTCAGCAAGTGCTTCTCGTAATTGAGTAATTTCAGTTTTTCCAGCAGGTCATCCGATTGAAAATTTTGCAGTTGTTGTGCTTTCTCCTGTCCATCGTCTTGCTGCATTTTATTTCTTTTTTATTATTGAATATAACTTTGTTACCAAAAGACAAGCTGTTTTAAACATAAATAGTCACCTTGGTAACAATATATGGATAAACATAAGGCAAGCGCATGCGTTTTAGCTTGTTTTTGATTTAATTGCAAGTTTTTCCTTTTTTTTCTAGTAAATAAAAGATAAATGTTCATAGTTTGTTATTTCTTGATAAAATAATAATAATAATTTGATAAAATCAAATTCTTTAAAATGTTTCAAAACTGCACAAGTCATCCGACAGAGGTCGCCAACATTCAAAAGAAAATGTGCCCATCCGAGTTTCCAACCAATAACAGTGATGCTAATGTTGGAGAAACCTTATAGCGGGAATACGAAATCGAACAATCGATCGTTGCATCGATTTCTTAGCAACTCTAACTGCCATCACTAGCGTCACTTTTTTTGAAAAACATTTTATTTGAAAAACGATAGAACGAAACAAATCAAGCAAAATGTACACCAATCTTGACCTGAACGCCCTGAGTGTGGACGACATCGTGGAGGAGTACAAGCTGCTGCACAATCGCCACCAGCAGCTGAAAGAACAGAGCGAAAAGGACGCCCAAAGGATCTACGAGCTGAAGAGGAATCTGGACACCGCGCTAGCGGCCGAGGCCTACTTGACCCAGGAGCTGGAGCAACTGAGCAGCCAGCCGGTGGCCAGTAACTCGGATAGCGATTGCCAGGAATTGGAGGAACTACGCCGAAAGTACAAGGACCTTAAGGGGGAACATGATTCCCTGCAGCAGGACTACGACGGCAAGGTGGAGGAGTCCCTCGAGCTGAGGACTAAACTATCTGCCGCCGAGCGGGAACTGGCGGATAGGGCTACCTCCGGGTCAAACGATCCCCACGAGGAGTGCGCTGCGCGCCTGAACACCCTGGAACTCGAGAACAGCGAGCTGATGCAGAAGCTCTCTGAGTACGAGGACTTGCGAGTCTCCAGCACCTTGGCTTTGGCCGAAAAGAAGGTAGGCATGACCGTTCCTCGAACCTAAAAGAGTGCGCAACTAATGCAATACACGCTTCCACACAGAAAACCATCGAGTGCCTGGAGGATCGAGTGAGCTGCTTGGAGCAGAACCTCAACTGCAAGCGGTCCGAGCTGGAGGAGAAGCTGCAGCTGCTGGAGAGCTGCCAGGAGCAGCTGGTGGAAGCCAATGCCAAGATAGCGATGCTTACGTCTGCTCCGGAGAACAGTGGTAAATACGGGTTAGCCATATCCTTAAATCCCGATTCAAAGAGTATTATTTTACAGATCGCAAGGGCAACTCTCTTTTTGCCGAGGTGGATGACCAAAGGCAAGTCATGAAGCAGCTGCTAGCGGCCCATAAGAAAAGTTACCTGGACATGAAGAAGACCTTCGCAGACAGTCAGTTCGAGATCAGACGCCTCAAGCGGGAGAACGTGGCCATGCACACGGAGCTGCAGGCCTGCAGCACCATCTTCTGCAGTGCGGATAAGACCTATCAAAGTAAGTGTTACTTAGTATTTAGATATATATATTAAACTCTCTTTTTTAACGCAGACAAGCTAAACGAGCGCATCCGACAGCTGATGACCGCCAACGACAGTCTGGAAAAGCAACTAAACCTCTCTCAGGAACGGCTGCGCCAGCTGGCCAGCGAGAAGTCTGTCACCTGGCTGGACTCGATGCTGGATTTCTGCAAGTATGAGTTGCCCCTCCTGGTCGACAGCGCGCTGGCATCGCTCGGCAACCAGTTGCTGAGCCTCACCAGCTACGGCCTGTTCTTGCTGACCAGTTAGGTAGCCGGTAGCCCGCACACCCTAATGCCTAATCCTCATCCCCATTTAGACGCGAAACGGATGAGCTGAAGGCGCAGCTCCACAGCATGCGCATCCAGAAGGCGGGATTGGAGGAGCGGATGCGATCCGTACAGCAGGAAATGGCACGGTACGTCCGCTACATGTAACTTTTCTTTCATAAACTAATTGGAGCTGTTAACCTTGGTTGTAGTTGGCGCTTCGAGTCGCTTAAGTCCCGCTGTGTGCTTATTGATCGCGAAAATCTGCTGACGGAGCACAAGATCAGTTTTAAACCCGTGCAGGCTATGGAGTTCAACATCAAGGAGGCGGAGCTCAAAGCTGCGTTGCCGCGCATCGTCAGTGAAGCTCCCAAGTCTCCCACGTCAAATACTACTCAGCAGACATCTGCTTCAAAAACCTCATCCACTACTCACCCTACAGAGATTATAGTTCTCGATACACCCATAAAACCTGCCGTCAAAAAAGAGGAAATGGAGCCTGCCGAGCAGGATACAAAAACACTAACACCTGTAAGAGTTAAACAAGAATCAGGGGAATGCGGAGTAAAGAATGTGGGCAGCTTGCCTATTAAGACAATAATGGGTATAAAGATAAAGAAAGAAACCAATTTAAACGTGGCACTGGAAGCCCAGAAAGATTTTTCCTATCCGGAAGTGGAGGTAACTGAACCGAAAGGGTCTCCTCTCAAGACCAATGTCAGCCTTCAATACGGCGAAAACGACGAGAATATGAATGAAATGAACCAAAATGAAACAGAGGAAGACGATCAGAAGACTATTGAAACTCCAGCTAAGCCGTTGATGAAGGGCACGCCAATCAAGCAACGTTTGGGAGGCATAAAAGTGAAGTCCAACGAACAGCTGCTCGATAAAAGGCAGCTTTCAATAGGGACTCCTGCCAAGCCACAACGCAAAGGAACTCCGGTGAAGTTAATAAAAATAAAAGCAGAAGCTGAAGACAGCGACGAAGAGTCCCTTAAGGAATCTCCCACAAAGGCAGAAGGAGTAGAGGGCGTAGAAATCCTGGACAGTCCCACGCCACAGAAGCCACAACGCAAGGGAACACCCGTAAGGATTGCCAACACCAATGTGCGATCCATCCTCTCCAAGAAGAGGGAAATCTTCGCCGAAGATTCGCAGAAGGCGGTGAAGTTTAGTGCGAATGATCCCATCGTCCACAACTTGAGTCCCGTCGATAGATTGCTGGATGCGGAGGTCGCCAAGGAAAATGAGAAGCCATCGGAAACGGAGGAAGCCAAGGACGTTAAACCCACAATTAAGCGGCCGAACATCATACGGAAGATTGTCGTGAGCTCTCGGAAACCAACGATGAAGTGAATGCGTCAGCTTATCAAAGAACTTTTTATTTGAATTTAGACTAGCCAAACTTAACAATTAGTTATAGAACAAGACGCGGAGATTGCAAATATAAACAAATTAATAAACCTAACGATACCTAGGAAATGTCTCGCAGTTCCTCTAGCTTGGGGATCTCCTCCACGAAGGACAGATGATCGTAGATGGGAGCCGTGGACCCCGGAGTGGCCGCCAGCATCCCCTCCGTGTCGCCATCGTCATCCACGTGCTCCTTTATCTCGGCATAGAGCTGATAGGGCAGCTCCGTCGGCAGCGATTCGTAGGTGACGTGGTGCGTCCTGGAGCAGGCGGACTCCCTGTTGCCTGTGCAGTTGCAGATCGAGGTGCCTCCGCTCACTGGGGTTTCATAGCCGTCGGGCAGTTCGGTTTCCAAGTCCACCGGGGTTCCCCCGCCGTTGGCAACGGGATACCGCACTATGTCCACGTGGTCCACGAATCTGGGCCTGCTGGAGGACTTCTCGCCACCGAAGCAGGGCAATCCGGAGGCGTAGTAGGACAAGTGGAAGAGTCGCTCACAATGGAGGTACAGATAGAGCAGGAGGAACAGGAAGGCGATTCCCAGCGGCAGCATAAAGACGATTATCAGCGCCAGGGATTTCTGACTTCGATGCAGTTCCACGGGGTTTCCGTAGAGGACGGTGAAGCTGGACACGTTCCCATTGGGATGTGCCACGGGAACGGGAGCCGAGGAGTCCGAGCCATTGATCCTCACCTGCATTATCCTCCTCGGCCTGGGAGGCTCTTCCGTTGGCGGCTCTTGGGGCTTGCAGCTCAGGCCATTCACATTGATGTGGGATATATACTTTGAGTACTGGAACAGGCGGAACAGTTGTGGGTGCGAGTGCGAGAAGTTCAGCAGCCACTGGCAGCTCCAGGGATTGCCGTCGATCAGGAGGCGCAGTTGTGGGTTCCAGTAGGGGGACTCCGCCTTCTCCGTCTCCCTGAAGCTCATCAGCTGATTGGATCTCAAATCTATGAGCTGAATGCTAGCCGGGGAGAGCAATCCCACTTGGAAGAGGGACAGTGTCCGGAAGCGGTTCTCCTGCAGGTAGAGAGACCGAAGACTGGTGGTCCTGAGGAACCAAGTGGAGTTCAAGTGCTCCAACTTGTTTCTGCTCAAGTCCAGGATGTCAAGGGTACTTGGTCCGTCGTGAAAGCTAATGTTCAAGGACACCAATGCATTGCCGCTGAGGTTGAGACGAACAATGTCCAGATTTCGAGGGGGATCCAGGGAAAAACTTCTCAGCTGACAGTTTGTGAGGGTAACGTTGACCAGTTGGGCTACCCCTTTCTTCAGCAGCAATTCTCCGGGTTGGATGGGCGTGTCTTCGATCATCAAGTCCGTAAGGTTTTCGGGTAAGCTTTCCAAGAACTTTCCCTCTATTTTTTTTATATTTCCCAAGCTCAGTTTTCTCAACTCCGACATCTGCATGATGAAGTCGTTTTCCTTAAGGACTAGATCCGCTTCGTCTTGGATGACCAGCTCCTCCAACTCAGCACAGCCCTGAAGCTTTTCCAGGTACCTCAAGGAGTTCTGCTGCAGTTGGAGCACCTTTAAGTGGGGCGAGTCCTCAAAGGTATCCCCACTCAGCGTTCCCAGTTCATTGTTTTTCAAGGAAACCGTCGACAGGTGGGACATTAAAGCTCCGCCACAGCTCAACTTCAGACTGGCATCGCCCACGAAATGCTGAATCTCCACACTCTCCAGATCCACACAGTTGTCCAGGTACTCCAATCCGTAACTGGAGATTCCCAAGGGCGGTGTTTGCGAGCCATCGAGGAGCACATGCCTCTTGCCGGCCACCCTTCTGGCGCCCAAGTCGAAGGCGTTCACCTCCAGCGAGCTGTTCCCACTGCAGTCTATGTCCAGTGGCAACCCAAAGTCCTGGCTGCTCCTCTCCACGGAAGATTTCATATATAGTGTGGCATGAATGACGCAAGCCGGATTCAGTATGGACCCATCGCCGGATTCGAAGGCGGAAGAGTTCCCGTCGTTGGCCGCCCGCACGTGCGACAAAACCAGCGACACGACGACGAGGAAGACGCACTGCGTCATCATCTCGGAAAAATGCGAGGTGCTCATCGAAGCGTGGCACTGCGAGTACGCCAAACCATCAGACCCGTCCGTTCGTGTGCGAAACTCAAACTGAGGCGAGAACAAATCGCCGAGCGACCCTCACATTGGAAAAGCCAACTGAAAAGCCGAAAACCATCGGCGCACCTTTGGCTTCATTTCAATATGCTCCCCGCTGGCCGTCTCCGATAATATGCTACCCACTGATTCTAAACGCCCAGGGGATGCTGTGTGCATCAGTCTTTTGCAACAAGTGGGTGGAGTGCTTAAAGAATGAACAAAGGTTAATGGAATTTTGTGGGAGTGGAAGTTCTTAAGGATATATAAGTTTAAGGAAAGCTTTCTATAAAAATTGATTCTCCTTTAAGAAATCTCCCTTCGGTGCTCTTCTACCTAATTTAATTGATATATACTACAAATAATATTTAAGCAATAGGTATCTTAAAGTTGCCAGCAACATTTCCATATGTTTTAATATTAAAAAAGTTATTTCTGAGAGAATCTTTGTTTTATATTTAGACCGGCTGACGTTCGTTCACTGCTCTCTCCTTCTCCGCAGAAGAATGCTTCCTATTTGCCCCGCATTGCACACTTCTTTCTTTTTATTTCAGCTGTCATCGGCCCCAATTCCCCTGCTTTCCCTTCTCCTCCACAGGCGCCATCAAAACCACCCGATTCCAAATACTTTTTGCACAGAATCGCGCTCCAAAGTGGCTGTGGAAATTGTTTACATATTAATATACACAACGCCCGATCGAAGCGATATTCTGAGTGAATCAGCTGTGGAGGAACGCAAATGGGCAGGAAAGTGGATTTCTATGGAAACTATTGTTTACATTGCATATTTTGATCAGCAATTGCTGGCCATGTACTAAAGACTGAAAAGGGAACAGAATAGGGCAAATGAGCCACTAACTGAAGAAATATTTGGGTGGAAAATTTGGAAAAAAAAAATTTGAATCCAAAATATGTGCTTAAAATTCCCGTGATATTTCCTTCAGATATGTAGTTTTCCTCGATCCGATTTATAACATTTCTGTTGTGACGCTTTATACTTTTAGAACGCTCACAAACGATTGCATCCATTTGCTCTCCCAACTGCCCATTAAAAAACCAGCCATTAGTCGAAGTATTAAAAAGGGTTCGTTTTCACGATCAGAGTGAAAGTATCGGTGGCTCGTTAGCGCCGTAAGGAGCCCAGGCAACTTGAGGATCGGGTCCGAGAGTCGGGAGCCGTACCTTCAAGTTGCCTGGACGGCCGAGGGAAGCGATCCAGGAGCAAAGTCCTAGATCCTAGATCTTTCCCCTCAGCGTTCGCGGGCTGCCGAGTCGTCCGAGGCTGGATCCCTGGGGCAGCTGGCTGATCCTGATCAGACTGGGCCGCTGGGAGCCCGCAATGCCTGCAGGGGCACCGCCGCCGGCGGAGGGGATGCCCGCACCGCCCGGAGTCGTCATGGAGTAGATGTGCCGCCGGAGCACCCGGATGTGCTTCTGCGAGACCTCGAAGTTGTGGACGAGCGTGTGCAGCTGGGTCTGCAGCTCGGCGATCAGGCTGTCCCGCTCCTGGATGAGGCCGGAGGTGGAGTTCTGGCTGCGGGAGAGCTTCAGCTCCAGGTCGTAGATCCGCTTCTGCAGCTCCCGGCGCTGCTTCTCGCTCTGCTCGCGGTGGCGCGAGAGCTGCCGCTTGCTGCTCGCCTGGAGCTGCTCCAGCTCCTCCTTCACCGAGGAGAGCTCCTGGGTGAGCTTCCTCTTCTCCGTCTTGAGGGCCGCGTTGTAGTTCTTGAATATCTTGAGGTCCCGCTCGGCGGCCTTCAGCCGGTTGACGGTGACCAGCTTGCGGCGGCCCAGCTCGTCGATCTTGGCCTTCAGCTGCATGGCCTCCTGCTGCAGGACGCGCAGCTTGTCCGCCAGCAGGCAGTTCTCCCGCATGACCTTCTCGTGCTTGGAGTGCTCGTCCCGCATCATCTTCGGCAGGTGCGAGACGCTCTTCAGTTTCGAGTCGATCTTGGAGCGCAGGCCCTCGATGTCCCGGTGGATGCTCGACTCCAGCGTCCTGTTGTTCACGTGCAGCTTGTCGATCTCGTGCTTCTGGCTGCTCATGATGTCCTGCGCCTTCACGCAGCGGCTGTGGTAGTCCGCGATCCGCTCCTGCTGCTGCCGGATGAGCGTCCTGAACTGCAGCTGCTCGCTCTTGAGGCTCTTGATGGTGCCCAGCAGCTGGTTGAGGTCTCCATCGCCTCCGTCTCTGTCGCGCTTCCTCTCCCGATCCCGTTCGTGCTTGTACTTGTTATCCTGCTAAAGGATAAAGCAAATGAATTGATTTAACATACCACAGAAAAGCTTAAGGACTTAAATCCTTTATGGTACCACAACCACTATTTTACCTGTGAGGTGTTCATCACGTCCTTCAGCACACTGTACACGTCCTTGAAGGAGGCAGGCTCCCTGTCGCGCTCCTCGTGCTCCAGGGACCTCTTCCTCCGCTGAGCATGTCGGTTGGCCAGCGTCTCCACAATGTGGCTGTCGTACACGTTGTGCTTGCGCCGATCCTTCGACTGGTGACCGCTCCTCTGGGACGGGTACTTCTGGTGGGAGATGTCGTCGCAGGAACTCCGGCCGGAGAGGACGGTCATGAAGCTGGTGTTGCTGCGCAGGATCTGGGGGCTCCTCCGCTTGATGGTCAGCTGCGAGGCCACGCTGCTGGCGGAGCTGTAGAACCCCTCCGGATCCGGCTCACTTTCCATGTCCATTGGCGAGGGTTGAGCCCTGCTGGTCACGAAGTGGTCGTGCTTCTGCTGCATCTCGCACAGCTCGTAGTTGATCTGCATGTACTTCTCCTCCAGGTCCTTGGTCGTCTCGTTGTACTCCTTGAGCTCCTGCTTGTACTTGCTGAGCTCCTCCTTCAGCTTGCTTCCAATGGCCTCCGAGGGCGGCGGACTCTTTGTGCTTCCGTCCGAGTCGAGATAGTCCTCCGGTTCTCCGTCGCTCAACCCCAGATCGACCTCCTTGCTTTCCTTGCCTTTCTTGCCGTTCTTGGGCATCCTCAGGACACTGGGGCAGGAGTGGTCCCTGAAGCCCAAGCTGCTGGCACTCATCGAATCCCGGACAGTCGAGTTCTGCGACAGACTGACGTAGCTGCTCTTCTCCGCGGGCTGATCGCCGCTCCGCTCCTCCAGTCCGAGATCCATTCCCATCGAGGTGGAGGTGGAGGTGGCTCCTTTGCGGATCCGATCCTGACTGCAATCCAAGTGGGCGTTGTCCTGCGGCTAGTGGTCCCTTCGATGGCTCTAACATCTACGAAAATTTAGCCTGTTCGGTTTGTGTTTCACTTGTGTAATTTTTGCGCTGCTTTTGGCCAACAGAGAATTTTTTTAAAACGTTATTACACATTCGAATCCCAAAAAATTGTATCCAAATTCGCGTAAAGTGTTACAAAAAGCCTACTCGCCTGATACCTGGAGATGAAGCCATTGCTTTCGAGTTCTTTGTTTTGTATATGAGAGCCTTTTAACATACATATATTCTAACTGTAATAAATAAATAAATAAAAGAATATTTTCCCCCCTAATAAAAGTGTATACGTTAAAATAATCTGTTGAATTAAGCATACGAAATTCTTTTTAATTCGACAAAAACAACAAGAAAGGAAGCTACCATTCATCGAAGTAATGGCGTTTTTTCTACCTAGGTATTTATATTCATATTTTCAGCGATTGTCCCTATGACAGCTTTATGATATAGTAGTCTGATTTTCGTGAAATTTAATTAAATTATTTACTAAATAACATCATTAAAAATAATTATTTTCAGACGCCTGCACTTTTAAAATCTAATAAAAATTAGAGAAGTTGTGGACTTAGAATTAGTTAATTTTGGTCAATGTTCAGCACACCCATTTTCTGGAAATTTGAAAGGGGTTTACCCTCATTGAAATTAAAAAAAAAAAATCAGCCAAAAAATAAAAAATTAACTAATGATGCAGTTGGTTAGAGAATTGAAATGCAAATGATGGCATACCTCTGCCACTTTGAATTCGGAAGAAAAATTGGAAAAGTTAATATTCTTTTCAATCTCTCGTATTGGAGCTATTCGATATAGTCGGCCGATCCGGTCCGTTCCGACTTTTAGTAATGTGTCAGCAAGATAGCTTTAAAACTGAGAGACTAGTTTACATAGAAACAGTCAAACGTACATAGTTATTTCGATTCAGATTGTAATGCTGATCGAAAATATGTATACTTTATGGGGTGTCTCCTTCACTGACTGAAATTATAAATACCCCCTGCAAGGGTATAATAAGATTTATTTTGTCCCAGTTCAAGAACTAGTGGATTGTTTGTTTTCTGCTAGGACTTTCGTAGATCTTGGGTTTCGCCTCGTCAGGGGATCCAGTACGCCAGGCTTCTCCGTTCGCCTACCCAAAGTCGAAGCAGGCTATTCCAAATCTGTTGCCCACCGACCAGGCCGAGTGTCCGAGGGTTTCTCAGTTCATTTTATTCGTTTACGAACAAAACAACTGATTCGTTCCAAGCTTTTTCGAAATTTTACCTTCAGAATATGTGTTTAAATTTTCTCAGCATATAGGAGTAGAGCCAAATCGTCAGTAAATCCAGCAGTGTAAAAATCGAAAAAAATTAAAAAAAGAAAAAGACATTTTTGGACGAACAGTTGGCAAGCCGAAACTTCAGTTGCGAACCGGCGTAAGCGATTCCTGAGTCACGATGGCCGAGAACACGGAGTACACGGACGAGGGCGGCGAGTACGAGGACGATGAGCACTTCCTCGACGAGCACGGAATGATGGAGGAGGGGCCCGAGGTGGACCTGTTCTCCATGCTGGGCGAGTCCTCCGACGACCCGGAGCAGAAGCGCATGTACATGGAGTACCTGTCGCTGATCAAGGAGATCGACTGCCAGAACAAGATCATCCAGGACATCAAGGGCAACATCATGGACATGTGCGCGAAGCCCTGCAAGACGCGCAACGAGCTGCGCGAGATCAAGCGGCTGCGCATCTGCATGGAGCAGGAGAACATCAAGCTCCACACCATGATGAACCGGGCGGTGCAGCTGCAGAACTTCGGCTCGCACCGCCACTACCGGGAGCTGCCGATGACCACCACCGTGGACGAGGACAACCTCTCGCCGTACATGTGTGGCATCGGAGTGCCTGCCCCGCCCGGCGGCAGCAGCGAGGATCCCTGCGGCGAGGAGCCCAGCTCCTGCCCGAGTGTCTGCGGCGGCGGAGGCGGAGGCGGTGGTCAGCGGGACACGGCCGGACAGGAGGACAGGCTCATCTGCGCGCTGCAGAAGGCCATGCAGAAGATGAAGGGCGCCTGCCCGGAGGACCGCAAGATGATCGAGGAGATCGCCTGCGCCATCATGAGCTGCAAGAAGCAGCCGGTCTGCGTGCCGGGACCCTGCCCCAAGCCCTGCCCGAGCCCCTGCCCGAGTCCCTGTCCAGCTCCCTGCCAGGGCCCCTGTCCCGAGAGCAGCAGCACCAGCAGCGCCCCCTGCTCCCCCTGTCCTCCGCCCAAGAGGCAGCGCCCGCAGAAGGCTCCCTGCCCGCCGCCGTGCCCGCCGCCCTGCCCGCCGAAGTGCGACTCCATGGAGAAGCTGAAGCGGCGCATCCAGAGCATGCAGTCCTCGGTGAAGAAGCTGCTCCAGGAGGTGACCTGCCGCGAGGGGCCGGAGCCGCCCTGCTCCGACGACGACGACGAGGAGCAAGATGAGTCTCCCTGCAGCCGGCCCTGTCCGCCCAGGCCGCCCTGCCCTGAGGACCCCGACCCGCTGGTCATCTGCGGCGGCAAGCGCAACACCAAGGCGGACAAGTACGAGAAGATGAAGGAGAACTACACCCGGCTGCTCACCGAGTTCCAGCGCAAGGATTGCCAGATGAAGGAGATGCAGAAGCGGTAGGTCGACTCCTGAATATTTGCCATCATAAACTATATCCTTTTCTTGACAGGATGAAGGGCATCTGTGGCCCCTGCCCGGCCAAAGGAGGCGACGGGGACGCCGACGCCGCCGAGCTGAACCTGCTCCGCGCCCGAGTCAATGAGCTGAAGGAGGAGCAGCTGGAGTTCAAGTGCATCATGAAGGAGCAGTCGCAGCAGCTGGAGGACTACCGCAACAAGTACCTGCTGGCCCAGCAGAAGGTCGAGGAGCAGTGCGTCTCGCTGGAGAAGCTGAACATGAACAACAAGCGCATCGAGCAGCAGATCAACACGGAGGTCAAGGAGATCCGCGCCAAGTTCCAGGAGAAGCTCAACGAGCTGCTCCACTTCCCCAAGCTGCTGGAGAACGAGCAGCTGAAGCTGGCGCAGGTGTGCAAGGAGAAGGACGAGATGCAGACCAAGCTGGTGGTCGTCTGCAAGGAGCTGAAGGCCTGCAAGGCCCAGCTGGAGCAGCCCAGCATCGACGTGCGCCCCCAGCTGGCCCAGTGCCAGATGGAGCTCACCCAGGCCCGCAACGAGCTGGAGGAGCTGCTGCGGCAGCGGGACCTCTTCTGCGAGCAGCTCAAGTCCACGCAGGACGACCTCGACACGCTGCGCACCGAGTCTGCCAAGATCATCGCCGGCACCAAGGAGCGCGCCGAGCTGATCAAGTCGCAGCAGCAGGAGCAGATCAACCGGCTGGAGAAGGAGCTGGCCCAGTGCCGCGCGACCGCCTCGCTGTCCGTCAACGATCGGGAGGCAGTGATCCGGGAGATGCAGGGCCAGCTCAACTCGCTCTCCTACAGCTTCGATGCCGCCCAGAAGCAGATCAAGACGCTGCGCAACCACATCGCCTACGTGTCCAACGAGAACTGCTTCCCCGTCAAGTGCTGAGTGGGAAGGAGTCCAGAATCGCCTTCAGAAAGTACACATCAAACCAATCGGCGTGCCAGTCTCACATTCGTCCCCTAAACAGTCACGATCATTTTTCAATTTATTTTGTAACCCAAATCTTAGTCGATCTAATAAATGTATTAGAACATTTTTGGCCAACAAATGTAAACGCTTTTGGAATTCCAAAAACCCACCAGTAAATCTTCACCAGAAAAGCTTCATTCAAACACGATTGAAGGCATTCTCTTACCTTTTTCAATGCCTTTAACTTATCACATCCACTATCTCATCGCTGCTTATCTATTCAGTCAACCCGCTCCGTTTTTGTAAATCCAGATAAGTAGCACAATTAAGTTTTTGTTTTGGCGCTCCATAGGAAACAGTAGATATTGCTTTATTCTGGCATTTAAGAGGAACAGCTACAAATGGTCGGTTTGCGTACGTTAAGGAGGAGCGCTCCTCGCAACAAATGGCACACTGGAGACGAGTCTACAGGGACTTGACGGCCAGCCTCTTCATCTTGGGCGCGTTACGCTTGGCCTGGCGCTTCTGCTCCTTGGCCTCCCAGCGCCGCTGCTTCTCCGGATCCTCGTCGGCGAGGATGCGCTCCTTCTCCTGCTTGCGCTTGTCCTCGCGACGCTGAGCGGCAGCTTCGGCACGCGCGGCATGGGTGCTCTTCAAGAACTCCTCCTCGACACGCTGGCGGTTCTTGTCCGACTTGGCTTTGCCCTGGAATTTAAACAACATATATTAAGTACAGTTCAGCAATTATTTAGGTGCACCTACCTCCTTGGACATGCGGTAGGTCTTAAGGCGCTCCATTAAATAAAAGATCAACAATAACAACGGCTTAATGGTCTCCATTTCGGCGTGCTTCGGAAGATTAAAGCCGGCGAGGAGCACGGCCTTGGTCTCGGGCTGCTTGAGGGTGCCGCCCTCCTCCTGCTGGATGGGGCCACTGAACTGGTCCGAGATGTGCAGGTAATCGATATAGCTTTGGTACTTGTTGAGTGCAGCGATGACGCGCGACTCCAGGATGGCGGACGTGGCCTCCGGCACTTCGGAGAGCACGCCAAAGCCGGTGGGCACGTTGTAGCGATCCTCCGGCTTGCCGACTAGACTACAGAACTTGCTCTGCGGACGAATCGGTGTATTGTCAGATATAGATTGAATCAACTCTAGCAGAACGACTTACGAGATCCGTATACTCCTTAAAGACCTTGGTGATGGTCTTTTTGGTACCGACTGCAAATACGAATGCATCCATTACGCCGCGTGTGAGTTCGATCTTGATGTGGGCCTGGTCCAGCTGGGGGCGCATCAGTCCCGCCACCAGGGACACTAGATCTTGCCGCTTGATCATCTTCAGCTCGACGAGCATGCCCTCGCAGCAGGTCCTGCCGGAGCACCACAGGGTGTACAGGCTCTCGCTCTCCTTGATCAGCCCCGGGTTCTCGTTCTCCGCCTTGCCGTCGTCGCCGACCAATGCGAAGTTCTCGTCGAGCAGCGCTCTGTGGGTGCTGAACCACAGCTGCGCCAAGCGGGCGTTCTTGGCCTTGCCAGCAAAGAAGTTGGCAAAGTAGGCCAGCAAGCCGGCGACCATGAGCATCTCCATCCAGTATGAGTCCCAGTGCGTGCGGAAATGCAGCGGGATGTTGGGGATGTTCAGCTTCGGCTCCGCCTTCTGGTCGATGGGTGGGTCCTTGGAGTCCCCGCCGTCGTATCCCTCGAACTCTTCTTCGTCCTACAAACCAAATTAAGTTTTTAAAAACTCTGACCGAGTACGAATAATGTTGTTTTTCAGAGTTCGAAGTTCAAGGAATGGAAAAAAGTGCAAAGTTAAACTTTGTTACTTTAAATGATATCTTTGTTACATAATTGAAAACGTAGCGTAATTTTTGGACAAAAACGCCTGATTTTCATTAAACTATATAGAAAGTTTAAGAAATACTTTCAGTTACAAAGGTGAAAGTTTTAGATTTGCATTTCCTTAATTAAAGGTTCTACTCTAAGATTCAATACGAAGGTCTGAAGGTCTTCGACTAAGAGAGTCAAATAAACAAAAAAAGACTTGAATAAGCGAAACCTTTCAAGAAAAAATGTCATTTAGTTAATTAGAATATTGATTAAAGTGCCTAACCCCCACGATCCATCGGAACGTGAGCACCTGTCTTTGTTTACCTGAAAGTGCTCGAACTCATCGTCGTCCTCTACGAGGCCATCATCCTCGTCGCTCTCCACATTTTGAGCCGGCTTTGAAGGGGCATCCTCCCGCGATTCTCCGCGGTTAGAACCCGCTCCTCCCGAAAAGGAGTCCGCATTTTTGGCAGCGGGCTCTGCGTAAAAGTTGCCGTCGTCGAATTCGGCAAAATCATCGCTGTCGTCTTCCTCGAAATCACTTTCCGACCTTGTGCTCGCAAAGCAGAGGAGCGCCAGCAGCAGAAAGGCAAATACTGGTCGCATCTTAAAGGGGATTACTGTGGCGCAATCTCGTCAGTTCACTTAATTTACAATTTATCTAAACGTAATGTCCTAAAACTTTTAATTAAGAAAAAAAACTAGGTTAAACAGTGTGCCCGTTTTGATTTTAGATGGTAATACTGCATTCGATGAATTTGTGCATAGTCACGCGTGAGTACCGGCATTTCATTGTTGTTCGTCAAATATAAGAGGTATTCAAGCGAACTGAAGTTAAAAGAATTTGAACTTAACGACCATTAAGCTTTGTAAAACCAAAGTTTTTATATTTTTATATTAATTAACAGCTAATATTATTAGGTAGCTCGTATTGCGCCCTTAAAAAATGATTTCATTAATGCGCGGAAATGGCGTTGCCCAATTTGCAGAAAGATCGAAAGTTCAAACAAACATCGGTATTCGTATCAGCACTAAACACGTTGCAGTGCGAAATTTTATTTTTTTTAAATAAATGCTGCAATTTGAATAAAAGAGTTGTTCAAATAGTTGCGTAGACCCCAAACGAATCAGCAATGGTGAGAACTAGTTAGCGGAAATCAAATTACCTACATTTAGGAAACTCAGAAACTGCCACGAGGACAAGCCGGCTGATGCAATTTTGCCGCATGTTGACTGATTTTCCACGTTATTAAGCTTGTTTTCCCCATTTAAATAGGCCTCCAGTGAACGCAAAGGCACCTTTAAGGTGGAGTATCTGCAGAAGATCGAGCGGGAAGTGCAGCAGCGATGGGAAACGGAGCGGGTGCACCAGTCGGATGCCCCGACAGCCCCCAAGAAACGGCAGTCGGAGAAGTTCTTTGTGACCTTCCCCTTTCCCTACATGAACGGGCGCCTCCATCTGGGCCACACCTTCTCGCTCTCCAAGGCCGAGTACTCGGTGAGGTACCACCGCTTAAAGGGACGTCGGGTGCTCTGGCCTTTCGGGTTCCACTGCACTGGCATGCCCATCAAGGCTTGTGCGGATAAGCTGACCCGCGAACTGGAGCAGTTCGGCTACCCGCCACAATTTCCTCAGACCGAGGAAGTTGCTCCTGCGCCCATCGAAACGGCATCCGAGGTGCCTAAGGACAAGTCCAAGGGAAAGAAAAGCAAGGCGGTGGCCAAGACCGCCGGCGCCAAGTACCAGTGGCAAATCATGCAGAGCCTAGGACTCAAGGACGAGGAAATCAAGGACTTTGCCAACGCCGAGCACTGGTTAAAGTACTTCCCACCGCTGGCGGTGCAGGATCTCAAGCGGATCGGCGTGCACATCGACTGGCGACGCACCTTTATTACCACTGACGCCAATCCCTACTTCGACTCCTTCGTACGCTGGCAGTTCAACCACCTGAAGGAGCGAGGCAAGATCATGTACGGCAAGAGGTACACCATCTACTCGCCCAAGGATGGACAGCCCTGCATGGACCACGATCGTTCCACGGGCGAGGGAGTGGGTCCCCAGGAGTACACGCTCATCAAGATGAAGGTTCTGCAGGCGCCTAAGGCTTTGAGGTAAGAGTGTTGGCGAATCACTGGATATTAACAATAAAAACTGCTTATTTCAACGTATCCTAGCTCCATCAAGCAGCCCATTTACATGGTGGCAGCCACTCTGCGACCGGAAACCATGTATGGACAGACCAACTGCTGGTTGCATCCGGACATCAAATACATCGCCTGGCAGAGCAGCAAAAACAACGAGGTGTGGATAAGCACCCGGCGGGCAGCCAGAAATATGACCTACCAGGGATTCACTGCCGTCGAAGGAGACATCAAGGTTTTGGCAGAAGTAACTGGCCAAGATCTCTTGGGAGTTCCCCTCTCGGCTCCACTGACACCACACAAAACCGTTTACACACTGCCCATGCTGAGCATCAAGGAGGATAAGGGTACCGGAGTGGTCACTTCCGTGCCCTCCGATTCCCCCGATGACTACGCTGCTCTGGTGGATTTGCAAAAGAAGGAGGCTTTCCGCCAGAAGTACGGACTTAAGGATGAGATGGTGCTGCCCTATGAACCCATTCCGATCATCGAAGTGCCCACCCTGGGCAAGCTGAGTGCCGTCCATGCCTATGAAACTCTCAAGATCCAATCACAAAACGACAAGGAAAAGTTGGCCGAAGCAAAGGAAATGTGCTATCTAAAGAGTAAGTGAAGTAAGGTAAAGAGCGTTTCTGATACTAAGTCTGTTCCTTTTTCCCCAGGTTTCTACGATGGAGTTATGTTGGTGGGCGAATTTGCCGGCCGCAAGATTCAGGACGTAAAGAAGGATCTGCAGAAGCGTTTGGTCGATGCCAATGAGGCAGATATCTACTATGAGCCTGAGAAGACCATCATGTCGCGTTCGGCCGACGAGTGCGTGGTGGCCCTGTGCAACCAGTGGTATCTGAACTACGGCGAGCCCGTGTGGCAAGCGCAGGCCACGAAGATACTGCAGGACATGGAGACCTTCCACGAGGAGGCGCGCAACAACTTTGAAGCCTGCTTGAATTGGCTGCACGAATACGCCTGTTCCAGAACCTATGGCCTGGGAACCAAACTGCCGTGGGACGATAAGTGGTTGATCGAATCCCTCTCGGATTCCACCATCTACATGGCGTTCTACACAGTGGTGCACTTGCTGCAGGGCGGCACTTTCCGCGGGGAGAAGCCGGGACCTTTCGGTACGTGTATTAGCTCTTTCCCATTAGTTCAAGATATATATAATTTTCTGTACAGGAATTAAACCGTCTGACATGACCGCTGAGGTGTGGGACTACATATTCTTCAAGGAGACTCCCCTGCCTAAAAAGACGGCCATCAAACCGGACCATCTTGCCGTTCTACGCCGCGAGTTCGAGTACTGGTATCCGATGGATCTCCGCGTCTCTGGCAAGGATCTCATCAATAACCACTTGACTTTCTGTCTGTACAATCACGCCGCAATTTGGCCGAACGACGAGAATAAGTGGCCCAAGGGAATGCGTGTAAACGGTCACCTTTTGCTGAACTCTGCTAAGATGTCCAAGTCGGATGGCAACTTCCTTACTCTAACCGAAGCTGTGGACAAGTTCTCAGCCGACGGCATGCGTCTTTGCTTGGCCGACGCTGGCGACAGTGTGGAGGACGCCAACTTTGTAGAAAGCACTGCGGATGCGGGTATCCTGCGTCTGTACACTTTTATCGAGTGGGTCAAGGAGATGCTGGACAATAGGAGCAGTTTGAGAAAGGGCGCAGACAAGACCTTCAACGATCAGGTGTTCCTTAGCGAACTGAATCTGAAAACACAGCAAACCGATGAGAACTACCGAAAGATGTTGTTCAAGGAGGCCTTGAGGAGTGGCTTCTACGAACTCCAGTTGGCCAGGGACAAGTACAGGGAGCTGTGTGGCGCCCAGGGAATGCACGAGGACCTGGTGCTGGAGTTCATCCGCAGGCAAGCTCTGCTGGTGTCTCCCATTTGCCCACATATGGCGGAGCATGTTTGGGGACTGCTGGGCAACAAGGAGTCCATTGTTCTCGCTCGCTGGCCAGAAGTCGGACCCATTAACGAAGTGGATATCCTGTGCTCGGAGTATCTAATGGAAGCTGCCCACTCCTTCCGTCTAAACCTCAAAAACATGCTGCAAGTAAAGGGCAAATCCGGAAAGGGTAAACCTGATGTCCAGCCAGAAAAGCCGAACCGGGGACTGATTTGGGTGGCCAAGACCTACCCTCCATGGCAGTGCTGTGTCCTGGACACCATGAAGGAGTTGTTCAACAAATCCCAAGCCTTGCCGGATAACAAGGTCATCGCTGCCACTCTGCAACAAAAAGCTGAACTGAAGAAGTTTATGAAACGCGTGATGCCCTTCGCCCAGATGATCCGTGAGAAAGTGGAGTCTGGCAAGGGTGTTGCTGCTTTAGCCGTCACCTTGGAGTTTGACGAACGCCAGGTGTTGATCAGTAACCTGGAGTATCTGAAAAACACACTAGATGTGAGTGCTTATAGTTTCTTCCACCTCTTTCCTAAATTTACTTTTTATATTTAATTTTCAGCTGGATGTTTTGGATATCAAGTACACCGATGATCCCTCAGCACCCGAGAAAACTCGTGAGGAAGTTCGACCTGGCTCGCCCTTCATTAGCTTCTCTGTGGCACCCAATGTGAGCGTGGAGCTGACGAACCCCATCGAGCGCTCCTCGTTGTTCCAGGTGAACACCGTCATTTCCGAAGGCGATACCGTACAGTCACTGCGCGAGAAACTTTCCAAAATCATTGGCCTCAAAACGGATAATGCCAACCTGAAAATCTGGCGGTTTGAGGATCCCCTTCTTGGCCCCAGGAAGATACCCAGCTTTGAGGACTACAAGACTGGAAAGGTTGTGCTCAGCGAGGGAAACTTTGTTCTGGATGTTGAGAACAAGAAAGTGAGCGTGGATCAGGCGGGAAAACTGACCGAAGTGGGAAGGAATTTCATCTACGTGGTGGATTAAATCGAACAGCGTCACAAGTCTAACTAATTTATTCATAGAATGAAACCTAAACCTTGTAAAACCAATAAAATTCTTTGAGAAGCGGGTACCCAAAAAATTAAACTTAAAAAGCTTTTTTTTTTCAAAGAACTCTCAAGTTAAACAGCCCCATGGGGTTCCTCTGCAATTATGCGTAAACTGAACTTGAAACAATTAAATAACCCTTCTTGACCCAATTAACCTGACATGGTTTTCGAACTGGCTAGTGACTTAAACAATTTTTATAGTGAGGGCGCAGCCGAAGTCACCCTATCATAGATGTCTTTGGCGTGCTAAGTGTGCCGGTGAGCAGATAATCTGAACAGTGGTTTCTCAGCGGGTCTTCTGCCCCGTGGGTGGCTATCACTAATCCAAAGAAAGAAGAACGAGAACACCTATAAAGGTAGTGCTATGCTCCTAGCCAAAGTACAATTCGATGTTTAGTTGAGTAACATGCTGGCCCTTCGCTTGTTTCTGTTGCTGCAGTGCAGCTTGCTGGTTTTCGCAGGAGTTTGTTTGATACCTCAGCCTATTAAAAGGCAGCGTTCGCTGAAGGATATACTCGAGAACCCCTGGAAATCGTCCCCTCGCTTGGATGGTCGTATAGTTGGTGGACATCGCATTAACATCACGGATGCTCCACATCAGGTTTCGCTTCAGACATCTTCCCATATCTGCGGAGGATCATTGATTTCGGAGGAGTGGATATTGACCGCCGCCCACTGCACTTAGTAAGCTAAAAATTCAATCCAATCCAAGCTAAAATCTCATGTTTCGAATTTAAAGTGGCAAAACAGCGGATCGATTGAAAATTCGTCTGGGCACCAGTGAATTTGCTCGCAGTGGCGAACTGCTCCGCGTCCAGAAGATCGTCCAGCACTCCCAGTTCAACTACACCAACGTGGACTACGACTTTTCCCTGCTCCAGCTGGCGCATCCCATCAAGTTCGACGAGACGAAGAAGGCCATCAAGCTGCCCGAGTCGCAGATGAAGTTCATGGACGGGGAGACCTGCTTCGTGAGTGGCTGGGGCAACACCCAGAACCTGCTGGAGTCCAGGGAGTGGCTGCGCCAGGTGGAGGTGCCGCTGGTCAACCAGGAGCTGTGCAGCGAGAAGTACAAGCAGTACGGCGGCGTCACCGAGCGGATGATCTGCGCCGGCTTTCTGGAGGGCGGCAAGGACGCCTGCCAAGGGGACTCTGGCGGTCCGATGGTCAGCGAATCCGGGGAGCTGGTGGGCGTGGTCAGCTGGGGCTACGGCTGCGCCAAGCCAGAATATCCGGGTGTCTACTCCCGAGTGAGCTTCGCTCGGGATTGGATCAAGGAGCATAGTGGTGTTTGAATAAGTGAATCCAACGAATAGAACTTTTGTTGAGTGGCTTGCAGTTAATTATAAAATAAAGAACGAACCTTTTTCTTCGACCTTCCATTAAGAAGCGTAGGGCTTATTAACCTTCTAATTGCTGTCAGTAACTCCGGGTAATTCATTCCGTAATGCGCCGTTAGAAACGAAAGTTTCGCACACGTTGCCAGCACGCAGCCAACTTGCCAGACACGCGACTCCCCTTCTTTTCGCACACTTTGCCGGCGCATGTCGCGTTGTGCGAAATGAGTCTGTTGGCCACGTTAAAGGATGACAGTGGCGGCACGAGTCCTGCGACCTTTGGCTGGTGGAGGCGGCCAATCTTAATTGTTTCGCCTTCCATTATATCAGGCTATCGCTGTGGCTGGGCTCCGTTCATGTGTTACATGTGGCGTATACGTAATGTGGGTAATTGCGTATACGTCGGGACGACTTTGTATGCAGCATGAACAATTCCAAAGGCAATCAGTTGGTGCGGATTATTTGTCTGTTGACTGAACTCCCCTATATTATGTGTGCTTTGTGATAAATTAGCTGGGAAATATTAACATCGGAAGTTGCATAATTCAAATGCAAATGTGCACTTACATTGAGCAAGTGAACGCAGCATTAACAAGCACTAAAAATGTTTTTTACAACTCCCAATAAACACAAAATCATTCCTAATAGCCTTAGACGCTAACCAACAATATACATTTCTAGCTTATATATTTTACTGTTGAAATTTTTCACACTTTCTTAAATATTTAATACGTACAACTCATTACAAAAGGTAAAATTACAATACCCGTGTTAAGCCCCAAAGAAATTTGATAGTGTGGCACTCAAAAATGTGTTGAATAACATTCTGACCAAGTCAAATAACGTTTATTGTGTGCAAGTGGCTCTGTAACTCGAAAGTGCAGCGATTCATTCTAAACGACTCAGACTGAGCAACAGTTGGCCCCAAACCACCGTTTTCAGTTGAGTTTCCACCGCGATTTGGTGACGACGTGCCTTGTCTCGCGCCTCCGAGAAATCCGCCAAGTAAATACATAGGTATATGTGCCATTCAGTGTGTGTGCGCAATGAGTATGATGCGTATACGCCGCGTGTGCCCGTGCCTGCAACCAACTGTTGATTTCGTTCCCAAAGGATTATTCAACAGATCAGCAACACTCAGAGCCGAGTAAAGTCACCCTGACGAGGCCTACGCCCGAGTTGATTGAAGGCGAATTTCAGCTGGGTAAAAGCGTTTAACGCTGCACTGAAAAAAGTTTCGTTGCTCGAGAGCTCAAGAGTCCATTTACAAAAGAGAAACATATAAAAGTGACGTACAATATAAAATATTTCTAGTCTTTCTTATAAAATCAATTAAATTGGTTTAAAATATTTTCCAAATAAAATTCATTTGATGAGATTTTATTATTATCACCAAAGCATAAATGATTCAAATAAATCATCCTTTAATTACATTTAAATTTTTTTCTAAATTGTTGTGAATTTTTGCCAGTGCACTGATGGCTCTGACTGTTGCTTTTGTTCCCAGAGAGTTCTCCGTATTTTCCGCCGCTGGTTATTCATGGTTATCGAACACTCGCCGACGGCGGTTGGCAAATAAACGTGCGGCACGTTGCCGCTACACGTGAGCCGAGCTTCCCTGTCACTCGACAGCGGGTGCGACAGGGACGGAGCAACGCGGCGAAAGCTCTCGGCTCGCCGCTCTCACGCACACAAGCGCCGGCAGCGGCACGTTGGCCCTGTGTGGGTGGCTGTTTGGCTCAGTGTGTGTATCTGTGAGTTGCATTTCTTATATGACTACGCTCGGCGGCCAAAAGCCAGATCGCATTCAGCTTTGTGCGTCCAAAGTAAGCGGTTCGTTGAGCGGCTCAAAGATAACTTCAAAACAAATCTCAAAAATAAACATCACCAAAGCAAACAAACCTAAACCACAAATTCATGTATATAATATTAAATATAGTTTGTTTACAATCAAGTTATTGTCAAAAAAATATATAAACTGCAAAACTTCGCAAGCAGTAAAAAATTCTATAAAAGTGCTAATATATAGTATTTGAGAGAGTGCTCCGTCTCTCAGAGAAAAAGTGCAAAATAATTGTTGTTATTGTTCAAGTTGTTATTGTATTTTACGTAAGCAACAACATGCAACAAAAGTATTAAAAGTGATATTTGTGCAGTGTATATATAAAAGCAAAGTCTATTTGTGTGCAATAAAGCTGTGCATCTCCTCAAATCTTTATGAGTGCTAAAGGTTTCCTCTTAATTTCAGATAAATATTTAACAAAACTTATTTCAATATTGGGAAAAACTAGAACTAAATCTAGTCTGCAAAGAAACCCAACAAGTGCATAAAAGAGCTTACAAAACAATTTTGAATAGTCAGTAAAACCTGCATTCAAGCTAGTTTTGCATCACAGTGCAAAAATAAACTTAAATTGGAAGCGACAGAGAAAATTCCCTAAATCGGTAAGAAAATGAAACGGATATTATCTATTATCTGTTACTAGTATCTATTCTAGTGATAAGAGGCGACCGATTGCAGTTCTATTTGGCGTGACCCCTTTAAAAATTAGACCCTTAAAAAAGCTAAACGCAAAAACAGCTTTTATAGGGCGCCAAACTTAAACTTTTGAGCTCGACATCACAAGAATGTATGTCGATCAAAAATTCTTTAAGAAATTTAATACAATCAAGGCTTTCAGTATTAACTTCCTTTGACAGCACTTATGTAAACTGCACTCAATGAGCTGGCAAAAAAGGGGCTTGGCCTTCTTCAGATTTTCTGTCAAACTCAGAAAATCCAAACAATTCCGGGAATCTGCCGCTGACAGATTTCATTGCAGGACCCAAATGTTTAGGGTATTTTCGCCCACCAACCAGTTTACCTAGGACTTTAACGACCCTCAGAACCCGCATTTATTGGCATTGCAAATTCAGTTTTTAAATATTTATTTTTGCTCCATCTCTGCGTTCCGTTTCAAATGCAAATTCGATTTCGCCTCAATGAATTTCCCTTTTGCGAAAGAATGAAAAATGCACTCGCTCTCCGCGAAAAGTGCTCGACTCCAGATTTCAATGCGCATATCATTTTCTAGTTCTCGCCTTGCGTTTTATGTAAGATTTTCTTTGATTTCATAACCAGTCAGCGGAAATCGAATTGGGGTTGCTGGACATGCATCAGATATAGACGGCCAAAAGAGGTGTTTTTTTTTCTTTAGGTCATATTAAATTATGCTGAAAGTGATTTAATTGTGAATTGTATTTGGGAATCTCGAATTTTGATGTATTGAATAATTTGTTTACATTGTATTTTTGTACAACTTTTATATTTTTTGTTTAATTGTCGGACCTTATAAAATTGTTTGATTGTATTGTATTATTTAAAAAGTTCGCATATCTGGCTTTCCGGTCTCTTGGCCACTCAACGTGCCATTTAACGTGTTTGCCTAAAAGAGCGCAACAAAACTTTAGTGCAGCTCAATTGCATCCGTCTTTGTTGACAAATATAGTTTCATTGTAAGCTGGAAAATCGGCGGCGAAGCATTTAAAGTCGGCAATCCGGAAGCCGCGCAAAAGCAGGAGCTGCTGCGCCATTCTGCATCCCGATTCAGGCTCTATAAATATCGCCACGGGGCCTCCGAACAATACAAGGTGTATTGTCCCTACGGAAAGCTCCTCCAGCAGCCTTTGTTGCTCCGGATCCACTGGCTTTGCCCTCCAGCTGTGTGGTTTACACAATCAGTCCGAAAGTCTGGAAGTGAGTCACATGCGGCCACCTTGTGCCGCAGTCGCTTGTTGGGGATTTACCTGGTTACGTGATGGGCGAAGGTTGGGTTGCCCCCTCTTCGGGCAACCATGGTGGCAATGGCCCCTTGGCCCACTTATTTACTTATTTACTGCCCCCTCAATTGTGACTTCTGGGAATTTTGGGGCTCGTCTGGTAGGCGTATTCCCCAATTCGATTCGCGACGGGTGTCCGCACACGTGTACTATATTTCGCCGGAATCGGGGGGCATCTCACCCCCAAGTTTGCAGCAGTTGCAGCACATTGCATTGACTGCGCCCTTGGCGGTCACATGTCTGAATGTTTGAATGTCTGAATGTCCGAGTGTCGGGAAGTCAGGCTCGGACTCCGATTTTGTTTGCGAATGCAAATATTTATAGACGCGCGGATGTGTCGGACGGTCGGTTGTGCAATGTGCTGGCTTACAATTAATGAGCGGGCTAAACTATTTTTGAGCAACAAAGGGTTGGGGTCTTCTATTATTGGGATAAAGTGCGAGCGACCTTTACCTATTTTAAGCGATCTTTTGGTTAATTTTAGCTATAATTGTAACACAGTTTAATGGTTTAAATAAACTTTATAAAAATTAAGTTTAATATTGTGATGTTTGTCAATAAACAATAAACTAGCGAAAACGACCTAACAAAATACAACTGATTAAAAAAATCCTGTAGTCCTTGTTCCATATTTATAAAAACTATTTAATTGGTGAACGGACCAAATAATGATGTTTATAAATTTGTTTATATATATATATATATTTAAATATTAATAAATATATTATAAATGTTGATAATAAACTCTTTGTTTATTTACAGTTTCTGCGTGTAATCCTAAGGGGAATCTTCATGTTTTAAGTCGACAATGAGCGCGGAGAGACAGCTCGAACATCACATTTGGAACAATCAAAACTATATAAAGTGAAATCTGAGATGGACTGGTTACTAGCAACGCCGCAGTTGTACAGCGCGTTCTCCTCGCTGGGATGCCTGGAGGGTGACACCTACGTGGTCAACCCCAATGCCTTGGGTGAGTGTCTTCACCAGAGATGCTCTAAAGAGATCCTTTCATACTTAACTCGATTTAAATTGCAGCCATTCTGGAGGAGATCAACTACAAGCTTACCTACGAGGACCAGACACTGCGCACCTTCCGCCGGGCCATTGGGTTCGGGCAGAACGTGAGGTCCTCGCTGATCCCGCTGCTGGAGAACGCGAAGGACGACGCGGTGCTGGAGTCGGTGATCCGCATCCTGGTCAACCTGACGGTGCCGGTGGAGTGCCTCTTCTCCGTGGACGTGATGTACCGCACGGACGTGGGCCGGCACACGATCTTCGAGCTGAACAAGCTGCTCTACACGAGCAAGGAGGCCTTCACCGAGGCGCGGAGCACCAAGAGCGTGGTGGAGTACATGAAGCACATCCTCGAGTCGGACTCGAAGCTGTCGCCGCACAAGTGCGACCAGATCAACAACTGCCTGCTGCTGCTGCGCAACATCCTGCACATCCCGGAGACGCACTCGCACGGCGTGATGCCCATGATGCAGTCGATGCCGCACGGCATCTCCATGCAGAACACCATCCTGTGGAACCTCTTCATCCAGAGCATCGACAAGCTGCTGCTCTACCTCATGACCTGCCCCCAGCGAGCCTTCTGGGGCGTCACCATAGTCCAGCTCATCGCCCTCATCTACAAGGACCAGCACGTGAGCACCCTGCAGAAGCTGCTCAACCTCTGGTTCGAGGCCTCCCTCTCCGAGAGCTCCGAGGACAACGAGAGCAACACCTCGCCTCCGAAGCAGGGCAGCGGCGACTCCAGCCCCATGCTGACCTCCGACCCCACCTCCGACTCCTCCGACAACGGCAGCAATGGACGTGGCATGGGTGGCGGCATGGGCAGCAAGCGGGAGGGCACCGAGGCCACCCTGCAGGAGGTGAGCCGCAAGGGCCAGGAGTACCAGAACGCCATGGCCCGCGTCCCGGCCGACAAGCCCGACGGCTCCGAGGAGGCCTCCGACATGACGGGCAACGAGAGCGAGCTTCCGGGATCCCCGGAGCAGTCGCAGCCCGCCGGGGAGTCCATGGACGACGGCGACTACGAGGACCAGCCGCGCAGCCAGGACGACGACGAGGATGAAAACGAGGTGAGATAATTTGATAACTTCTGAGATTAAATTAATAAGAAGAGCTACGCAGAGTAAAAACAAAAGATTAAAGTGCAAAAACAGATTGTTTATTTAGTTACAGGAAATCATGCCATTTTAGAAATTTACCAACAAAATTTAATTAAATAAGATAATATTAAGTTCCGAAAAGTATCCCTTACAAGTGTTCTTTTTAATTCCATAAGAAAGCCTTTAATTGGATTTTAAACTATAATATTCTTGTAAGCTATCTTATTGTTTCTTCAAATTGTATTAAAATTTTCCAATTCGTTAACCTTTCCAGGACGAGGCGGAGGACGAGGAGTATCTGCGAATGAGCACCCCCTCGGAGCCGCTGAACCTGACCCAACAACCAGCTGACACGGTCAACAACACTACCACAACACTCCCCATTTCCAGTCCGACTGGCTGCCTGGGCAACGGCAACGAGCCGTTCAAACCCCCGCATCCCCTCCCCCTGAGGGCATCCACCTTGGCACAGGCACAGATGCACCAGTTCAACGAGTCCTCCTCCTACGCGGCCCACGTGTCGGCGGTGAAGCTCGGCCAGAAGTCGCCGCACGCCGGCCAGCTCCAGCTGACGAAGGGCAAGTGCTGCCCGCAGAAGCGCGAGTGCCCCTCCTCGCAGTCGGAGCTATCGGATTGCGGTTACGGCACGCAGGTCGAGAACCAGGAGTCCATCTCCACCTCCAGCAATGACGACGACGGGCCGCAGGGCAAGCCGCAGCACCAGAAGCCACCCTGTAACACGAAACCGAGGAACAAGCCACGCACCATTATGTCACCCATGGACAAGAAGGAGCTGCGCCGCAAGAAGCTGGTCAAGCGCAGCAAGAGCAGCCTGTGAGTTTCACTTAGAGATATTAATAATGGTAATAATGATGATAATAATAATTATAATTATATCATCATCATCATTATTATTATTATTGTTATCTCTTAGTGAAACTCGCAATATTTTTATCTTGAATCCACAGCATCAACATGAAGGGTTTAGTCCAACACACGCCCACCGATGACGACATCTCCAATCTGCTCAAAGAGTTCACCGTGGACTTCCTGCTCAAGGGGTACAACTATCTGGTGGAGGAGCTCCACATGCAACTCCTTTCCAATGCGGTAAGTTTAAAAACCCATAGATCATATAAGATTCTCTAATGATATCTTACTTAACTAACAAATTATAACGAAATGGGGCAGAACAAGGTGATTTGTTTTGTTTAATATGAGGTTGCTGTTATGATTTTGTTATTGTTATTGCTATTGAAACTTTCTTTTTATTTTTAATTAAATCTATATATCCCACCCTTCCGGGAAAACCTTAAAATCCCTTTCCCGTTTGGTTATTCTGTAATTTAATATCATATTTCATACCATTCCCAACAGAAGGTTCCAATTGATACGTCGCACTTCTTCTGGCTGGTGACGTATTTCCTGAAGTTCGCCGCCCAGCTGGAGCTGGACATGGAGCACATAGACACGATCCTCACCTACGACGTGCTGAGCTACCTGACCTACGAGGGAGTGACCCTCTGCGAGCAGCTGGAGCTGAACGCGCGCCAGGAGGGGAGCGACCTGAAGCCCTACCTGCGCCGGATGCACCTGGTGGTGACGGCCATCCGGGAGTTCCTGCAGGCCATCGACACCTACAACAAGGTGACCCACCTGAACGAGGACGATCGCGCCCACCTGAGGCAGCTCCAGCTGCAGATCAGCGAGATGTCCGACCTGCGGTGCCTCTTCGTGCTCCTCCTGCGGCGGTTCAACCCCAGCATCCACTCCAAGCAGTACCTGCAGGACCTGGTGGTCACCAACCACATACTCCTCCTGATCCTGGACAGTTCGGCCAAGCTGGGAGGATGCAAATCGATACGCCTGTCGGAGCACATAACCCAGTAAGGCTTATCACTAATAAATATTTCATTTGAAAGTGCTAAATTAGTATTTTGTTTATAGGTTTGCTACCCTGGAGGTAATGCACTACTACGGCATCCTGCTGGAGGACTTCAGCAACAACGGAGAGTTCGTCAACGACTGCATCTTCACCATGATGCATCACATAGGCGGGGAACTGGGTCAGATTGGCGTTTTATTTCAGCCAATTATCCTGAAGACCTACTCCAGAATTTGGGAGGCGGACTACGAGCTGTGTGATGTACGTTATAACATGCAAATTACTTCTTCAGTAGGATTATTTTTTATTATTTATTGCAGGACTGGTCTGATCTCATCGAGTATGTCATCCACAAGTTCATGAACACTCCTCCGAAGTCTCCGCTCACAATTCCCACAACTTCGTTGACTGAAATGACCAAAGAACACAATCAGGAGCACACCGTTTGGTAAGTATTAAAAACTAATAATACTTCATACTCTATATATTTTAATATATTCTCTATCCTTCTAGCTCTTGGTCGCAGGAGGAAATGGATACCCTGTATTGGTATTATGTACAGAGCAAGAAAAACAACGATATTGTGGGGAAAATAGTTAAGCTCTTCAGCAACAATGGCAACAAGCTTAAGACTCGGATCTCCATTATCCAACAACTCTTGCAACAGGTAAGGATTTACATATATTTATTTTATTAAAAGAATATTAAACTAGTTTAATATTTCTTGTAGGACATTATCACCTTGTTGGAGTACGATGACTTGATGAAATTCGAGGACGCCGAGTACCAGAGAACTTTGCTGACCACGCCCACTTCCGGAACCACAGAGTCCGGAATCGAGATTAAGGAGTGTGCCTATGGAAAGCCCTCAGATGATGTGCAGGTGGGATAAGTTGATATAATATATATAGAAACATTTGCATTCAAAACAAAATATTAGAAAGGAAGAAACATTTAAAACGATCAAATTAAATACTCTGTTAAATACATATTATATTTTATGCTTTAACCATATATATTTTTCGTAACGTTTCAGATCCTGCTCGACCTGATCATCAAGGAGCACAAGTCGCAGCACCTGGTGTGGCTGCAGCGCATCCTGATCGAGTGCTGCTTCGTGAAGCTGACCCTGCGGAGCGGGCTGAAGCTGCCCGAGGGGGACCACATCATGGAGCCGGTGGCGTACCACTGCATCTGCAAGCAGAAGTCCATCCCGGTGGTGCAGTGGAACAACGAGCAGTCGACGACGATGCTCTACCAGCCCTTCGTGCTGCTGCTCCACAAGCTGGGCATCCAGCTGCCGGCGGACGCGGGCTCGATCTTCGCCAGGATCCCCGACTACTGGACCCCGGAGACGATGTACGGACTGGCCAAGAAGCTGGGACCGCTGGACAAACGTGAGTTGAACTCATCCCACAAACGAAAAAAAAAAAAACATCCTGTCATGTTGCAAAGGTGATGTGTATACCGTTATCAACAATTTTTGCTCTCTCTCTGTGTGAAATTTTGATCATGGGAATCTCGCCCGCACTCGAATTCGAACCCGATCCCGTGTCTCCATCCATTCCCATTCTCATTGTGCTTCCGTCGGTGTATCTCGATATGCTGTGTGCCTCTCTCCTTCTCCTCCTTCTGGGCTCTTATAGTCGTCCTCAAGTTCGACCCCAGCGAGCTGGAGGATGCCACCGCGGCGAGTCCCGCCCGCTACCACCTCACCGGACCCCGCAACTCGCTCAGCTCGGTGAGCAGCCTGGACGTGGACCTGGCCGAGCCGGAGGAGCTGGCCCTCATCCCCGAGGTGGACGCCGCCGTGGAGCGGGCCCACGCCATGGCCTCCACGCCCTCGCCCAGCGAGATCTTCGCGGTGCCCAAGACCAAGCACTGCAACTCGATCATCAGGTGGGAACTACAGATTAACAATCGATTATTAAAATATATAAAATGTTCAAGGCTTCCCAAAAATTTTATATAAATGAGAAGTTTAATAATCTTAAAAGATAATGTTTAATTATTCAAACGAAAGCCTTAACATTTTTGATACTTTTCCCCATAGAACTCTCTTTTACACTTGCTAATTTCCCTTTGGTTTTATCTTTATCCGATAGATATACACCCGATCCCACGCCCCCAGTTCCCAACTGGCTGCAGTTGGTTATGCGCAGCAAATGCAATCAGCGCTCCGGTCCGTCTGGCGATCCCAGCGATTGGTAAGTGCACTTTATCCACATCCACATCCACAGCCATATCCACAGCCATATCCACATCCATAACCATATCCAGACTTAAGTCGCGCGACCTAGCCCAACCTAAGCGAAGACAATGCCGAAAATCTTCAGATTTATGGCACACGGCAGCCGTTAAGACTCTCCGAACAGCGAACATATTGTTAACACGACGCGACGCTCTCTCTGCCAACCGAAGTCTGAGGCTTGCTGGCCAAGAGCTCTACAGGCAAGAGTCTAGACCCCGATTTATGAACTTTGCGGCCCCTCGTACATTTACTTTCCTGTGTTGACAGTCGTTGTCGCCAGTTGCGCACCAAATGTCAGCTCCGTTTTGGCCATTGTGTCTGTCGACTAGCTAGAACTGAGTGCACTTAAAAAATTCAGATTTCCATGGAAGAACTTTAAATATAATAAATCATTGATCCAAGGATAAACACACCTATTAAAAATATATTAAGTGGTAATCCTCACTTTACCTTCAAGGCACTTTCGAGGATAAAGTATCCTAGATTTTTGTCAGTGCTCGACTATATATCTAGATGCATATAGAGTGGGTATCCCATCCGCTTTGGCCATGTGTGTCCGTATTACCCGTACTTCTGTCCCAAGACCCCACACGATCACCCAGCCCGCTGGTTTCATTGCTCCTGCAATTTTGCGATTCCGATTGCGACGGCTGCTGCTCATGTTGAACGGCTCTTGCATTTGGGTTTATGACTCTTTGTACGGCATTTTGTTGTTACACCAAAGCCAAAACTCTTAGATCCGCGATAAATAGACGGACTCGCCGATTATAGGATAACGCAGAGTATGCTCGCTATTCTGAAACGCCGGAGCGCCTGGGAATGAGTTCAGAAAGGGTGGGGCTGCGTTTAATTTGGGCATTGAAACTAGTTAAACATGATTGATATCTGGCCATTACTGGCTTTTAATCTCGAATTAAGCTGGAAGAACGCAAACAAATTTAATTGGGATTGCAAATATCGAATAATTCAATAAGCCGAGGCTTCTTTGATCGTTTAGGCAGCGATTTAATTCGGACTTTATTTGAACATTGTTATTTCTTTAGATCTCAAGTTTCAGAAGCCTAATCAAGATTAAATTGGAGATTTATTTGTTTTCAAAGAAACGATGTTTGTGTTTACGTTAATTTAGGATGTTTACATTACACCTACAAAAATGAGCATTTGTTAACGAGTTTTTATCGTATTTTTTTGTATCTTGGCCGAAAAAGGTCCCACAGTCAAAATTCGCACAATTTTGAACAGGTAATAAGCCGAGTTAACAATACATTCCAATTTTTGGCAAACATAAAAAAATGAATTTTTCTACAAATTTTTAAGGGGTGGTATCATCACATTTTTTTTCCAAAAATACGGATTTCTTGTTCTAAAAATCCGGATAAGAACTAGATTTATTAAAAATGTGACACTAGATGGATAAATAAAAATTGGTATGCTGTTGGTGGAACCGAACTTCCCTTGGCAATACCCCGACTTTCCACTCCCTCAGTTGACCTGCAATTTTTTCTAAGAATCATTTACACCTTCGACAAGTTTGGCATGTTCGCCACAAGCGAGCGATCAATGCTAACCACGAGATACATTGGCCTGACCTCTGTCGTCGATCGAGCAGCAGGCGCAAAAACCCAGCAGCAACATGAACAGCAGCAACAGAAACCAGCAGCAACAACTGCAGCAGCAACAACTGCAACAGCAACAGCAACAAGCAGCAACAACGGCGACAGCAGCAACATCAAGAGCGACACGAAATGAAGTCATCGCGATTAGCACGCGCAGCTGAGACAGAGCCTATGAATGTCGGGCAGTTGTATCTGATGGATACGCGAACTGGATGGAGGACAGTGGCTACACTCGCACCCTGCTGCATAAATTGTCTTTGTCGCATAAGTAAGCCAGATAATCTCGCTGGCGAGCCAGCTGCTCGGAGTCAATCAATTCATTAGGCTGGCAGGGCGAAATCAAAGCGATTACACCGAATTAACTTTTAATAAACCGCCTGAATAATTGCCCATTGTTTTGGGTAATTTGAAATCCAAGCTGGGCCGCAAAAACAGCCATTAATCACATCGAGTGCTGTTGACATTTAGCTTTTTGGCTTACAATTGCTTGACATCTGTTGCATCCTTAGAAGAGGCTGTCGTCGACCCCCTGAGAATTTCCAGTGAACTGAACCAGTTTTGGGACGAATTTGCATATTTTTTTGCCTGCGAAGGCATGTGAAGTATTCTTGCTGATATTTTATTTATTGTTTGCTGCACAGGCACTGTGGTTCCTCTGCCTTTGTCAAACGAGTTTGGTCTTTACAGTTTGTTACTGTTGTTTTCTGGGTTTTTTTTGCTTTACGCGGAAAGTAAAAGTCAAAAGTTACGCGATCTTTGCCCCCCGGGGGATCCCCGAGCTGAAAAAACAGTGCGTGAGTCCCAGAGTGCAACCAAACAAGTTCTTTTGTTGGTATGGATAGTACATAAAAAGCAGACTTAGTTGCTGACTCAATAGTTGGCTTAGATCACTAGGGATGAAGTCATCTAACAAGCGTAGGATATCTGATATAATCCTGAATAAATTAGAAACTTTAATAAAAGAATTTACACACTTAAAAGACATTCAATTCCCCCTTCACCTTAGGAGTAAAAGTATCTCACAGATACTCTCTAAGCAAATTAACACGAGATGTGGGCACGCTCCTTGGCCGCCTTCACCCACTTTTTTTACTTGTTGCCCGGGTGGCGTGGGCGTTGACAAAAGGCAATTTTCCAAAGTAATTTACTTTGACGCCTGGCGAAAATTGAATTTGACATTTTTCTCATTTTTTGCCTTCGCTCGCTGGGAGTCGCATATGCAACGGCCAGCCCACAAGGAAGCCAAAGTCAACAGCTCCGGCTTGAGTTGCACTTTTCAAGTGGCCCGTGGGCCGAATTCGACTCTGCAATCTGTCAGGCACAGCAGCAACACCAAGTGCAGCAGCAACACCAAGTGCAGCAGCAACACCAAGTGCAGCAGCAACACCAAGTGCAGCAGCAACACAAAGCTTAACAGCAGCAACATCGGGCAGAAGACTACTAACAATATAGTTTTTTTGCTCGGTTTCCCAGCTTCAATTGGCGACCTTCTCTGCCTGCAACTTTGTTTTGGGTTTGGCTTCAGATTTATATATTTTTTCCTTTTCTACATTTTGTTAACATTTTGCATTATTGCCAGTGCTCTTTGTTGCTGCTGCCGAGCAATAAGTGCAACATGCAGTCAAAACATGGACACCCATTGCTCTCCGGCGGACTGGAGCTGCCACCACATCAATCAGCCCCATAAATCATTCTAATTATTAAATAAACAACTTGCCGAAAAAAACTACAGCAGGCTTAGAGTCACGCTGAGTCATTTAATTCAGTAACTGCTACCATGGCCATAAAGTGTGAGAATATATGGGCTCGCGTAGCAAAGGGTTAATTGAGCAACGATCTGTAAGGTTGCATTGAAAAGGGAAGGGATGTGGAGAAAAAATCGATTAAAAAATATAAATTTGGAGGCTCGAAAATAAAACAAGAAATATGCCATTTATAAAAGGAATTTGTAGTTTACAATTTCATGTTAAATGATTTTTAATGTTGCATCTTCATTGAATAATTATAATTATTTAACAATACATAATAGAATATAAACCTTTAACCTTTTCCTTATTTTCTTATTTTCTTTCAGCAATGGAACCCCATCCACAATCGCGGAGGACGATGGATTGGGAAAGTCAGTGAGTGCCGCCACCTCGCAGGCGGCGAGCCCCTCGATGAGCGGGGCCAACCCCACGACGACCAGGCTGGGGTGCCTCACCATGCTGAACTCCTTCATGGGCGGCCACAACGAGAACAGCAGCAGCTCCGGGTGCGGGGGCACCGTGTCCTCCCTCTCGATGGTGGCCCTCATGAGCACGGGGGCGCCGGGCGGGGGAGGAGTCGCCTCCCCACTCGACATGGAGGTGGACGCCTCGATGAAGTCCTCGTTCGAGCGACTGGAGGTCAACGGATCGCACTTCTCGAGGGCCAACAACCTGGACCAGGAGTACAGTGCCATGGTGGCATCTGTGTACGAGAAGGAGAAGGAACTAAAGTGAGTGCGATACTGAAGCTGAATGATCAGTTCAGTGAATTCGCAAATTGTTTATTTATTTTGTTAAAGAAAAGTTCTGGAATTATGTTATCTTAAATTTGAGTTCTTGCAGTTCTCTCAGTAGAAAGTATTTGACAGATTTCTTCAACGCAATATTTTCTTTTGAGCCTTCTTTCCATAACATATTCTCCATATCTTATGAAGCTTTCGCCTAAATAGTATTCAGAAAATATTGTTTGAACAGATTTCTTGAATAGAGGTTATACCTACTTTGAAATATGTACAGATGCTGTGCATCTTGCATAGTTCCCTCTACCAACTACATTATATAAATACAAATGTCACCCAAACTCCTTCAGTGCAAATTGCCCCAGCTTTAGAGCATAAAATAAGACGAATTGTTATACATTAAGGATGGTGAACTGTTCCACCCATTTAACTTATTTGTGACCCAAACTCCTTAACGTTAAGCTGGCTGCTTTTATTGGCTTTTATTGGCATTCAATCTGCGGAAGATTTTTCGCCCGACGGCGACTGAGGAAGTTGAGTGAGTTTGAAAATGAAATTCAGGCCGATGGAGGCGAGGCTCGAGTCGAGACAGGCCGAAGCCAAGCCAAGATTTCGACCTGGCTAATTGACAATTAGACAGATTGCGCAAATGGCAGGCCGTCATTCTGTCAATATGTCCGCAGAAGCGGGAAAAGCTGGAGAATGCCGGGCATTGCTGAACAGTGTCTCACATAAATTTATGGCAAGCAATTATTCAGTTTCAGCCATTTGCGGCTCCGATTCAGTTTTTGTTCAATTTTTTTTTCGACGACTTCAGTGGCCAGTGGAAATTGTTCTTGGCCTTTATTTGGGCGGGTAATTTGATGTGTGTGTTGCTCATGTTTCGACTTTTGGCTCGTGATCATTGCAGCAGCGACAATGTGTCCATAGCCTCCGACCTGACCAGAATGTATGTGAGCGATGAGGAGGAGCGACTCGAGCGGGTGCCCCACTATCATTGAGGATCTGTATCTAAATCCCGTGGCCCACCAGGTGAAACATATCTAGCTCTTACCTGCACCCAGCACAATGATTGTACATTTATGACCTCCAACTGCAAAGGAATACCTGATTAATTAGCTACGCATAAAGTGCATTATACGGTTAGAGAATGTCTGAGCAGAGGTGAAGAGAAGTGCATTATATACGTACTATATATAGCTCATACAGCTGTGAGGCTCCGTAGACTCTATTCCATAGTTAGGCATAAGTTAACCCTAGATTCCACCTGTATTCTGTACACTTACCACATGGGCAGTTCCTGGTTGAATAGTGCAAATATATACACAGATATACATCTATTTACACGAGTAAGATCGAGGAGCGTCCGCATCCGAATCCAAATCCATCTGTATGTAATCCCTAGCCATAAGTTACGCCTAGCAGAAATAAAGCTTTTCCTGTAGCCGAAAGCCACAAATCTCTGTCTCTGACTGGGTGCAAATCCAAATGTGAATAATGTGCAGCAAATTGGCGGAGCCGCAAGATAAACGAGCGGTGGCCAAAGCGAATTAAGGTCATCTGGCCGATCCGGGGGTCAGGGGTTTCCACCGATCCGGGGGCAAATCCGGGGAGACTCCACGCACGGTAGCCGAAACCACTGGCAAAAACAATTGCAGTAAATAAATAAATATAGACAAGAATACACTACTAAATATGTAGATAACGTTCTCTGTTGGTAATTAATCTTTAAACTGTTTTCCACTTTCTTTTACAATTATTAAGATACTTTAAGTAAATCGTTCTTAGATAAACAATTATCTTACTGCTAAACTTAATCAAGGGTAAGCGTTGGTGACTGCATTCTAGAATAATTATTTTCCCAGTGCAATAAATAAAAAAGCCAGTCACATATTCGGTCTTGGTCTGGCCCATACATAAATGGCAAAACATGGCTAAAACAATTACCAAAATGCGGCGGGCACAACAATCGGCCACCGGAGCATAAGCATACTACTCGTACAAGAAATAATAATAATAATTGTGGCCAATTGCTGCTTAGTTGGCTAGTTAATTGCAACATGGCCAAGAGGACAGTCCACTCTCGATGGCCACGAGTTCTTGACTTGGCCAGATCGCAGAATGGCGAGAGGCTTTGGGTGGTAAGTGATTCACTGTGGCTGGGAACCAGTTCGGAAATGGATTACTATATTCGTGGTTAGTTCCGTTTTGGCTTCGTTTATTTCCTCATTCGATTGTTTTTTTTATGAAGGTGTGCATATGCTTTATATTTTCATGGACTATTTCTGAACCTAATAATTTACTAAGAGCACCTGGTATTTATATGGAGTGTGTTTTGCTACTGCCCACATTATTTTAACCATAATAGATTTTGATTAACTAAGAGCGTTATTTATAGATGCTTTTAATTTATGCCTTCATTTCATATTTTTATATTATCTATATGAATTTCTTTACAGCTGAGTTTGTAGAATATTTTTCTTTATTTCCTATTCTATTGGAGAACCCCCAACTTCACTTAATTGTCTGCTGGCAGCACTGGCACCTATGGCTTTTATACTCCCCCCAAATGGCTCACTCGTGGTCTTGCCCCAGTCTACCATGGCAATCTGCTGGTGACGGGCTTTTTGGCCAATGTCTTCGCCTGCAACTCGGTTTGCGACTCCTGGCCAAATTGCAAGCGGCACTGCAATTACCAAGACAAGCAGCTAATTTTATTTGCTGTAAACGTGCGCCTCCGTCTTCAGATTTGCTTTGCTATATGGCTTTGTTTTAGTTTTAGTGTTCGCCGAGTTGAATTCGGTTCGGTGGGAACTTTTGATGACTTTTAGGAGCTCGAGAGAACCCGCAGATTGCGTGTCTGAGCCACATTAAGCACCTTTGACGGCCCGCCGCCGTCACCCGTCAATTGAGTTGTCAGCACCAGAAGTGAGAAAAGCCATTAATCGGGGTGGTCTCTCAACTAGATTCGGATTGAGACAGGGTGCTAAATGGCCAGGGAGGCCGGGCCAATATGCAAATCGAACCGGAAACGAAGACGGTCGAGCCGATTTGAAAGTGAGGAGGAGCGCTCCCCACAAAGAAGCGATTGTCAAAGACTCCGGCAGATTAAATAGCACAATAAGTCAGTCGATCGCGAAACTTGTTCATTTGAAAGTTGAGTTCAAGTTCAGAAATGGCAATGGCAGTCGTTGTTGACCACAATGTTGCCAACAGGTTGCTATAATTTATCTACCACAATAAGCTATTATCCCACATACACGAATAGTTGTCAACGGGAACGACAAAGCGACTTATGTTTTTGAGGAGGCTTTGATACCCTAATCGAAGATTTTATGGGGGAACTTGAGTGCTCAAGAGAGCAACATTCTTGGAAGACCTCTTGATAACAAAAAGTGGTTTGAATAATTTGTATGACTGCTAAAAAAAGTTTATACAGATTTAGTTTAATATTTATTTTACTATACACTATATACTGTTATGTTATTTGGGCAAACTCACTCCTAGATTTAATATACCCCCTGCTTTCCCTACCCAACTTCTTTCAAAACAAACGGCCATCCCCGATGCTCACACAATAATGACTTTGATCTTTAACCAATGGAACAATCGGATATTATTTTTGCATAGGCATGTGGAGTGAAAACGCAGAGTGGGGTTTATGCAATGGGCAAGTGTGAGGCATTTAGATAACATTTGGCCAGCCTCTCGCAACGATTTCGGGGGGAATTTGGCCGTTTTCAGGGAGGGCCAGGAGAGCAGCAGCAGCCCGAAAAGTCGTGTCAAGACAAAGTGCAATAATTCACACTCACTTTCGGGTTTGACGGCTTATAGGTGGGAACACTGGCAACATTAGCAGCAAAACAGCAACAGCAACAGCGCAACAGCAACATTGCAACGCGGCAACAACCCCGCGGCAACAACTTCAGAATCGACAGCCCAGACACTCCACTTACTCGAATATAGAGTCCCGTGATTATGAAACTTTACATGCACTCGGCTGACACTTTGGATAGTTTATGAGTTGATAGACTCCAGCGATCCCATTGTCCAAATAAAGTCATAAGCATGAGCAGTGTAAACAAATTCAATTTACGATTCTGCGATCGGGCATTCGAAGTATGAAATGTTCGGGCAATTTTGCATTGCCTCCGGCGGCAATTTTCAGCTCTCGGATTTATAGTTCAATTTGATCATGATTTATCCGAACGCCCATAAATAATAACCGTGATTAGGGGACCAGGGAGTGGCCTTTGGCCAGCTCTCCAATCGTCGGCGATCCGAAATTTAATTAGCCACGGTCCACGGGCCAGTGGACAGGTGCTCGGAGATGCAATCTCCAGCTATTTGCATACCATTCTGGGGTTGAGTTCCGCAGAAGTACAGCCTCTTGGGATCGCATCTTCGGGAGCCCCGCTAGCGGAGACACGAACCGCAGCCGAAGAGCAGCCAGCTTCGGGCATTCGGAGAACCGGACTTTCGGACTTTCGGAGTCGGCGGCCGCTACTTCTACTTGGCGTTGCATAAAAAGTGGTTCAGTGGAGCAAACGCCTTCAAACCGAAAACGTCGGAATCGCGAATCGAATTCGAATCGCGGACTTCAGATCGCGCGGAAGTGAAGTGCAGCCAGGATATCCATATCCATATCCTTCCCCCTCATTTTGTGCTATCGTAATACTCCCTGTGTTCGAAGGCTTCGAGAGATAAACTCTTAGGTTTATTTTCAGCGTTTGGAATACACAATCTTTTGGATACACCGAGCAATTGAATTCTAAGCGAAAGTGAAGGTAAGACGCTCCCTGGAGAATGAAGGGGAGCAAACTGGCCAGTTTTTGGCATAAATTACGGAAATCGTCGGATTATTAATTAGATTTCGCACGAATGTTCCTGAGCATCAAATAAAAAGATTATTTATTGAGCATTCGCTTTCGACTCATCCAAATGTTGTGTTATGTTATTGCCGATAGAATATTTGTCTCGAACTGCATAAAAAATGCCAAAATGGAAAATACAATACATTCTTTGTTTGCCAAAACTTTAGCTCCGGTTCAGGTTGAAATATATATGCATAGCATAAAAATCAAATTAAAAATTCAACTCTGTTGAAATTGCAATCAGAGAAACTTGAAATAGAACTATTTATTTATGAATGCTTATGCTTTGTTTTTGCCAAGAGAACATTCATAGGCCAAATGTCGCAGATTGCATAAACATCATACAAAGTTGTAGAGCTCTTAAGAGGATCTTCACATAAATATAAATCTGAACGGCGCCCAAATTTATTAATATTCATACCAGTTTGCCTAGTTTTTGGCAAGTTGTTGCATTGCGGAAATATGCTGGCTATAATGAATGCAAATTGTGCTAAGTTTTATCAAGAACGAAGATTCGATTTCAGGGAGATCAACAAAGGCAATAATAGGCTTACTGCGGCTTTGCTGTCGAATGACAATTACAAGTGTCTTTTTGCTGCGGATTACTTTGATTAGGTTCAATTGAAACTGAATTGGCCATTGAAATTGCCAGCGAATTGCGCTTTAATCAGGCTGACAGACGTCACACGGTGGCAGACAGACTAATTTGCATATTAATTTTAATTGAGTGAACAGCGACCGGCAGGAGACATCCATCGATAAAGTTCACTCCGATTGAATTGGAAAATGTCAGCCCCCAGACTCAAGCTCCAGTCAAATTCGAAATCGAAATGGAAACTGAAGCTTAAACAGAAATAGAGCCATTGGCATTGCAGCTGCCCTGGCTACTTGGGTACTTGGCTACCTGGTGGGTCCCCCAATATCAGACACAGAATAAATTTAAATACAATGCAGCTACAGATTGTCCAAACAAATGTGCTTACAGCGGAAAAGTGCTCTAGCGGACCCGAATTGAAAGCTAGTTCGTTGCCTAAGTCTTTTGATTGACTGAAAGTCGGCGAATTTATGGCAGCATCATCGCCCTCTCATTTCTCTTTTTCCAAAGCCATAAAACCCCACCTATTCATGCTTCCGACTGGCGAGTGACAAGCTTGGCAAATTGTTACACACTATCCATTCAATGTCATTGGCAAAAAAACTAACTTGGCTAAACCGAAGCAGAAACACAAAAAAAATTCGCAAATGCCGCACTGTATTCCATCATTGAATTTGCATATGCAAATTTCATTCCCACGACTTTTAATTGCGATGAAAAAACCAAAACTAGAAAAGCGAATGGAAATGCTAAAGAAGACCTGGAACTAGTCGAGTGATATAATTCTCGATAGTTGTTTGTCTTTCAGGCTGACACCGTCAAGGTCAAGTGCGTGATGCTATCACCCGACATTTATCACCGATCAAGGCTCATTCGTAGCTTCTTAGGTATATATTTTTTATGGTGTATTGTTAAATGACTTTTAAACTTACTTATGATACCTGATTGGGAGAATCTACATTACGGTAATTCACAGAAATCGTTTCTTTGCAAAAGTAATTTGGTTGAAATGTTCGAAACCATGTAGACATCATTAGCTTTTCTTGAGCTTAACATTTTCTTGGAAACATGCATTGCCTTTTTAAAATATATTACAGCTCTTAAAGAGGGGATTTTACTTCTCTTAATGGCAACTCACTTTGATTATTTATTACACAATATTTGCCCCTCACCTAAAAGCTTAGAGCTTAATTTATGTAAGTCATTTCTGTAAAGAAGAAGCCCTAAATGTCTATTCTCTCTGTTTATTTAATGTACTGCCACCGTTCCCATAAATCTTTCTTAATGGCTGCTTCTAGAATATGCAAACTCTGCCTCACTCAAAGTGTCTTCTTAGTTTTATGATATACGACTGCCCGACACATCTTAGCATCGTTTTAATTAGCGCTATTAGCACACTCATCGAACAAGGCTAATTAATGAAGCAAAGTTAAATGACTTTTATGCGATTTCAATTCGATTTCCCCGCAACCCATGTGTCATAATCAAGTCAGAGCCCTGACACTTCCCCCGCGGCAACAAAGCAGGTGAACACGGGCTCTAAATTCAAGTGAGCTCAGTTTGGTGCAGAAAATTAATAAATAAACCCGAGGAAACCAGACCAGGCCAGAACCATGGGTGAGGCACAAGCCAAAGTCTGGGCTGCACCCAGAAATGCGTACAAATCCGTTGACATTTCGCCCGACAACCTTACAAGACACTCCGGCCAGCGATTCCGATTCCCATTCCGAGTGGAGGAGAACAGCAACGCGAGACAGACAACTACTAATTGAGTTCCCCCTCCGGGACCAACATTAATTACCCTCTGGAGCGGCTCCAGGTTCCAACCTTTTTGTTCATTAAGGGTGGGCGGCGCCCAGTTGGGCCGTGGATTATGTAACGCTTGTATCTTCGCGGGCTAAATGTTCAATTTACAAATTAGCCAAGGCAAACGCTTGGGTGCAAAGGTCAATTACAACAGCAGCAGCAGCTCGAAAACAAACAATCGTTGTGAAATCCTTGTAAGCGAATCCAATATACAAAATCCAAGTCCGAGTCGAAACAAATAACAAACAATAACAAGGGCAGGCCGACGAATTAATTGAAAGTATTTACAAAACTGGTGAGCATTTAATGCCGACCAACAATCAGAAAAATCGGACTGGATTGAAGAGCGCGGAAAAGCAAAGCTGATTGAACCCCAAATTGATTGAGCGCAGCGGGAGATCGGTTCGAAAGACTGGAAAAATCTCCGAGCTGTCGAAAGGGTTTCCACCCACTGACCTCTGGGTAATTAGGCAGCTGATTGAATGTTTCTTGTGAGTGGATTAAGGTTATAACACCATGCAGCTTAAGGAAGTGCCAAGAAAAACTATTTCTGGTACAAATATTGAAGCAAGGCTAAGCGTGCTTTGCAAATCCCAGAATTTCCCAACTGCATTTTTAACGAAACTTCCTCTGGTGTTTCGCAACTATCCCCACTACCACTGAGGATCCGAAACATTTCTAAGAAGAAACCAATTTAATCCGAACCATTGTTGTCTTCCCCCGAGGCGTCGATTATTGTCGGCCAGTCAAAAGTTCAAATTGGCAAAAATATTGATTGTGGGCCGAGTTCAAGTCGGGTTGAGTTGAGTTACTCAAGACAGTCAGGCAGTCACGCATGTGCCCCTTTCGATTTCGATTCGCCTGAATCTGAATCTGAGCTGGCATCTCTTTTCGGCGATTTCTCAATTCGGGTTTCGAGTGCTATGCAAATCGATCGGTTGCCTGGTAGTTGCCCATTCAATTCAATTTGCATTTCCCAGACAAAGTTCGTGATATGTCAGCGGGCGTTAGAATGTGTTGGAGGTCACTCCGCCCACTTTTGGTACTCCGGCCAGTTGACACTTTTGCCGGAGCCTCGCAATTAGCAGAACCTTTCAAATAAATCGTCCAATGTCGCTGGCATTTGTGATGAATTTCGCTCCGCTGCGCTTTGATTCCGTTTTAATTGCTTTATCAAAATGCCAAAGCCTGCCCCCAAAAACGAATGACTGAGGCAACGAACTTGATTTGAAAACGGGTTGAATCTGCCTTTGTCTTCGCTCCCCCTATTTGTATAGTTTTAACTCACTGCTCGGGCTATAATCGCGGGATCTTAACTGCTAACTGCTGTTTCCTCCGATTGTGCAGTGATGTGTTGCTGCTGCTGCTGCATTTGCATAGCCGTTGGCACCTGTCCCGACTTATTGGAACAGTTTTATTGGCGCTTATATAGCGTACACATGTTACTTCTTGTTTATGCTTATTTCTCCGCTCTGGTATCCAGGTCAAGTCGGCTGTCATTTGATGCAAGTTATTAGCCCGTGTTCCTCCAGCCACTACAAATTGCGTTCGGCTCTCAATACGGTCAAACCCAACGCACATGTGGGCGTGGCCGGCCACTAAGGCGTAGCTTTGATTAGAATTTCGGTTTCGCAGAGAATAAATGCTGGAAAATGTGTAAGCACATTTAGTTTACCCAGCGAAGTTTGCCTTGAACCGAACATTGTTGAAATTAAGGTGGGGAAGCTCAAAGTGGTTTTTCCAATTGAAAATATGCTAATGGGCTGAATCCTAAATTCGATTTTTTACAGCATTACAGCAGACAATTATAAATTAAACGGTTTCTAAAATTAAACGTATTTAATTTAAATGAAATTAAATGTCAGAAGACAATTACTTTCAATCATTCTTGTTTATTGCTTTCAATTAATGAAGTGTAATTAAAAGCTTCAAGGATGTTCTAGATTTCTTGCGTGCCACCAACTGTAAATCGCTGAACTGCAATTAAATGTTTAACACCTTAAACTGCCCAAAATATTTGGTTTAACTAGACCCGCTCGAACACCCGCTTTAATTGCCGAATAGAATTTCAGGCGCTATTCATGAGTGATTGGGTAAATTAGCATCGGTCAGAACGAGATAGACCCACACATACCCAAGCTGATTTGATCCCAGATAGATGTTGCAACCAGCAACCAGCAACTAGCAACATGCAACCTGCAACAGCGTCGCTGCCTGCGAACGACATCAATTAGCGGCATTTTAAGTGCGTTCCACGTTTGGCGTGAAAAAAGCTGAAAAGCGCAAGAGGAAAATGCGTCGAAAAACGCCTCAAGTCAATCAATTTTCCTAGTGCGGTAGTGCACAGAAAAAAACACGTTTAAATATTACTTTTTAATTTAAGTGAGTTCTTCTACTCTGTCTCAATCTGTGGTAAATAAATAACTCATCTGATTAATCCTTTTAAAGGACCTATACTCTTGTATTAGTTTGCCACAAAAAATAACTCCAAAAAAAGGTATTTGGTTTTACTTTTTCCTGTGTATTGGCCAACAAGGAGGCCCGAACTCGAGCTCGACGCTCGGGCCTGGTCAAGATTGCGTGGCCAGATTGGAAGCCATTTGGAAAGGCAGCGCTCGAGTTACGCGCCGGCAACTTACGCAAATTTTGTCAGTCCTCGCTCGCAACAGCTCTGCCCCCCCGAAATGGCCCAGATCCTCGATCTGCGATCCCCCAAGGCCCCGAGTGTCCGAGCCACTAACGGCCGCCTCATCAGAGGGAGATACTCAGCGACACACCCTAATCGGGCCAGGTCTTTGGATCTCTGTGGCTCGGAGTGCCAGACTGCGACTCTGGTCACTGGATGCTGGATGCTGGTGTGTTGGATTCGATGTCTGGAGTCGCAGAGGTTTTTAATTGAAATCTGCAATGGTCCGACTGTCTGGCGGACAACTAGTTTACGCATTTGAAAGTGCTGTGCTGTGCTGCGCTGGTAATTAAAAACTTGTCGTTCGATTTGATAACTTTTCTGAGTACCCTTTAAACGATTCGGGGCGAGCAGATCTCAAGGAGCGGTTTGATGGCCTTAGGATAAGTAATGGGTTTTTTACGGGGGGATATAAAACGATGATTTAACTAATGTGATTGGCTGTTGGGTATACCAATTTATTTGCCAGACATTTAATTACCGCTAGAGGAATAGAGAGAGATTATAGTTTTTTTTTATTGATAAACAAAGTGCAAAGTTAGTTGAATAATAATTCACCCAGACATTGTTGCAAGAAGCTTCAACATACCACCTTAGTTGCATATAAATTTTCCATTTTATCACCTAAAACCTCTACTCTGGCAATTAATTAAGCCCCAAATCAATACTCGTTAAGTGTTTGGTAAGAGTATTTCGCCGGCAAGCGACTTCAACCCGGTTCCTTTCGCGTTTCTAAGTCGGACAACACGGCGCATACGCAACATTTGTCATGATATGTCCACTTGGTCTGGACATGCTCATTTTCGGCATGCTGGTCGCTGCTAGAAGGATGTACAGCCGAGTGATTAATGTGCTGGCCACTCTGTTGCCAACCCCTCGATGCAGTCCGCATTCCGGCCCTGCTCCATCATCCCGAGCTTTAAGTAGCGATGCCAATTGATACCAGTTTATCGAACCAGTTTGGACGCAATGCGAAAACCCAAACAAAACGCCCCTCGACTAATCCGAAAATCCCAAAAAATGTATATCGGTTGGGCATTGCACAACCTCCAGAGAGGAGGAGGCCGCAACGTGACATCCTGGCTACTGGATCGCAGTAACTTAATATGCAGCGCATTGATTACGCTTTATGGCCACAACTTCTTAGCCTTTGGCTCTCGGCCAAAAGTGAGTGGGAAAATCGCAATATCTTGGCGCGGCCAAAAGGATTTTAATTAACCGATTGCCTAAAAATCTAATTTCCGCTGCCAAAAAAAAAAGTGCGCCACCACTTCGGTGATGCAATATCATCCGAAATGTGCCACGCAAAAGTTATCAACAAATCAAAGCCAGTCCGCGCCGCATTGACACAGTTTTCCCGCCCCGCTTTCCACCGCCCACTCCTGCCTGCCGCCCCCTTTCGCTGGCGGTGGAAAAGCCACAGAAAATTTATAGAGCAACGTGGATGTGGACCGGAGTCGAAAGAGCCAGGCCTAGAGCGAGGTGCGTGAGTCGTTCAATCAATGCAATTCATTCATTGAGCCTGAAGTGGCCAACAACACGCAAGTTGACGTTTTGGCCTGCTGGCCAAGTGCCTTTCAAGTCCAGTGGCGTTGTTGTACGGGGAGTTTTTTCCTCATGAAAATTGTATTGATTTTATAAAATTATGTAATAAGAAAAAAGCTACTTTTTGCACAATCCTAAGAAGGGAAAGCATACTTGCAGATTAATCGAGCTGTCACCTCCAAATTCTATTCATCCCCTTTCACCCCTTTTAATGCAGCATGTGTATTCCCCTTTTTTCTTTTTAATAAACAGCACCCCTCTGTCTGCTTGGCACACGCTGCCAGCTCAGAAAAAAATGCGTTTTTGGAGTATGCAAAAAAAATTCATCAGACACAAAAAAAAGTAACAAAAAGACAGCGAAAAGCGATGACCAGCAAAAAGTTGCGTATGGCCACAATTTATTGATTTATTATCTTGCGTATAGCGGATAATTTATTACAAATCTATTTGAGCTAGTCCCCCGATAAAGGGGCTTTCGGTTAGGGAGACTTATGTGCGTGCCAGGAGATTTATTTTTCTGAAGAGGTGGATAAACAAAAGACTTAGGCAACAAACGTGTTCTGACGGAGTCATTATTGCACAACATTTAAAAGGATTTTCTAAGAATTAGAATTATATTTTGATGACTAAGCTAAAAATAAATAGCAATCTAAGTAAGTTTTCTGATTGCGATCCAACAACAGTTTTTCTTTGTTCTCCATAAACTCCGCAATAAAAACTCCTTTACAATCCATTTGGAGCACTACATAACTACGGGCATTATTATCTCCCCTTGTTAATGACTTAATTAAACGCCTTTTATGTAAACAACGGCAAGTGAGCCGGCAACAACTCGATGCATGATCTGAACCCGCAACTGACACCAGAGCAACGCCCACGCAGCAACAACAACTGGAGTAGGAGCCACAACAACAACAACAACTACAACTACAACAATGACCACACGCCACATGGCTGCACACTTCCCACGCCCCCTTGCCGCCCCCTTCAGCCCGATTCCCCCCTTTTAGCCATGGCCCCTGAATTTTTTTGCCGCTGTTTGTTTTCGTAGCTACACAATGGGAAATATATTTGAAAGTTGATCAGATTTAATTATTACTATTTTAATTTAGATTGCTTCCATGAAAACAATTACAGTTGCATGATTAATCTTGACACCGATTAAATAATTATTTTCATTATGAACCCACTCTATAGTTTGCTCAGTGTAGTGCTCGTTGGCCAAGTGGTGGCGACTTCAAGTTGATAAATATCATTAAGCCGCCCGCCTGGCTGTTCGCTTTTGTTCGGAGCGCCCAAGAAGATTGATAATGCCGCAAAAAGCAGGGCTATTTGTGTGGGAGGTGTTAATAGGACGAATGAATATAAATATCCAATTAAGTGCAGCGATTTGACTTAATTGGCTGGCCATTTGTGGGGGGCGCAGTGCGAATGGAGTGAATGGAGCCGGGAACCCTGGTGACTTAAGATGTCTGCCATCCGATTTGCTAATTAGCGCGGAGCTCTCTTCCGACCGCCACCTCCCATTATGATCGCCGCCTTGGGCAACGATCCGTGCATGAAATATCACGCCAATTACAGTAGCGGCTAACTGGATCCAGCCGCTCAACGATTCAATGATTCAGTGATCCACCGATCTACCGGCAAACCACAACCAGTTACTCCTAACTCGGCGCACTGCGAAATTGAATCAATTAAATCAAAAAGAGTGGGGATTGAGAGGATGAAAGAAGTGCGAATGATGTATACTCTTTTTTATAGATCATTCGATTAAATAATTTGATTTAATTAGATTAAGTCATATCTTTTTATTTGCACAATAAATACTTATTTATTCAAGCAGCAAAAACACTGCATTATTATCTAAATTCTGTTTAAAAGGAATCATACTGCTAGCTAAGTTACCCCATTTAGTTTGTAGAGTACAAACCTCATAAACAGCGCAAGAGTTGAGTGAGTTTGGCTCAATTATGTTTACGACTGCTCTTTAAACATTAATCGAATTGATTGAGCGGTTATGTGATGTCTCATAAATAGGCATTTGTGTGCCAAGAGGTGTTTCCCCACCCAACTCCCAGTTTCCTCTTTCCATTAACCGATCATTAGCTAGTTACTACCTCTCGATAATCCCATTATCTCTTGTCTTGCAGATGCCTTTCCACCGACTGAGTATTCTGGGGCTGCTGCTCCTCTCCTTGGCTTGCGTCCAAGCGGATGTGGGATACCACTACAACCGACCGACGAGACCCACGGCTCCTTCGGCTCCAGGATCGGTGTACACGGGTCACCAGTTCAGTGCGCTGCCCACCATCCACCCGCTGCCCCCGATCCCGGCACTTCCTCCGCTGCCCACTGCCAGGGTTCCGCTTCCGAGGAGTCGTCCCACTGCTCCGGCCGCCAGCATCGTTAGCCACTATCTGCCGCCCAAGCCGGTGGTCTCCACCTACGTTCCTCCGCCGGTGGCTTCCCCCCTCTCCTCGATCAGTTTCCACGGCACGCCCACCTTCAAGCCGGTTTACGGTCCGCCGCAGGCGAGGATCACCCCGCCGGTGCCCACTCTGGCCACGCCCATCGTGGTGCCGCCCACCGGACCGGCTGCCTTCGCGGCGGGCGGAAGCCTGCGGATTCCCTTCGGCAAGCAGGCCCTGATTTCCCCCGGAGAGTCGTACGTCTCGAATGGCAGGCAGCTGAAGCAGTACGCCGTGATCGAGATCATCGACAACGACATCGACGAGACCCCGGCTCCCTTCTCCAGCTTCTTCGACCGGTTCGGAGCCCATGTGGGCGCTCCTTCGGGGAACGGCATCCAGATTGATTCCCGGGCCAACTCCCTGCTCCTGGAGCAGCAGCAGCTGGCCATCCAGCCGAGATCCCAGGGCGGATCGCAGGCGGGAGATGCCATAGCCCTGGGATCGGGAGGCCTGGGCTTCGTGCGGCTGCCCAACGGGAACGTCTACCTGGGATCGGGATCCTTGGGCTACATCAGTGGTCAGCAGCGGGTGGCTTCCGTCCTGGAGGCTCGCACCCGGTCGGAGTCCACCTCGGATGCCCTGCACTTCGGCCACGGTCCTCTGGGCGGAGCAGAAAACCTGCTGAGGTTCAAGTAGAGAGGCTACCCTCCCACTCCCACTCCTACACACACACACACACACGCACATCTACATCACATCTATGAGAATATGTATATTTTATTGTAAATATGTAATTAAAGCACCTTCTTGTTTGTGTAGACTGTAAGACTTGCTTAAACTATCTGAGATTCTTGTACATTTGTCCTATGCGAAACATCGAAACTTGATCGAGTATGAATAAATATATATGGTTAAAATAAAGGCAATCGGTTATCAATATTTTTTATGCCGAATAGCGGACACTTTGAAAATATTTATGAAGTATATTTTTGCCCAAAAGTAGATTATACTTTTTTAAAAAGACAGCGAATGCTGAAAATACTAAAACAGCTTGGCGGGAATTTTTCAAAATTTTTATTCTCACTTCGAAACCGGAAAACATTGTGAATTCACTATTTTATTACCTATACAATTCGCTGAAAATTATTCAGTAGTGCATGGGTTAATTAATTCATTGTTTATTCAGTTCAGAGTTAATTAGCATGTCTCGAACTATTTGTTTTAGCTCGCTTACGTAGGTTGCCAATTGAAATAAATTGATTGTCTTATATTTATGCTCTGTAAACATCTGCGAGTCCCACAGCACTATTTGCACTATCTCGATCGGTCGAAATTTTGCACTGCGCTGCTAAATCAGCTATATCTGCTGAATCTGTTGAATCTGCCGAGCAAACACTTCGCCAGCGCCTGTTTGCCATTCGTATTGAGTAATTATTCATGCGCAGTATTCAAATGGTTCTGGAACGTGCCGGGATAAGTAGTTGTTGCTGCAGGGATCGGTCTATCTGAACATGTGCTCGGCATACTACTTCTGGCCATACATATACATTAACATATAAGTTTGTTTTATGGGGAAAAAGGGCGAAAGGGGAAGTCGTTCTCAACTGCGCAGTTAGCCAAGATCTATTTTTTGTTGGGCTTGTTTGCCGGTTTTTAGATACACACGAGCGCCGTGTTGATCTTTTGTTTGGCTCATAAGCATATATTCATTTTCGATAACTGGGACACGCGCTGCCGAGGCCACTGACTGGCTAACTAAAAAGCCGGCCGGTATTCCCAGCTGTCTATAATCCACCCCCACCACCCCCTCTCGCATTGTTTCTTCCCAAACAGTTCAACAAACTGCCAGAAACAATATTAGCCGAAAACTGACTCAAGGTGAAGTGGAAAGTGTTCTATCACACGCGTGGCCTCCCAAGGTTCATTCGCTGATAAAGAAAGTAATTTGCCAGCGCACATGTTCTTGCCAAACATAATTATAAATTAATAATAGAAATACGAGGCAATTACAGCTGATTAAAAGGCAGGCTTATCTTTTAAATAATGCGTATTTTTTTATTGCTTTTACTTAACATCTAGAGATTTACAAGATACAAAGTCAATATGACCGAAAGAACAAAACGAGGTGGAAGAACCAAGAACTTAGCTTCTAGTTAATGGGTTTGGCTAAAGCGGTGCACACTGAGCCTATAAGATCGGGTTTAGTGGGTTGTCTACGAACTAAATGATTTGGCAGTTGCTGCTAGGTGCGACGTATAGTGGGTCCCCTACAGGTCCAGCTGGAACTGTTCCTGGTCCTCGATCTTCAGGGACTTGGTGTTCTTCACCAGTTCCGTGGGCACGGGCACACACTTCCTGAAGGGGGTGCGGGGGGTTCCCCTCAGCAGGCAGCTGGGAACGTTGGACGGAGGCGTTTGGCTCAGGGGAGAGCCACGGAGATTCTTCATGAAGGCCCGCTCGTAGATGAGTTTAGTGCCTGGAAAAACACGAAATCGGAAGGTACTGATTAGTCAGGGTGTCTGGTCTGCGTTGCATCAGAAAGGTATTCAAAGTTCCCGCTGATAAGACGGCTGCGTAAACATTTCTCCGTCGCGATTGTGAGTCACGAACCCCGGGCACATGTGCTCCGGATTCTCATGCAGCCAACTGATTCGGCGGGATGAGCAGGTTTCATCAGCCAAAAGGCAGGTGAGTGTGCAATAAGGTTTTCAAAATATTTAAACTCAAGATTGGTATTCGGGAGAATAAATGTTTACAGTTTCCAGAGCTGTTAAATAATTTCGAGTCCTAACTTGTTAGGAATTCCCATATCTTGTTTACTTTAATGCAGGGGTGCTCAACGCCTATGCACCGAGTGCACTTTTGTTTTTGTAGAGCTCTGTGCTTATGGGTAGTGCGCCCATAAGCACCGTGCATATGGGCTTCGATTTGCATGCGAAACAAAAACAATTTTGCTTGTTTCTTCATTACATCTCTGTCCGTCGTCACGCTTATCTGATCGCAATGTATTTTGTTTTTGTTTTTTCCTCGAGCACATGCACTGAAACTTATCTTTCTGTCTGCGTTGGCTTTTGATTTATTTCGTGGTGGACCATCGTAAGTGTTATGTTACATTTTTTGGCGGATAAAAATGAGTGATGACTTAGAGAGCAGTTTTTTTAGCATAAACTTTAAATGCGAAGTACAATGCGTAATATGCTTCGTAGTTCTGGAGGTAAAAACTTTTTCTCTCAGTGCACAGCTGCGCCCCAACACAAACGCGCCGCTACATATGTACACGTTTTCTTGTGGATGTGTTAGTAAACGCACTGCCATAAGACGATCTTGAGCACCCCTGCTTTAATGTGTAATAAGGTTAGTTGGTTTTTCTGTCGCTTTTGTTTGATCAAGTTTTCTTATCTTTGGGAATTTCTAAGGGCAAATATAATTTTGTGCTTAACTTGGCAGACAGTAAATATTTGTAGTCAAGTAATTGTTAATTAAAATTGTTAAGAATTTTACTAGCAAATGCTAGAAACTTTAGTTATACTCGAATCTTTCACGGAATCCCAAGTGAAACTTACCTCCAGGAGTGGTCGAGAAGATGGTTCCTCCGGGCGTGGAGGAGTACACCTCGGGCATGTGGATCGGGTCGGAGATGACGACCTTCCTGGTCATCATGGGCAGGGCCTGGGTGATGGCTTGACGGGCGGTGGGGGAAGCAGACATCTTGGCTGATTGGTTTTTGGTTTCTGGACGCGTTGAAAACTTTCCGCTGGACTTGTAAGCACACTCGATATGGCGGCGACAAATTGATTGTTTACACAAACTGCGTTGTTTGTACTTTGGCTATCAGCTGGGAGCTGTGGAGCTGCTGAGGCTTCTATACGTTCACCGTTGGGGCTGTTCGCTAAGCGATTGCTGGCGGTTCTGCGAGGCGAGCTCTATTTATACCCCCGACCGCTGCGCTCTCTCGCGCAGCTATCTCTCTCTCTCCCCACTTTCCTCTCTCTTTGGCTCTCTCACCTGATTATTCCGCTTGGTCTGCTGCATGGTACAATTATACAAGGTAGTCTCGTCGGCAAAAGCACTCCCCTATTCATTACTCACCACAAGTGCGAGTGAGAGAAGTCTGCGTAGTAAGTGCGAGTGAAACGACAAAAAAGCTCTTTGCTTAACCCTTAGATTGTGCATGGGGCTTAAATTGTTCATTTATAGTAATAGGAGTTGAAGTTTTTTATAAATTAATTTTTAATAGTTTTGAATTTAAAATTAAACGTTGTTTTTATTTTTGGATAGTTATTTCTTTGTTTAGGTTCTTAATTTTAAAATAAATGTCAATATTAAAGTAAGTTTTTTTAATATCTAAATTAATGTTTCTTAGTAGCTATTAATAGTTTCTCCTTTACATTTTTTGTTATACTAAAATTATCTGAAACGATATGTTAAAAAACAAAAAAAAGTTTTCAGCCAAGGGCAGAACATCTTTGCACAAGGGTTAATACTCTGAAAAAATTCGTCCGCACACGTGCTCATCCTTCAACAAGCACGAACGCACTGACTAAAAAGCCGAACGATTAGGCAACCGACGAGACTACCTTGTATAATTGTACCATGGTCTGCTGATGTTTTTTGTTTTTATCTGGGTGTATTTTCTGCGTAGTTTATGACAAACCGGGTGTTGTTGTTGTTGCTCTTGCCGTATTCTAATAACCCCTATTGTTTTTGTTTTTGCCCGCTGCACACCTCAGGCGATAAGGGGAGGGGGAGGTGGGGGTCGTCCGTCTTGAGGGGCTTCTCGCCTTGAGCTCTTGTTTATCTTTAGCCATTTGTTATTGTTTAATGCACGGCAATATTATTGGTAAACAAGTTGGCCAGCAATACTAAACGGCAATCGCATTTTTTCTTAAAAAACCCTCTATTATCTATCGATCTTTGCTAGGGAAATGTGGTGACTCAGGTGCAGGTGAGATGTTATCAAGTTATCAGCGACTGTCTATGGGAGTTTCGAAGAATTTCGGGAAGTGCCGTCTGCTCTCCATGGGGCCATTAATTTTGCACTCGTTTTGCGAAATACAATTAATTAGCATAACGACACGTCGCCGGCAAACATGACGTAGGTTCTCAGTGGATTTCTGTGCACGTTAGTGCTCAGTGAGCATAGCAATTAAAATTTAAAATTTGAAAGTTTTCGGCTAGAAGATACTCAGTACTAGAAACTATAAAGATATCGTTATCGCACAAAAAATTATAAAAATGATTAAGCCCCCACAGACCCGTTAAGTTGTTTTGGCTTTAATGTAAACGTCAAAAGTGTTTAAATCAATGCAAAAATATGCTTGGTATGGTAAAAAGGTTCATAAAAAAGATCCAGACGTTGCTGACATAAAATAAAATATAATTTAATTATATAAAGTGTCTACACGATTGCCAAATTCAGCATATTATAAGAGTCGGTTTCTTTCTAGCTGGTTTTGCATTAAACCAGTATCTTAAAAATTAAATTAGCAAAGTTCCTCCTTTAGTAAATCCCGTACATCTCTCTGCATAAAAACTAGTCATCAAAAGAAACCCACATACCGAGTTTGAAGCTGGAACCTCCACTAGCTCCCGAGTTCCATGAGGTGCTAATTAGCATACCCCACTGATCGCAGCAACAACAGGGTATATCTAAGAAGCGGCACGAGCGCTTTTCGCCGTGCGGGGGCGATGTTGACGATTTTTAATCGTTGGACGCATGTAAATAGAGCTAAAGGAACTTTTGCTTACGACGACGCCCACGATTCGACGTAATTCGCTTTTTGGCCAGTGGCCATTTCGAGGGATGTGGGGTTACCGTGGGGTTGCCACGTGTGCTGATCTATGGCGATCACGATGTGGGACAAGAGGTGGCGCCCACCTAGGAATCTGCACAAGGCCGGAACTTAAGCGTGCTAATATTTATGGGTAAACAGGGGGAATCTTTCCAGGGCCTTGAAAGATGATGTTCGAGGGGGAGGGGAAAAGCATGACCCACATCCATCAATTACTAAGCATGGGGGTGGGAGTTAGCTGCATGCCAACTGACCCCCAAAACGGTAAACAGGGGAGCCAGAACCTAGAAAACACCGAGAGTCCCACCGAATTATGCCGTGTCATCCAGCACGTAGTCCACAGCATAGAACCGCCCTACGTGCCGGGCGATATGTTCAGACATCTTTGGGTGAGAGACCGGCGACTCTCCGCCACTTCTCTGCCACTTCCATTAGGGCTTATCAACCCTCGAGGAACCAGTTCGGATTTCGCTTTCGGTTTCATCGGACACACGTACCTGCGCAGAGAGAGAAGCATATAGAAGCCCCGAACGAGACGGCAGGAAGTTTTCCTATTGCGTTGCAGCCAAGTGAAAATGCGTCTCGAGAAATTCCTAGCCGGTTCTCTAAGCGCCGAGGGGTGTTCTTTCCATCCGCCGGGGGACAGGTATTATGTATGTAGTGAATTCGCCCGAATTTGTTTTCGGGAGGGCTGATGAAATTGCACCATCCGATTGCGTGGGTCATTACTACTCGGGGGATCTATTTCTAAACGAGTCTGCGATAGTTGTGAATGAGCTAGACGAAATCAACTTGTTTTTATTTTTCGGATCGAGCGAATCTCAAGACCAACGTAAACAAAAGAAAATCTGTTTAAAAAAAGTTAAGAAGAATTGTGAATGCTCTATAAAATACGATTTGGAATATAAATAATATTTAGATTAAATTTGTTGAACCTATTTTCCTCAAAGTTAAACATAGTTTTACAAATTCAAAACAAATTCAAATCAATAACCTATGCATTACTCCCATGAAATTTATTGGATAATATTTTATAGAGCATAAGAAAGTGTCACAGCAATCAATATTCAATGATACTTAAGATGGAAATCACATCTTTGGCTTTTGGTAGTAAATAAGTTTCCAAGAAAACATCGCAAATTACCGCGGATATATACATAGCAATAAAATCAAAACAAGTATTATCGGATACATTTTTATCTGGAACTTTCTTAAGTGCTGCTAAAAGGCTTCTTAACACCCCAACTGCCGTAAAAAAGGGCATTTTTAGAAGCAACTAAGACGAACATCAATCAGATCCCGCATCTCTGTTGACGTCGATGACCCACATTCTGTGAATTCGAATGAGCTGCGTCGCCGTCGTCGCGTTGGCCAAAAAATCATTTCAAATCAGTTGACTTTGTTTATGCACAAAATATGAAAACGCCGGGGAAAAAATCAGAGGAAATAACCAAAACAACCACACGACGTCCATAAATTAGCATGTGCTTTGTGCCAAAGATAATGGATGCACTGCGGAGATAAGGATAAAGCCAACCCAGATCGAGACAGCTTGACGCTAAGTCATTGCCTGCTGCGCTCAGGGATCTTCGATCTTCGTCCTCTCCCGGGACAATCGCGTAATTGCGTCTCAAATTACATCAGCTAAACAACGTGGATGGACTCGAGGGGTTCCGAGCACCCGGAGGGGTGGGAACTCCCTAGTCTATCTGGTGTCTGCTACCTCTTCCCGACTCCTCTTTCTGTTTTGAAAGTTCAACAGCCCCCTGATAAGGCTTGCGGCAGACCGAAATTGTATTTAGGAGGTCGAGTATACTACAGAGAGCATCAAATGCCCTTACGAATGGTTTATTTAGAGAATCTTTTACAGAACTGATTAAATAGTTAATACTTCGTTTAGCAAAGGCAAAAATACAACAAAAACTGAACTTACGTATATATCTGAGTCATATTACTGTCAATAAAGAAATGCGTATAAGGTGAGGTATAAATTTTCTAGATACAACCATACCCCTCTTCAAAATACCTAAAGATAGTGTATGCACAGCGAATAAAACGCAGAGTTTGTGGCTTGCGATCGGACAGAATCTTCGCTCCGATTGCGATCTGGCCGTCCAGATCTTTCACTTTCCGCTGCCATATATCAATAATGCATGGGGCAAGAATTAATGGAAGAATGAAATCTACTTGGCGAACTTATTTCGAGGAACCTTCGCACCGATCAATGAACTAAACCCGTGACGAGCGGGGTCCCCGAACTCGGCCGATCGACATGTGGCTGTACTATACGTATAGTTTACTTAAGTGGGAGTGGCTTGTTCAAGGGACGACTACTTCAGTCCCTCGAAGAAGCTGTCCATCATCGTGTGGTTGACGAACCCGAACTGCCAGCGCTGTCGCGGGTTGTCCCTCTCGCAGTGGTTGACCACCACGGAGGCCACGCCGTCCTCCAGCAGTCCCTCCATGCAGCGGTCCTCGGTTCCCCCGTGGATCAGCCACTGGGTCTCCCTGTCGTAGTACCAGAACTGGTTGCCCCCCTGGCTGTGGCAGTTCCACATCCATACCGTGGCGTTCGGCGGCTGTTGCTGGACGTCCAGGCAAACGGAGTCGAAGTGCCTCATCCGCACGTCGCGGTGCGAGGAGATCTCCCAGAACTGATTCGGCTGCGGGTTGGTCTTGTTCTCCGCACAGGCGAACATCCCCACCGCCTCGTGGTTTCCCCTGCCCATGCTGTCCAGGCAGTAGAGCTGGTTGGCCACGTTCTGGATCACTCCGTGGGCGTAGCTCGGCGGCTCCACGGGGGGGAACTTCTCCAGGAAGTCGGGCGCCACCTCCGTCATGAACCAGTGGAAGCTCTTGCACCTCAGGCGCTCCCTAACCCCGCGCTGCCGGGTCAGGTTCCCGGCGTCCAGGTTCTCGTAGGTCCCTGGGTTGCGGGCGTACACGTACTCCTTGTACTCGTCCATCCACACCTCAGCCACCCGTTTGTGGTTCTATCAAACAAATACTTTTTAGGGTTTTACAAACATTTGAAATACACCAACCGTGGCCACAAAGTTGTGTGTCCTTGGGTTCTCCCTTGGCCTCATGGGTCCCCTGAAAATGTGCGCCACCCTCGAGCAGGGAACATCCAGCAACATGCCGCCGCACATCCACACCTTGAAGCTCAGCTCGTACTGCTCCCCGCCCCAGATGTCCAGCTGGTCGTCGTAGCCGCCCAGGTCCCAAAAGAAGTCCGTGCTGATAGCAAACAGGCCGCCCATCATCACGGGACTTCGGAACGGCTGGGACTTGTCCACGGCGTCCTCGGGGAGAACGGGCAGTTGCTTGTAGTGCATCGACCAATCGAATCCCCCACGAGCTCCTTCCTGGTGGCCACCCGTGTAGGCAAAGTCCGCATGGGAAATGACATCCACAATGGGACAAGTGCATATTTTCGGGTTAATGGCAATGGGTTCGATCAGAGGAGGAAGCTAAAGAAACGAAAATATTATAAGAAATTGAATACCTTAACATCTGGTTCACTATAAAACCCCTCACCCAATTGTAGTTAACCTCGATGTGGGAATCAAAGAAAACCATAACTTGGCCGCGGGCCGCTTTGGCTCCAGCTATCCTCGCTCCAATGAGACCTCTTCTCGTTGGATTTCTCACTATGGTCACCAGTTGAGGAAAGTGCTGATCCACATAGTGGTTCAGTGGTTGCTTCAGGCTGATCCACTCGCTGCCGTCGTCCACGAGGACAATCTGCTTGAGTAACTCGGGAGGAGTGCGGTTAATCACACTGTAGATGGATCTCAAAAGGGTATTGAAGTGCTCGTTGAAGAAGATGAAAATCACACTGATGTTGGGCAGCTTGGCCAGGTACTTCCGGTTCTTGCAGCTAAAAGAGAGATAATGAACGTAATTAAAAAGTTTTTGTTATCAGTTGTAAGCTTACGCCTCGAGTCTGACATCCGGCACAGATCGGTTGACGGAGATGCGATCCGAAAGGAGGCCATTGAAGCCGTTCAGCTGGTACATCTCGGTTTCCAGCTCCTTATCGTCGGGGTTTTCCACGTGGACTGCCGCTCCGTGCTCACCGAAACCGGATCTTTTTCTGTCCGCCTCCATCTGCGCGTAATCGTGCCAGTCCTTGCGCTCTCCTTCAGGCTCCGGCAGTCGGAAGCCCACGATCTTGTCGCTCTTCGGCAGCTCCACGACGGAGTTGCGATCCTGGAACGGAGGTCGCGGCGCCTTGCGGGTGGGATGCACGTCGGCCGCTCTGAAGACTGGTGTTATGGGATCGCCGTTGGGGTCGAGCTTCTCCCCCGGGTCCGCCGAGTGCCGCATCCGCCGCTCCACAATCCAGGAGGTCACCAGGGAAACGCTGGCGATGGCCACCAGGAACAGGACGATCCTGCGCACCATCCGTTTGACATATCGCTTCTTCATGGCCATCGGAACGTCTTGCCGGCGGAAGTCCAAAGCGCTGAGTGCTGGCATCGCTGTGCAGCGAAGGGGCTCCTACCTGGTGACACCTGGCAGAAGATACAGCCATTAGTGTAATTGGTAACCTTGCGACTTCATGGCTTGGAGTTATTTCGGTGATAAGGCGGCCAAGTAGGTTCGACTTTCGGTGGGTCCAAAACACGCTTCTGCACTATTAATCAGTGGCACTCGGTCCCCTGGCCGATGACGTGTAAGACGCACATCCCGCACTCACCTGGTAATAGTTGAGCGAAAAGAACGATAACAAACCAGGCATCTCCGCATGCGATTTCAAATTAGCAAAGCGCGCGTCATGGTAGCGACATCTGCTCGGGTGTTCCCCGAACTAAATTCGATAGGGTGTATGCATCGTAAAAAATTAAAATTTCTACTGGACAATTCTTTTTAAGGGGTGCCCCCTACCAAGTTTTCAAAAACTTTAATTTTTTAAAGTTTGATCAAATTTGTATGCAACAAAAACATTACCCGCTAAAATACAATAATTTGTAGATAATTTATCTAGCTTTTTCGGTTGTCGCATGAATGATGAAGCAGTCTCTAATTAATTTGATGTTTGGGACTTTAAATAAACATTTTAATGTTTTTTTTTTGTATTTTTATTTATGCTCCCTGATATTGTGTTTGCGGATCATAGGCGTCGACTTCTCCGAACTTCCACTGCTGTTTTCGATTGCTTTTGTCGCAGACATTATTGGACAGGACCTTGCCAACCTTGCCATCCTGGCCCTTGGGAAAAGCTGCTTCGAGGCACCAAACCCATATCTGACCTTGTTGAATCCACCGGGTTTTCCGGTTGTAGATCCAGTACTGGTTTCCACCGTTGTCATGGCAGTGAAAAAGCCACACGGATTTCGATTTCTTGCCCTGCGCTTCCAGGCACTCATGATCGTCTCCCCTCAGCAGCCGAATCTCCTTCTCCTGCGAAAGATACCAGTTCTGGTATTCGCCAGGATTCGTTGCATTTCCAATGCACCGGGAGAGAACAACTGGATTTATGTGCTTTTGGTTCAGTGCGTCCACACAAAATCCGGGGAACGCCACGCTTTCGATGGGTCCAATCAACATCGACGGTTCAATCTCTGTCGGGTACTTTTTGAGAAAATCCGGAGCCACCTTGTTCATGTACCAGTCAAAGGACTTGCAGTTAAGTTGCATCTTACGGCCCCTAACACGAGTAAGGAATCCCGGCTGCGTTTTGTCATAGAGATCTCGGTTCCTTTCGTAAACGTATTTCTTGTACTCATCCATCCACACTTCTGCCACGCGCTTGTAGTTCTACAAGAAATGTACGTTGAAGGATCCAGTTGAAGAGGGATTTGCTTACTCACCCTGGCCAGGAAATTGTAGTTCCTCGGACTGGATCTCGGGGGCGTCGGTCCTCTGTTTATGTGGCCCACCCGGGAACAGGGAATGTACAGCAACATGCCGCCGCACATCCAGACCTTGAAGCTCATCTCGAACTGCTCTCCGCCCCAGATGTCCAGGTCCTCATCATATCCTCCGAGAATCCAGAAGTTGTTCCTGTCAATTGCCATGGCTCCCACTAAAAGCGGTGTTCGGTACGGCATAGAACCCATGGATTCGGAAAAGGCAGGTAACTGCTTCACCTGGAGCAACCAATTAAAACCGGATCGAGTCAGCATACTGGTCTTCATGTACTCAAAGGTCTTGTGGGAGATGGTATCCAAAATGGGACCGGTGACTATGTTTTGATTTACAGCTATGGGTTCCAGCAGGGGAGGTAGCTAAAAAGCGAAGAAATTACGTAGATTTTCCAATATATTGAATTATTTTTAAAGCCAAAATTCTCACCCAATTCACGTTGACTTCAATGTGGGAATCTAAGAACACCAAAACTCGACAGGAGGACAATTTAGCTCCTTCCACTCTGGCTTTAATCAGACCACGTCGTTCCTTTAGCCTCAATATACGAACTATTTTGGAAAAGTTTAGCTCTATAAAGTCTTCGAGTTTCTGTCCCAGTTCTGGAAAATTGCTGGCATCGTCTACGAGAATAATCTCCTTGAGTAACTCTGGAGGAGAGCGATTAACAATGCTCGAAATAGATCGTAAAAGGACGCTTAAGTGTTCATTATAAAAGGACATAACCACAGTCACATTGGGCAGATTCTTCAAGTACTTTCGCTGGCAGCAACTGATGATGATTATTTATTTACCATTAAAGTATTTTATTTTTGTCTTTTTTGGAGCTCACCTTAAAGGTCTGACTTCCGGCAAGCATCTATTCAGGGAAATACGATCGGAGAGCTTGGCATTGAAGCCATGAAATCCATAAAGCATTTCCGCATCTTCTTTTTCTTCAGCTTGTGGCGTTTCACCTGCCATATTCTGCTTACCTAATCCGGTTTTAATTGTACTCTGTTTTATGTCATGCCAATCCTTAATAGCTTTTTGATTGGGCAGACGAAATCTTCCACTGGGGAGCGTTTTTAAAATATCCAACTCTCTTTGGGATAAGGTAATTATTGGCAACGAAATCCCTATTTCCTGTTTTATATCTTTCTGAGAAAGCAGACTGGTTGGCAGTTCGGCTTTGTGGAACTCTAAATACTTTTGGTTAACTATAGAATCAATGATTCGTTTGTGTATCTGATTTCCCAGTATAATCGTGGATATCAAGGAAGCCAGTATAATGACGAACAGAAGACGCACAATTATTCGCAGATCTATATTCATGGTGACTATTTATTGTTTTGTGTAAATAGCTGTATAGAATGTAGATTTAACTAGGAGTTGTATAGTGCATAATATTCTTAGCCTACTTATATCGTTTTAAATAGGTTTATATATTGATTTGATACAAAATTTAAAATCCCGCTCAACAAATATTACAGACTCCATGTCTTCCCGGCAACTTTGGTTGGTACACTCGCTAACGTCGAATTATGTATGCCCTAGAATAGGGAGTGACTCGGCTAGGTTAGGAGGGTGCACTCGCTAGGTTGTGAATGAATGGAAATGAAATGGAATTTGGAAAATGCTTAAAGCGGGAAGATCGGTCACACTGCTGCGATCAGCAACGCATGGAAAATTTAATTTAAAAATTTAAATAAAATTTGACAAAAGGTATTCTGACATGGATCTCAACGACGCAGTGCTCACATGTGCGGTGAACATGCTGTGGACGAACTCCGTGGGCGTCACAGGTCGAAAACTGGCCTACAAGACGGCCACTTTGCGCCTGGTGCGGAACGATCTGCGGGAATTGTTTGTGGAAGTAACGCCGGAAAAGCTGAAGCCGCTAAAGTTCAAGCTGAAGGACCTCATGGTGCACAAGAAATTCATGTCCGAGGGCAAGGCCACCTTCAACTTCAAGGCGGAAAACTGCACGCTGTACCTCTCCAACGCTCCGCCAGGCACCTTGATGTTTTTCCTGCGCACGATTTTTATTAAAATGAATGGAACAGAAGGAGGATCGCAGCCAGACGATGCTACCCTGCAGAAGAAGCTCAGGGAACACCTGATGTCCGGAAAACCGAGCAGCTTCGATGACATCTCGCCGGTCACCACGGCCGAGATGATTTTGGCGCGCAAAAAGGCGGGCTTGATGTCCAAGGGTTCGGTGACCACGCCCTCGCCACAGGGAGCCAAAAAACGGCGGTTTGACGAGCTCAAAGAGGAGAAGGAGCGGGGCAGCTTGCCGGCGGCCAAGAAACTGTATCAACCTGCCACCGACGAGTCCCTCCGACTGAGTGAGGAGCAAATGGAGGTGCTGCGGGCCTGCACCTCTGGCAAAAGTGTGTTCTTCACAGGCTCTGCTGGTACCGGAAAGAGTTTTCTGTTGCGAAGAATCATCTCGGCTTTGCCTCCCGACGGAACGGTGGCCACGGCCTCCACGGGAGTGGCTGCTTGCTTGATTGGCGGCACCACCTTGCATGCCTTTGCGGGAATCGGAGGAGGAGATGCCACCATGCAGAGGTGTCTCGAGTTGGCTTCGCGACCCAACAGTGCCCAGACCTGGCGGAAGTGTAAGCGGCTGATTATCGATGAGATCTCCATGGTAGACGGGCAGTTCTTTGAGGTACTACTTTCTTTAAATTAGTATATCTTTCTACTTAGTAAATTCATGTTATTTGTTTTTCTAGAAAATCGAAGCCGTTGCCCGTCATATTCGACGCAACGATCGTCCCTTTGGTGGCATCCAGCTCATCTTGTGCGGCGATTTCCTGCAACTTCCGCCGGTTACAAAATCAGATTTCGGAGCAGCAGCCAGCTCTGGGTCTCAGCGGCGATTCTGTTTCCAATCAAGCGCCTGGGAGACCTGCATCCAGTGCGTCTACGAACTGAAGCAAGTGCACCGCCAGTCGGACCCCGAATTCGTAAAGATTCTCAATCACCTGAGGATTGGTCATGTCAACGACTCCATGACAAGTCGACTGGCATCCACTTCCAAGCAGAAAATCGAGGGGAACGGCATTCTGGCCACCCAACTCTGCTCGCACACGAACGACGCAAACTCCATTAACGAGTCCAAGTTGGAGAATCTCGACGGAGACAAGGTTTTGTTTAAGGCTGAAGATTCCGATGCCGGCATGACCAAGACACTGGACCAGCAGATACAGGCGCCCTCTCAACTATACCTTAAGGTAAATGCCCAAGTGATGCTTCTTAAGAATATTAACATCGCCAATGGTCTGGTCAACGGAGCGCGGGGCGTGGTCGTAAGAATAGAGAAGGACCTGCCGGTAGTTAGGTTCAAAAACAACCAGGAATATGTTTGCAAGCACGAAAAGTGGATCATCAAAACCGCCACAGGAGGCGTTATCACGCGACGCCAAGTTCCATTGAAGTTGGCATGGGCTTTCTCAATACACAAAAGTCAAGGATTAACCCTCGACTGCGTGGAGATGTCCCTATCGAAAGTGTTCGAAGCTGGACAAGCCTACGTGGCCCTCTCCCGAGCTAAGTCCCTCCAGTCTATTCGCATCCTGGACTTCGATGCCAAGCAGGTGTGGGCCAATCCTCAAGTGCTCCAGTTCTACAAGGGATTCCGACGCAAGCTGATGGATACAACCATGATTCCTTTGGGTCCCAAGAACAAGGACAAGAAACCAATTGACGGAAAGACTGCAAATAGTGCCCTAGCCAAGCTGAAAAAGAGTCTCATTAACAAGCCGCTAGTATCAATTAGTTGAAAACTAGGATTATACCGACCATATAAGATTTTTAGTATAAACGAGAGGCATAACCGATTGTCACAATATTACTGAAGACAAACCGACTTGATAAAACTTAAGAATAGTTTCTGAACTAATTTTTATGAAATCGTACATGCATTTTTATAGAAAATCCTTGAAACTAGTATTAATCTATCCCTCTAGCAATTATACATTTTGGGATTCCTTAGACAAATGGCTTAGTAATAAAGTATGGAAAATAGTATTTTAAACAAAATAACCAATACTTTCCTTAAGTAATGGCTTCCCAATTATAAGACTTGCACAATCCTTCGGTCTACCATTTCAGGTCGTGTATATTTAGTTATAACGGATAATGAAACTAGAAAACTTTAGCTCAGATCGGCTTGACGAGAACACAAAGGCGGAGTTTAGTGGGCGGCCTCCTCCTTCATGCCACTGCCCACGGGTCCATGACGACGCTCCCAGATCAGGCGATGCTTCTGCTTCATGTAAGCGGTCTTGGCATTGGCATAGCCACCCAGATCGCCATCTAAAAAGGAGTGGAATCGTTCAGTAAAAGCGCATCCATAGGCTGAATTATGGGGACAGGGATTCCACTCACACTTGATGAACCAGTTCTCGGTGGCCTTCTCGTACTGTTCCAGCAGCGGCTTGCACTTGACGATATGGTCGGGAGCTTCGTAGAGGGTGCAGTCCTCGAAGCGCTGGCGCAGAATGTTGACGATCTCGTTGTCCACCATGCGATCCCGGCGGAACTGCTGATCGGCCTCAAAGCGGCACACGGCGTCGTCCGTGTAACACTGATCGATGGTCGGAACGCGGCGGAAGCGCTGGTGGTACCAGTTCTGCTTCTCCTGGTTTGGCTCCACAATGCTCTCTGTGGAGTAATTGAAGGTTATTTACTTAATCATGCTCCAAATGTTTAAAGACAAGAGTGTAAACAAAAACAAATGCCCTGTGTATTGAGGTTATGTCATTATGTAATTGCCTGCAGTTTTTCCGCATTTTCCACTGATTTACTGAAGGAAACTCATCTATGAAGGCTTCAGATACTCCCAGGCCTATGATGAATCAAAACCCGTACATGTTACGTACCGCGGAACCATGTTATGGGTCCATCGATGACATTCAGCACCGACTCGGCAAAACTTGCCATTGGGCTGCGCGGCTCTGGCATTTTCTGGCGTTTGTTACCCCTGAAATACGCGTAAAGGGTGTTAGTATGCAGCTTAAAGAGTCTCAAATTTTTCTAGACAGTTATTACTTAAAAAAATAATAATTACACAAAAAAATAATTGAAATCCTTTAGTGTAGTAGGACCGCGTTCGGAATAACGAAAAATATATTAGACAGCATAGTCAGCTGATCGACGGGCGCGATGGGCACACAGCAAAAGGTTAGGTGGGTTTATGCGGCATTCCTGCACAGACCAGCTGTGGTCACACCTCGCTCAGCAACATTGCTTGGGTAATTTTTTTTTGTTTGTTAAATTATTATTTAAAAGTGTACGACATCGTACAGTTTAACCATTTACCATGACTTAAGTCCTCCTAAACATAAACGACAATTTTTTTTTTTTTTTTTTGCACGTGAAACATAGTGTTAAGGATACACAGCATCCAGAAAGTGAAAACGTCAAGAGCCATCCTGTGAATTTACCAATTAATAAAAAAAAAGGATTGCGCGATTTTAGGATGTGTAAGTGAGGTCCGCAACGCCAACGATTGCAGGTAAATAGATACGGACCAACCAGGTAGCCCGGGAGGCTCGGAATTCGGCCAGCGGAGTCTCACTTAAGGGGTGGTAAACAAACGCCGGCAATCGTACAGTCCCGGTCGCGAAAATATAGCCACGATGTTGGCCCAATCGGTCTACCTGAAGGTAACCCGCCTCTCGCTGCGCTCCGCCTCGAATCTCTCCAAGCGCCGCGTCGACGAGCTAAACGCGGGGATCGGGGAGCTGCGCCAACTGCTGTCCTGCGTAGTCTGCTGTCAACTCCTGGTAGATCCCTTCTCGCCGAAGGGCAAGCGGTGCCAGCACCACGTCTGCCGGCTATGCGTGCGCGGCAAGAAGCGGCTCTTCCCCAGCTGCACGCAGTGCGACGAGTGCTCTGACTTCAGGACCTACGAGGAAAACCGCATGTTGGGCACCCAGCTGCTCTGCTACAAAACGCTGTGCGTCCACCTGCTGCATTCCTCGTTGTTCGGCCAGCTGGCCGGGCTGAGGCCCCTGGTGGGCCGCGAGCTGGTGCCGCGCATAAAGCTACCGCCCAAGACCACACAAGAGTTCATCCGGGAGGGCTCCCAGATCTCGGACACGTTCGACACCTTTTTGCCCGAGCCGGACCTGCCCTTTCTAAAAGACCAGCCCACATCGCTGCCCGCCGAGACGCCGCCCACAACGGCTGCCACCACTCCGGAGCATTCATTCGACCAGCACCTCAACATCAGCGAGATCGAGGCGGAGGCGGCGGCCACGGCCGAGCAGGGTCACTTCTCCCCGCTGCCCCTGCTGCCTACGGGATCGCGGATGGGTCTGATGGCCCACGACGGACAGATAGTCATCGCCACCGAGTCCTCGGAGTCCGGATTCATGGAGCACGCGTGGACCGACCATGTGGATCTCTCCTCAGCCATTTCAGTGTCCGGCTTCCCCAGCCACGGCAGCAACTTTGCCGTCTCCTACGTGGTGCCCACGGCTGCTTCCACGCCGTTCGATCCCCAGCAACTGCAAATCGGTCAGTTGGTGCAAATGGCTGACTCCACGCAGTTGGCCGTGCTGGCCGCCGTCGAGGAGTCCATGGAAACCTCCACCCAGTTGGCTGTGCTCTCCACCAGCTTCGAGGAGCCTAAATTGTCCCCGCCCGCCGGAGAATCCGTTGAAATCTCCGCTCAGTTGACTGAGTTGCCAGTTGAAGATCAGGAGGAGGCGATGACTGAAATTGAGGAGCAGCATGAGGCCTCTGAGAAGTCGGAGTTTTTGACCGAAATAGTACAGCACGAAGAAGACAACACACAGTCGGAAGAGCCTCCTGTTTTAGAGGAAACTGAGCAAGTCGAGGAAGAGGCATCCAATAATAAGCGGAAGCTGGCTGAACTAGAAGCAGAGGAGCATGAAGAGGAAAAGGTCTTGGAGGAGATCCAGGCGGCGGTGGAGGAGACAGTGGTAGAGGAGTTACGTCCCAAAAGCGTGGAGCTGCAGGAGGAAGCCACTGATGAACCCCCACTCAAGCGAAAAAGAACCCGTAGTCTGAAGGCCTCGCAAGCCAACCAAGCCAAAATCGAACCCGCTCCGGCTGAGGTCAATGCCAAACTGCAGTCTGGCAAGGGCGCCTTTCGAAAGGTGCGCAGCAAGGCGAAGAAGGACAACGCCAAGCCAACGAAGGGCAAGTGCCGGTGCGGCATCTCCGGTTCCGCCAACCCTCTCACCACCTGCCGCAACTCGCGCTGCCATTGCTACACCTCTGGCAACAGTTGTGCCGATTGCAACTGCGTGGGCTGCAAGAATCCCCATAAAGAGGACTTTGTGGAGAGCGACGAGGATGAGGACGAAGTGCTGACAGAGCCAGAACCAGGGCCGATGGAGAAATCCGAGGAACCAGCAGAAAGTGCTAAGGAGGAGGAGAAGAGCCGGGATTGTGCTCAGCCCCCTCATCCAGAGCCATCGAACGACGGCATCAGCTTGGTTCCTCTGAGTAATCTGCAGCACTCTCAGCATCCCTTGGTGTTGGTCCAGAATGAAAAAGGCGAGTACCAGGGTAAGTTTATATAAACATCCAGTCGCACAATCTTCCATAACCCCTTCCGCTTGCAGGATTTAACATCTTCCAGGGCAACAAGCCCGTCGATCCAACCACTGTTGGCTTCATTCGCGTCCAGCTGCAGAACAACGATGGCAACAGCTCCATTCCACAGTACGCCTACGTGATGCCACAGCCTGCTATTCCGGATCCTCCACTCCCAGCACCAGCTCCCATGCTATCGCCACCTCCTCCACCGCCTCCGGAGAGAGAGGTCCTCGAGCCGTCGCCCAAGAAGTTCAGAAGCAGCAGAACTCGAAGGGGCAGGCCGAACTACTCGGCCCTCGACACGGTGGACGAACTTGTCAGTGGCGGATCGAGGAGCAACTCTGCCGCTGGCGACAGACTGTCCGCCACTGACAACGCCCACTCGTTGTTCGAGGAGATCATGTCCGGCTCGGATGACTTGTAAGGCGTCTCTTCCATAGATGTTGTGTTATCCCTGATTTTTTTTTTTTTTTTTTTACCTGTATTTTTAAATGCCCAGACGAATGTTATGTGTTAATCATAACTAGTCATAGGCCTGGGCATTATCACCCCTGAGCCCCTTACTTTATTGGATTCGTGTTCGTAACATATTTCTTAGATCCTCTACTCATGAAACAGCCACTCAACTCCTAAATATCTTATGGGATCATTTTCCAACATGAGGATTCCCCAGTCTGTTTGTAATCATCCAGCAAACGTTTCCAAAACTCATTTTTTTTATTAATTATTAAGCAGGTAATATTCGCTACAGATATGTAAGCAATTCTGCAGCTACCGCAGGAAATGTGTATTTAAGGGCAAAGCAATAGTCACAATTAAGGAGTTTTCGTTAAACGAACATCGAATTATTAAATAACTTTAATGCTTTGCTCGAAATGCGGTTGCTGTGAGCCAAAAAAAAAACTTTTTTTTTCTAAATTAAGCCCTTTTTTTTCATAGACTAAGACATTTTTTTGAGCATGAATTTTTTTGAGCACGTGAACCTAATCTTAAGAAACAATAATACAAACATAGCCATATATAGCCAAAATATATATGCGAAAACATTACTCTAAAATATTCAACAAAGGCAAATAAATATGAGCATTGCTGAAAATAAAACCGATTCGTTCAGAACATTTCTCCTCTTTATGAATGGGGGCTTGAGATTTCTGGAACACAAACGTTCTTGGGAGTGAGGCGAATGTTTCCGCTCACTTAAGTCACTCATTCTCAATTCCGAGTTTAATCAGCCGCTCCGCGAGGAGAGTCGCCCTTAGATAAGCGCTACTGATCGTCGCATCGCCGCCTGCTGGCTTGGCTTGGCTCATCATTATCTTCTGATTAGTGCGTGTTTGTCCCGAGTCGCGAACGGAGGCTGGAGCGCTTCCCTTTTTCTCCGAAACTGATAAGCAGAGTTAAAAGTTAATCTCACAAGATGAAGCCACTGATAGCGTTTGTGCTCGTGGGACTGCTGGCCAGTAGTTGCCACATTGCCCGCTCGCAGGAAGCTGGCGAAGGTGAGTCCGATCCCTTAGCCCAGCTCCACATAATCGATGCCACTTGTGACCTTTGAGCAGTTGTGGAACAGGAAGCGAGCGAGTCGGATGACGCACTTGAGATCAAGAAGAGCCAGGCGGCCATGGTCGCCCAGGTGGAGGCCCTGCTGGAGCACTTCAAGCAGGAGGATCCGAAGGGGCTGCCCGGCGTGCCTGTTCCCGATCCCCTGGAGGTGCCCGACGTAAAGAAGAGCATGGGCATGGCCAACCTGGACATGAAGAAGGTTAATGCCTACGGACTGTCCAAGTTCCGCATCGACAAAATGAACCTGGACCTGAAGGAGATGAAGGTATGTTCTTTCCGATTGAAAGCATGATCTTTTGGTGCTAACTACACACTACTTGCAGTTCAATGGTGGCCTCCAGCTGGACCAGATGCTGGTAAAGGGCCAGTACACGCTAAGCTCGTTCTTTTCCAAAGCTAATGGACCCTTCACAGTGATTCTGAAGAACGTGTACGCGGATGCCACGGCCTACTTGGCCGTCGAGCGTGATGGCCACCTGGCCACGGACCGCATCAAGATCGACATCACCTTTTCGGACATGACCATGGACTTCCAGAACCTCGGCATGGTGGGCAGCATCTTCCAGAGCGTGGTGAACGGCGCGCCCAACCTGGTGTTCGACGCCATGAAGCCGTTCATGCTGCAGGAGGCGGACAAGAAGCTGCGCGCCCAGATCGACACGATGATCCAGGACACGCTGGGCGACCGGCGTCTGCCCAACTCGATAACGCCTCTGGACAGCGCCATCGCCATGGCTCGGAAGCTGGTGCGCGAGAAGGGCTACGATCCGTACCACCTGCCCGACGTGAACCGCACCATGGGCGTGTTCAGTGTGCAGCTGACGCACACCTGGATCAACGGAATCTCCAGCTTCTACCGCGTGGGCAACATAACCGCCGGGATGGCCAACAACACGGTGTCGGTGGTCGTGCAGATCGGCACGCAGCAGGTGACGGGCGCCGGCCAGTGGGAGGTGGGCCTGGGCATGATGACCCGCGTGGGCCACGTCCAGTTCACCGTGCAGCACATTCGCGCCACCGTGGGCCTGAGCCAGTCGCTGGACACGCGCAAGCGGGCGCAGGTCACCGACCTGCAGTTCGACATGGGCAACATCCAGGTGCGCTGCGACGGAGCCGGAACCCTGGACTACGTCATGGAGTTCGCGGTGAACGTGATCCCCAACCTGCTGCGCTACCAGATCATGGACGCCATCGAGAACCCCATCAAGCAGCGCGTCCAGGAGAAGTTCAACGCCATCGACGTGGAGCAGGTCATCAAGCAGATGGCCCAGAACGACTTCAAGTTCGATCCGAAGATGCTGGGCCTGTGAGCCGTTAGAAAGTAAGAGTTTTTGCAATCGAATAAAGGTTTATCCCTGGAACACGGGGAATCACAAGCTAGTTTATTGTAAGCTATCTACATTGACTGCGTGGCGCAGTGGAATGTGCCTAGGGATCCTTCACACTGAAGCAGAGCAGCTGCAGCCGCATGTTCCGCTTCACCCGCTCCAGAATCTCGTCCGCCTTGCGCTTCTGCTCGCTGCTCAAAGGAGGATTGATGGCCTCCAAAGCCTCCATGAAGTAGTTCCTAAGGATTTGAGAAAGATTAATGAAGGCGCTTCTTGCAAGAGCTTCACCTAGGGAACGTACTTAGCAGTCTCGTTGACGTATCCCTCCAGGGAGTCCCTCAGCAGCCGGATGTCGACGTGCGCCTGTATGGCTCCCGTGAAGCTGAACCGCTGGACGCAGCTCATCAGCCGGGCCAGCTCCTCGGAAATCGTCTGCACAATAGATTCCAGGATCGGACGAAGCAGGGCCGGCGAGATGCTATAAATCTCGGAGTAGACACCCACCAGGTTGTCGCAGCATTCGTGCGCATACGGACGCAACTGGCCGATCTCCATCTCGTGGTCCCACTGGAAGCGACCCAAGTACATGGACGGCTCGATGGTGCCCACCAGCGGGTCGCCCTTGTGTTCCACGTATTCCTCCAGCAGGTTGGTGAACAGCTGGTTTACCGTGTACCGCGCCGTTTCGATGGCCAGCGTGGGCAGTGGGTAGCCGTAGCGCACGAAGATCTCGCCCAGGCGCGGGAAGAAGCTCTTGTTGCAGTACGCGTAATTGGCCAGGCAGCAGAGCATTCGCTGCTCCCAGGTAACGGCCGCTCCTCCGCCGCTACCGGCCACCGAATCAGGCTGCTGGGAGTTTGGAAACCCGAGCAACTGCGACACATTGTGGGTGGGCGTTTCCTCGTCGTGCGAGTGAAAGGCCAGCTCCTCGATCACCGCGCTAAAGGCGGACAGAAACTCCTGGAGCCGCTGCGTCACCTCCCGCTGGCCATCTGACTGCGGTTCAAGCAGATTGCCCTCCCGCGTCTCGCGCTGCATGCACACGGACTGCACCTCGTCCAGCGTTTCGATCAGCAGGGCCTCCAGGGCGGCGGGGAGCAGCGTGGCGCCTGGGTACTCCTCCACGCCCAGCTCCCAGGTCTCCTGGCTGCCCAGCTTCTTGCAGCGGTCCGTCGCCCGCTTGAAGATGATCGAGAAGCAGAAGAGGCGCACCTCGTCTATCAATTTTTGGATAATGTCAAGCGCCTCCGAGGGCAGATCCAAGCTTATGAGCGTGGCGTAGGCGATCCTCGTGTAGCGCAGGCACTGCGGGATCCACGGCAGGAACTGGTGCGTGGCCGAAGCAGAGCCAATGGGCCAGGACAAGCCGCTGGACTGACGCAGGGCGCGCTGATCGGTGGCAATCAGGACAGCCAGCCTCAGGTAAACGCAGAACTTCTCGATGGCGTTCAGTATCATCCGCTTAAAGTCGCCTGGTTTGGGATCGTGCGGGCCGCGCAGCTCTCCGGTGAAGTACAGCTGGCCCAGACGCCACAAATCCGGCAGCTGGGAGGCGGCGATATCGCATAGCTCCTCGCAAAAGTTCACCCGGTTGGGAGCCTGGCTGGGGTCCCTGCTCTTGGACTTCTCCTGCGCACCTGAGTCCTTGTTGGCGTGCTGGTCGAAGGTCTGGCGGAAGGTGGCCTCCAGGTACTTGGCCCTGGCTTCGATGGCATCCCACGCGGGATCGACGAGGCGCAGCTTATCGCCGATCGGGGTGCCGCTCTGCTGCAGCTCCAAACTGATCAGCGCCATGATCAACTTCTTCTGTTGCTCCACACTCTGTGGCATCTTGACCACTTTCTCGTGCAACTGCTTTCGAATGGACAGAATTCTCTGGTCCACCTCCTCGAGCACCTTGCGGAATATGGGGATCTCAGTCTTGCCAAAGAGATTCTTGGCGCGCGAGTAGTCGTTCACCACGATGTCGTATTCGCTCGCTTTGGCGCGACGATCCACCGAGTTGGGCAGGCAGAAGAGGAATTTGTGTCGCGACAGGGCGAAGAGAACGGACCGCGTGGAATCGGCCTTCTCCTTGCGCACCAGCACATCGGTAAAAATCTTCTGCGATTCAGTGATTGAGTCTGCAAGCAAGAGTGGACTTTACAATCAAAGTTATTTCAAAAATGACCAAACTTACTCTCTATCGAGGACTCCAGGATATTCAGGGTCTCGTTGCCGTGCAGCTTGACATCCTCCTGCAGCTTGTCCCGAATGTTCATCAGTGTGTCGAGCTGGTCGATCACAGAGCCCGCATTTGATTTAAGGAAGGATAGCTGCCCCTCCTTCTGGCTCTCCACCTTGCGCTTCAAGTAGGACAGGCCAGCCTTGAGGTCCTCGAAGGAGGTGGCCAGGTGGTTCTCCAAGAGGAACCAGGCAGGTGAGAAGTGCTCCTGCGACAGATCGCCGCAGGCCTCGGGAAACAGGTCACGCAAGTCCTCGGGGATCTTCTGCTCGTTTCCCTCGATGGACAGGCCGAGGGGGTCTTCCTGCGTCAGGCCGGATTGGGCCAGAGTGCGACGACCCCAGGCAAAATTCTGCGAAGGCGATTCCTCGATCCACACGGCTGACTCTTTCAGTGGACCAATGGTTTCGTGGTAGGCACGGAATTGCACAGTCGACGTGCCCACTCCGCCGCTCAAAGTGGTCACTATGATGTCGCCCTTTCCCTTCGCCGGACCTGTTCGAGCTATAATTTTGTTGGGCGACTTCCATTCCGCGGACAGTAGGCAATCGGAGCCGCAGATTTTTAGGCCTTTGATTGGGGGGATAGTCATAGGAAAAGCTGATAAATTGAGAGAGACTACGCCTACCGATTAGATCTTGCACCCGAGTGCCCAGGAACTCGCCGCGGATGATGACGCGGGTGCCAGGAGGTCCCTCCTTCGGGGAAAGCCCTGTTACCACCGGCTGTGGCGCCATCGTAGGCTTTTTTATCCAAAAAGATTGGTCAAAACTTTAATAAAAACAGAGAACCTAGTTTTAATGCAAAAGTGTTAGTAAACGCAAGTTTTTTGCCAGTGTTTTCAGCATTTTTATTGAATGTACATACGTCAATTATGGCTATTTAAAAGTGTTCATTTTTATTAATTTTTGTCCTTTTTTATTTACCTAAACCTTTAAATGTAGAAAATAATAATTAACTTTTAATTTGATTCGACAGAAGTGTGGCTTGCAAAATAAAGTCACAATAATTTTAAACCACATTAATGTTCCACTAAAACCGTAGCTCTTGACAACACTAAATTGCTCGGGCTCGGTAGGTTTAAGATTTAAAAAAAATATATAGATTACCGATTTGTAAAGCTGTAAGAATATAAGAACACTGCCCACATGTTGGCGGTCAATTGTGTATTCAAAAGTTGTGTGCATTCCATAGCTCAGTGGTATAGGCTCTATTAACAATTTTCATCAAAAGTTTTTAACCTATTTTTTTTATTTTAAGCTGAAAATCCTTTTAAAAATTATAACAAAATTTACATTTTATTTGACAATAAGTGTTGCTTGCAAAATAAAGTCACAATGAGTAAAAACTGCCATTAATATATAGCTATGTTCGGAGCCCTAGCCATCACTGAACTGCTGCAGCTTAGCATCACTGAAGAAACCTGCCATCGCTGAACAGCTGATCGATTGTTTCCAAATTGCCGCAGAAAAATGGATGACGTCGCCACCGCACAGAGCGAGAATGAGAATTTGCGGAAGATTCGCAACCGCCTTATGCAGTGGGAGTCCAAAACGGACCCGCTGGCGGCGCTAAGTATTCAGCAGGAAGAGCACCTGGACGTTCTTACCAGTTTGTGGCGCGACAGTGGACCATCGGTAAGAGGGCTCCCCAGGACAGTTAGTAAACTCCAAAAACTCATTCGTTCCCTTACAGGCAACGGCTCCGACCACGCCCACCCAGTCCAACCAATTGGAGGTGGTGGCAGAAACTCCTCCACAAAACAGCGACGACATCGAACTGCCATCTGGGGGACTGCAGAACACCAACGACTTTCTGCTCTGGTTCGCAGACGTCAGCGCCGAGATCGAGCAACGTGGCGACGCCGATTACCACAAATACCTGCATCAGCTGGAGCAGCGTAAGGCCGAGTGCTCCCACATGCTGGACCAGATCGCGGGCGCTATGGAGCGACTGGGTGCCCTGTGCGACGAGTACGACTTTGTGTCACAGAAGACGAGCGCTCTGAACACGGCCAGCGAGCAGCTAATCGAGGAGCAGGAGAAGCTGCAGGACCTGAGCCACGAGATCCAGCGCAGGCTGCACTATTTCAGCCAGGTGGAGCTGCTCAACCAGCGCCTGCAGAGCCCCACGCTTTCGGTGGCCAGCGAATCGTTCCGAGAGTGTCTCAACAAGATCGACGAATGCCTGAACTACATCGAGGAGAACGTGAGTTGAGGTTTTTATCTTTAATCATTCCTATCTTTAGAACCTTCTTTGACAGCCCAAATTCAAAGACGCAGCCGCCTACAACGTTAAGTACAGGCAGTGCCTGGCTAAAGCCTCGGGTCTTGTGCGCAACTATGTGACCGCAGTGATCAATCAAGCCACCGAGGCCACCCTTCATCCAAAAAACAATTTGCCAGATGCCTCCTCGGCCCTCAAGGCGCCGGATGCTGCCTTCGCCTTGTATTACGGAAAGTATCAGACGGCTGCGGCAAAAGTGAAGCGGGTGGCCCAGCTAATCGAGTCGCGTGCGGAGCACAGCCAGGACTACGCCCAGTTAATGGCGGACCTGCAGCAGCACTACTTAGCCCAGCGGGCCAGCGTAATGTCGCCGGCGGTGAATCTGTCCATACAAAACGTCAAAATTGCCCACAAGGGTGATCACTGTTCGCTGACCCGCAGTGCCTGTGCCTTTCTGGTGCACGTTTGTCAGGACGAACAGCGTCTTTTCTACCAGTTTTTTAGCACAGGAGCTCCACATCTGACGTAAGAATATCCAAATACCTAAATAGCTCTAGGATTGCACTCAATCTCTTACACATCTTTTCAGGGTTTACCTAGAGGGCTTGTGCACGATTCTCTACGACACCATGCGGCCCTTTATCATTCACATCAACCACTTGGAAACGCTGGCGGAGATTTGCTCAATTCTACGCATAGAAATGCTGGAGGAGCACGTCCAGCAGAACCGTAAGAAAACGAAATCGCCGTTGTATTTAAATTCCCACTTATTATTCTTCTGTTGATCAGCTGCTGCCCTAGAGGCCTTTGCCACCATCGCTCATCAACTGCTGCAGGATGTGCAGGAGCGTTTGGTTTTCCGAGCGCATTTATATCTCCAGTCGGACATTCAGAACTTCAATCCATCATCAGGAGACTTGGCGTACCCGGAGAAGTTGGAAATGATGGAGGTGAGTGGCAAAAAGTGATCCCAAAAATAGTTTTAATTAGTTACTTATTTTAGAGCATTGCCTTGTCGCTCCAAGAACCTCCCGCTTTGCGTCGATCGGATTCTCGCAACTCCATGATTTCTAGTGTTTCAAGTGCTGTGGAGACGGAGAGCGTGGACACTGCCTACAGGGTGAAGCAGATGAGTGAGTTTAGCTGATATTATTAAGATAACCGCTAATAAATTTATTTTTAGATTCCCCTGCTGATCTGCACGGCATGTGGTATCCCACAGTGCGCCGAACACTGGTGTGTCTTTCAAGGCTTTACCGCTGCGTGGATCGCCCCATTTTCCAGGGACTCTCTCAGGAGGCTCTCAAGCTCTGCATCCAGAGTGTCTCTCATGCGGCGGGCAAGATTTCAGCAAGCAAAACCCCCATTGACGGCGAGCTGTTTGAAATCAAGCATCTACTCATTTTGCGGGAACAGATTGCCCCGTTCCGTGTGGATTTTACGGTGAAGGAGACCTCGCTGGACTTTAGCAAGGTCAAGACAGCTGCGTTCGGTTTGCTGCAGAAGCGCAAGCAGCTCTTCTCCATGGGCAGCAACAATGCCCTCCTGGAATTTCTGCTGGAGGGCACGCCGCAAATCAAGGAGCATTTGTTGGATTCCCGAAAGGAAGTGGACCGTCAGCTGAAATCGGTGTGCGAGAAATACATCAAAGATGCGGTGCACATGCTGGTGGGTCCGCTCGTCACATTCCTGGAAAAGGCGCAGAGCCTGTTGTCGCAATCCACCCCAGCAACTCAGCAATTGCCGGAGTCCGCTAAAGCCAGTTACGCTTTGAGGCAGAGCCCGTGGGCCAGCCCGCAGCAGATAAGCAGTATCATCCAGGAGACACAGCGGCTGATAAAAGCAAAGTTGGCGGTCCTTCAGCGATCTATGCAGCTCTACCTGAGCAATCGTGATACGGAATTCATTATATTTCGACCGATTCGGGTAAGCTTCAATTTAATGCGATCATAAATAATTAACTATAATTTGATTCCTCTTTAGAACAACATCATCCAGTCGTTCGTGAAACTGGAACAACTTCTCACCACCAATGGTTACTCCACAGATGATATGATCATCACGAGTTGTCCGTCGGCGGAGCAAGTGTCCATTCTGCTTTCTAGCGCCAGTATATTGGCCGCCGAAGGCGTCGCCAGTTTTGCAGCAGCAGCTCGGAAAATCAGCACCTCTTCTTCGGTGGAAGGGCACCCTGTTGGCAGAAAGCTGAGCACGTTGTCCAACAAATCCGAACTGGTGGAGCAGCCGAAGGCTGAAGCTGCTGCCCAGATAGAAGTGGTTCCCGCGGAAGGACCGTCGACGGAAAAGATCTTGGATACACCTACGCAGGCCATTTCCGAATAATTGCAATCTATCTTTTATAATTACTTGTATCTATTTATGTAGCTAAGCCTTGTATCATATTTATCTGTTTAGAGTTGAGTAAGATCGGTTTGCAATAGGGCCAACTAGCTGATTTCCCTTTCAAATATCCGTGTTAAACAACTCCATCTATGCTTTCCAAAAATGTAGAGTTAACATTGATTTATTTTTGCTAAACCACGTAGAATGTGACGAAGTCGAAGTAAATTACCAACAAATATTACGATAACGGAGTTTGATTAACATCTAAATAGTTGGGCAGATTCCTTGCTGCTGGTCAAGTGATGGATATGTTGAGAGTTCTGGGCTTTCTGTAAACTAGGACAGCAGGCACTTGTCTTTGGCGTTTCCCTGCTGGTTGCCGGCCCCGCCCACGGCCACCTGCTGGGGGTTGTTCTGGGTTGGAGCTTGGCGGTTGCGTTCCGCCGCGTCATCCTGCTCCATGATTGATAAGGCAAGGGCTCGCGCGAGGGCCTCGTCTTCACTCTAGAAGTAATAAATTCATGGAAATAAGTTCGATAACAGTCTAGAAAACTCTGGAGATTTTTAATACAGATTCTATTTAGTCGAAGTACGAAATTTGTAAGCTTATAAATTTGAAATGCCCATCTTTTAATTCAAAGAAATGTGTATTAAAATCTCAAAAGTTCAAGAACCTTTATACGTGTGTTGACAATTCAACGACCCCTTGTTTTGCCAACTCACCATGTTTCCCTGAATATTTTGTACTTGAGTGGCTTGCACAGGTCTTGGTCTGGGATTGGAGTTAGAATTGCTGGTGCTGCTGTTAGTGGGTTTGGCCTGCCTCCGCCGCTCGGCAGCCTGGGCAGCCATAGACCTAGTGTCCGAGGAGGTCTTGAAAATGGACTGCCATCCTCCACTGACAGATGATGTAGATGGATTCACTGGCGCTGGCTTGCAGTCGTGGTCACTGGTGTGGCGATGACGCAGGCAAAAGTTCAGGTGGCACTGGGAGCAGGTCACCGGGATGAGCTCCTTGCGCTTGCAGTTCTTGGCGTGACAGCGATTCGTGTATATCTTCTTGCTCTCCGACTTGCACTGCTGGTCGATGTGCTGGCCCACGGTGACGTCGGGCTCAACTCCTGGAGGCGTGGGTACGGGCTCACGGCACAGTGGACAGATGGGCACCTGGACGTTTTTCCTGTGGGCACTAGGGCAGTTGTGGCGCTCGTAATTGTAGTGCGAGGCGCAGAAGACCTTGTCGCAAGAGTCGCACTTCACGGGCAGAAAATCTGCTCGTGGATCGAAATTAATTCAATTAGTTTTTGCTTCCTGGTTGGCCCTGTTTTGCGTCTCACCTAGTCTGTTGCAAGTTGGCTCGCTGCAGTGCTGACCCAAGTGCGGAAACTCCATGGCTTTGCTTTTCTAGTTGCTGTATTGTTTGAAACTGATTACTAAAGTTACAGAAGGCCTCTTATATGGCTGTTTTTGGAAAACTTCGAGAAACAAATGGGATCGAAAATGACTAAACACTTATTCTTCTTCTTTTTGATTAGGGAAGTGTGGCCGTAGCTTCTATATTTAATAGCGTTCTTTTCTCAATAGGAAAAGAGTAAAATACCAAAACTAAAAATACCACAAATGAAAAGAGAAATTTGGCGGGAGATTCGATTTAGGTAAATTCCAACTGTAATAAAATGAATAAATTTAAAATCATTAATGTGCACAAGACAACACAACCACTATTTACATCTATACATATTTACAAATTTATTTGTTGAAATGCTCTCTTTGTCATGATACAAAATGTTTAATAGGAATATATATATATATAAATACATAAATATACCAATGGGAAAACTATTTCCCAATTATAACGGTATAAACTTCAATTTTGAAATGGCCAATGAGTCTGCTTCTCTTTCATCTAACTTTTAGATCCACATTGCCGAGTTTAAGATAATACCAAATACTTGCTTAGAATGAGAATCAGCTTTCTGCGAATGTATCAAAAGCCTTGATAATAATTACTGTGTACGAATAAAGAGATATTGGCTTTGTGAAAGCAACGACAAAGTTCAACTTTTCTATGCTTGAGAGGAATCGAAAGCAGTTTCATAAAAATACGAGCTGCGGCGGCGAATATAAGTGCTGAAGGCGAAATTGTAGCTCCAAATCGGTAGATCAAGAACGAATTTGGTCCCGCTGAATGAGTTCATAGCGCGCTTAGCTGTTGGTTATTCAAAAGTTTCTGGAAATGCATCGAGAATCGGAAATTAAGTTAAACGATTTCGCGGGCAAACGGAGCAAAGGCCTCCCAGTAGCTGACGATCTGGAAAACAAAGAGAAGATTGTTAACCTATTTAAAGTGTGTATATATTTGTATCCACCTGTTGCTGATGCGCCATTTGGTCTTCTATGTACTTGATAATGTTTACTTTAAAGTCTTTAACTCTGGTCAATTCGAAGCGCTCCATTTCCCGCTTGATTTCCGCAGAAATGTCGTCGAATTGTTGCTGACAGCGTTGCACCTTTCCCTGCCACTGGGAAAGCAAGCGAGAGGTTAATTACAGTGGGAAATACTCATTTTTAGTTCTTACCTCGTCCACTTCCTGCTGCGCCTGGTCCAGCTTGTCCGCCCTGTTGGCCAGCTCAAAGCGACCGCGGTTCTCGCGCCGCTTGGACAACTGCATCTGTGCGTACTGCCAGTTCTGAAAGGCCTTCACGCGCTCGTGGAAAATGCACTTAATAGCACCGAACAAGCCCAGGTAGTCCTTGATGAACTCCGCCAGGATAAAGAAGTCTGAGTTAGCCTGCTCGGAGCGCAGCAGCTCGATCTTTTCTTCCACGTCCGCCAGGTTGGACAGCGCCCTCGAGAGTCCGGTGTGCTCCTCGCAGGTGCTCAGCATGGCCGCCGACTTGGCCACCAGGCCCGTCAGCAGCGACAGTTCTCGCCGCGAGGTGACCAGCGACTTCATGGCGTTATGCAGCTTTTGCAGATTCGCGTCTAGGCTCTCCACCTCGGTGATCTTGTCGTCGAACCACGGGTCGTTCTCGTCCATCTTGTAGGTGATCTTGTTGACCGTCTCGCCCACCTTGTTGAACAACCGAATCACGCCGGCTCCGCTAAGAGCCGATGTATTGACCGAGCGCGGCAGCTCCTGGTCGCTCTCCAGGAAGTTCATAAAATCCAGGTCGACGCGCAGCACCGGATGCTGGGCGGTGCGGTGTACGAACCGCTCGAGAGCCGCCCTGCGGATCTCCACCCACTCCTGATTAACCGGCGTACCCGGTTCGCTCTGTTGCGGACTGATCTTTACCTTGGTGCTGCCGATAATGTTCTTGGAGGGCGCCGGCGGAATGATGCGGCCCAGCCGCATGTACTTGCCCACCAAAAGATCATGGATGCCCAGAAAATCGCTGAAGCGACGCATTGTGCTGAACTCGCTGCGCTTGAATTTGGGAATGTTCGTCTTGGTCGTTACCCTGGGGGGAGCAGATAAGGTTTTTATAGCAAGGCTTTACTATGCACTCAATTTTATAAGATAAGGCCCGCAGGTGACTCACTTGTACGCCAAATAGGAGCCCATGCCATCTCCGATTTTCTGCGGGTCCGAGACCACAACGCTGATGAAGAAGTCTCCGTCGTCGGTGAGCACCTCCTGCAGCGGCTGGAGGGGATTGGGAGTGGAGAAGGCAAATAAATATTTATTAGCATGCAACAAGCTTTTCTGGTGGGCGGCACTCGTGACGTAGTCACAAAGCCAAACAAAGCGAGCGCTGATAAAACGACCGACGCCCCGCAATTGGAGGCAATTTAAGGGTGCTGCCGATCTGGGTGGCTTCCGGTTGTAGTTGCTGCGACTTACATGTATATCCCCGATGCTGGAGGGACTCAGAGCCGACACAAATAGGTCGCTTTCATTCCGATCCAGTGTCACACTGCCCGGCGCTGGAACCTCCTCCTCCTCGTCCTCAGAGCCCGACGGCACACCATTGTTGATGTCCACCTCGGCGAAGTCGCGCGTGTGTTCCGGGCTTTCCACCTCCATTTTTGCTCTGTGGTTCCTGTTTTTTAAATTATTTTAATTTAATTGTAATTATCGGAATTCCTTTCTTCTTTTTCGTAATGGAGTGACCAGAGTGCAAAAGCCACAACAATATGCAAAGCTCTAAGCTTTCGGTATTTATATTAAAGATGAAAAAATACTATAATCCGTGACTGACAGTCACAGTTTACTTTAAAAAAAACCGTTACAAGGTGGTTTGTAATTTACAAAAAAGTAAAATAAAAGTTAAAGTAAATTAAAGTAAAGTTTAAATTTAGTTTAAAGTAAGTTAAATAAAATAGGCAGTACTAGATATTTTCACAATTGATTTTTATGTTACTTATAAAAATCGCAGTTTTTGCTTATTAAACTAAACCTGTAGTTTAATTTTTCTTATGATTTTTAATTTTGAAAAATTTTCTTTGCCAAGCCTTTTGAATATTCAAATGAATAAACATCATAATTTCAAAACTGATTTGATTTGGCAAATGCAGATTTAATTACTTTAAAACCAGAAAGTTTTTGGCGCAAACAAGATTTTCTTTTGTTGATTTGTTTTTCTAGAGTTGTGGAGCGGGGAAAGTAAATGGAAAATGAATTGGGTTAATAAATTAGTAAAAGTAACGTTTAAGTAAAAAGTAACACTGCATAAAGAATAAACTTCACTAGAAAAGCAATTTATGAATTTGAATGTGAGTCTGGAAAACAACTAGTTTATTAGAGCAAAACACCACCCACTAATAACTGTCGAAATAGTTCTGTCCTTCTTGCAACTTTCCCTCCCTTCGAGGCAACCTGCATTCTGCTTAACTTTTCGAAAATAAACATTTGGCCAACAACATGCACGACACTTTGTCGACATCTTGGCTAAGAGTGAGATTTCCAGCTATTTCTGGGTCTCTTCTGATTTTCCTCTTGTGTTTCCCTGGTTCTTTTCAAGCCTGGCGCACATTTTTATGCGGAAAATTTTTCAATTTCTGCAATTGCAACTTTCTGCTGCTGCTGCTTGTTTTCCACCTCTCGTCCTCCCCGGTTTTTTGGCGACTTTTGTTTAAATTATGCATACAAAAGTGTCGCAGCCACTTAGGAAGACAGGAAAAGTGGGGAGCGGCGTTGGGTGGGAAAAGTTTGCCAGCGCTCGGCCACTCACTGTGGATTTTCCGCATGAGAAATACTTTTAACACTTTCTGTTTGCCTTTTCCAACAAATTGAAAACGAAAATAGGGGATTGCAGGGTCAGGTTTTTGGAGGGGGTAACCGGCAGATTTATACCCCCGATGTCTGCGAGGAACCCCGCTCGCCACTTTATCTTCGCCCGTCGCGACAAAATCCTTTTACACTTTATTAATTTTATTCCCTTGTTGCCTTTGATGATCTGCAATTTCCCATTAATGCGCACTTTTCGTGAATTTTTTCGTCTGCTGACGCACTTGAGCCTCGTCACCGGCATTATCCTCTTCCACATCAGCGGACCGCGATTAATGAAGAGCTGCGGTTTAATTGCCAGCAGCCTGGCTTTAATGGTTAATGGCCCAAAGGCAGGGGCAAAGCCGTCCGAGGTGCGAAGCACTCCCGAGTGCACACTGAATGGGAATTGCTCAGAGTCAATTAATTATCCGGGGGCCACTGCACCTGGGGGATTGAGATAGGAGCGCTCTAGCGTTTACGATTTGAATTTAACTAATCTACAAGAGCAGATAAAACCTGCGATAAGAAATCAAAATTCCTACTTTCAATTGAAATTGATTGGGTTAATAACTGGTTTCACAAATTTGTAAAAAGAAAACTCACTGATTAATAGGTTATAAATTCTCAATTAATTACACTACCCCTCCAGGAAAGCAATGTTAGTTTCCCTTTTCATTGCATTGTCCTGCTCGCTTATCACATGCAATGACCCCCAGTTAACCACATAAATCATCATTATAAGCATATTTGCAACTGCCCCCAACTAAACCGCCGACGAACCAACTCGTGGAGAACCCAGTGCTAATTACTGTAATTTGGGAGGAGGGCGGTAAGGGGCGGTAAGGGGCGGTAAGGGGCGGTAAGGGGGTTATGCAAGCGGAGATGAGAGCTGCTAGCCACTAGTTTGTTATCCCGCCAGCGATAATGTTTGTCAACAAACCGGGAGGAAAAAGTTGTACATCACAGAGGCGTGACCAAGCCAAGTTAAGAGAACGGGGAAGATTGAGAACGAGATGGCCAGCAGACACTTGTTAGCTGGTAATTATTCAGGCATGTTCGCCTTTCTGGCCAAAAGTATCCCAGAAGGTCACTCACTTGGCTTACTTCCGATGGGTAATGACTTCAATATGAAAGAACCTGTACTCTTAGAGCATCGAATAGTTATTTATTAGATTCCCTTTCATCGTAGGCTAAACTGTAATCCAGCACCATGTCGTTGATCACCTTTTTCACCTCGGTGGCAAATATAAAGTCCAAGTGCCCCCAGGTGGGATCGGGAACCTCGTGCAGCAGAGCCAAGTTGGGCAGGAGATCGGGCAACCGGGAGACATCGTTCTTGTTAGCAGAGCCATCCGACAACCCGTAGTACAGATAAAGCTCAGAGGTGATCTTGGAGAGATCGTACGCCGGAGGATCCTCCACTCCGTAGTACTCCAAGTTCTTGCGGCTTCCCCAGTCGTACAGACGGAAATCGTTGGAGGCGAAGGACTGGATGTAGTGAATCGCCTGGTTGGTGGAAACTCCAGCGGGATGTGTTTCGGCAATTTGCGGAAGGAGGGTCTAGTACAGAAAACGAATTAAATGATTTAAGTAACTAACTGGTTACTTTATAGATCCACCCACCTGATTAAGGTTTCCGATTTCAGGACCTCCCCAAAGCATTGCCAAGGTCTTGCAGTAGCTCAGCATGATGGGCTGATTGCTGCAGAGGGTATCCAGTATCCTCTGGATGAAGTGGTTCTGTGGCAGCAGGACCTGGTTCTCCAGGAGCGTAGAGCCCACTCCGTGGTGTCCGAAGTAGGGAGCCGTGGCCACGATCAGCCCCTCCGTGGTGTTGCCCATGTAAACCGGAGGGGCCAACATGTGGGCCGTCCTGATCTTGGCATTGTACTCCGGCCGGAAGGAGCCCATCACGAAGAAGGAGGTGCATCCCTGCGAGTGACCCACGTAGTGGAGGGAGGTCTGCCCCGTGACCTCCAGGATGTAGTCGATCGTGGTGGGCAGGTCGATGGAACCGATCTCGTGCCAGCTGAACCTCCAGAAGTTCGGGTGCTTCACACTCAGCCTGGTGTTGTTCCGCGAGTAGATGTTGCCACGGGCATTGCCCAGCCAGACATCGTAGCCGGCATCCGCGTAGTTGAACGGCAGCGCCGATTCCGGACCATTGAGCAGGAAGCAATCGGAGCAGCTGAACAGCCCGTGCATGATGAGCACCGCCGGCCGGACCGGGGATTCCCCCGGTTGGGCGCTGCCCAGCTTCGGGGAGTACGGGATGCGGAACAGGTTGAGCACATAGCCATCGGGGGTCTCCGCATAGTGCGATTCGGCCGGGTAGCCATGCGCCTCGATGCGCTCCGCCTGCAACGAGAATCTGGCTTGAATCTCCTCTCTGAATGGGTTCTCAGATTGGCAAACATCGAATTGAATTTTAGGTTGGGAAAGGAGTAGAAACGAATTCGTTTCTTTAAAAAATACAGTAACTGAACTCTAAATGGCATTTCCGAATTATTGATAAACCCACCGAAGTCTTGATTCGCTTAAAGGGAATGTCTATGAAAGGATCAAACTCGTCCTTTCCCTCCGTTAAGGCCAGAATGGCTAAAATAATCAGCACTCCTTTCAGCATTTTTGGGTGAACTTTTGCCTTTGAGATCGGTCGTACGACTAAGCGTTTTCGCAAATACCTATTCATCAGGTTTGGCCTAATCTAATCTGTCGATTGACTTCGAGTGAGGCCATTTATTAGCGCTTCCTTGATACCAGAAAATAGCCGCGTAAATCCAAGATTTATAATTATCGCTGTCCAATTGGATTGTTCCAGGTGATTATCGCAAAGCGATACGAATACCCTAGGGGGTACCTTCAATTGCTTTATTGGTTTTAACAGCAATAAGCTAATGAGATTACCAGGTACTCAAATGGGTAGTTTTGACTTGGCGAAAATTGCATAATTTGCAAGTTGAGCAATATTTAGTGGCTATTAAACATCAAAAGCAAATTTACAGGCTGTAAGCTCTTCAAAAGTAATTAATAGTAATAGCTTAATTTTTAAAGAGCTTAACATGAGCAGCAAAAGCAAATTATTACTCCAAACCTGTTGAAGCAGTCACAAAAACTGTTTTTTTTTCTTAAACCCGACTAGCCATTAATTGAAGGCAATTTAAAGTGCAGCATTATAACAGAAATTACCTCAGAGCAGCCGAACAAGAACTGGGATATGTTAACAATGGCTTCTAGAAGTCTGCTCGCCAACTTTAATTAACTGGCTCCCCATTCCCAGATGAAATGGAGACCGCACAATTCCCTGGATCCAGATCCTCTCTGGCGCAATACAATGCCCCTTTTAGCCGTGTTCCCCCCAATCAGACAGAAATTGCAGAACACGCCTATCAACGAGTTGCGCCTGACTAGCTGCGATTTTTGCATTATGTCAGTGAATTGTAATGCGGCAAGATAGCAAAGGATGGCAAAGGATGGCAAGGGATTGCTGAGCGGGGAGAGGGGGGATTCGACTGGGTGGCCAGTGGGTGGTGCTTGCCACGGGCTGGAGATTGGGCGGTGGCACGCCTACCTCGGATTGGCATTAAGCGTGGCAAAAGCCACAAATTGCGAGCATCGATGATGGTCGTTCTACATGAGTTCCCTTCTCAAAGTCTTAACACACTAAGCAATAAGAAATTCGATTCCGTAACAATCAAATGAAAAGATTAATATTATTATTATATGGAAACATCAGCAAATACATTTTATAATTCAATATAATATATTGGTGATTAAAGATAATTTATTTTAGAAAAATAGGAAATTGTTTATATATTTTCTCCCAGTGTAGGACCTCTCGTTCCTCCTGTGTCTACGGGTGAAATGTGTGTACGAGCATGTGAGTGCGGTATTGTCACGGCAATGTCGGCGCCGTCGGATATTCGGAGGAAAGAAAGATAAACCGAACCAAACGCAAATGCGGTTCATTGAAATTATGTGAAGTGCAGGGAGGAACCCTGGAAACTCCCCGAGGGAAAAGGAAAAAGAGTAAAAGGCGGGCCAGACATCCCAGCCGGAGACACATTTTCCGCGAAACACAAGCTGGAAAATATTCAGCGACAATGGAAAAAGTATGGACGTAGTTGAAAACTTTTTACGAACATTTCAGGGGAACAGGAGAGCAATTATCCCAGGAAATACATCAAGTGATTCTATTATTTTATAATTTTGTTTGACAATTTCGAGGGCAAAGTACTCCCAGTAGGAGGATTTGGTAAGACACTCAAAGCAATGGAAAACTGTGTTAACGTCTGTTTGCTTAGCAAATTACGATTGCCGGACGAATTGGAGAAATAAAGCACTTATTCGTTGCCTTTTTCTGCTCGTTTGCCAAATTGTTTTGCGGTCTTCTCTTCATCTCGTTGGGTTTGCTCGGCACTTTCTACTTGAAATTCAATTAAACAACTTAATTGGCCGCCTGATGAGCACCGACTGTCTGCCAAAATGCATTTCGATTGCATAAAAACCGTCTCTTTTCGCCATTTGGTCTTATGCGAAGCCTGAGACAATTTTCCACCCGCCAGCTGGAATCGTGACTTATCATAAATCTGAAGTTGCGCCGTGCCACGTCTATCCGCAAAGTATCCACAGATATGGCCAAGTGTTAGGTGACACAGACACCCCAGAGGTGGCAAAAACAATAACCAATAACAACGTTGTCATCAATGTGTCAAGTCTGCGTTAATGGCCGAGTCAAGAAGCCACTTACAAGCCATCTGCGGAGCCAACTCAACCTGCCCTTCATCGTTGGTTTCTTCAGGGGTCAGGACTGAGTTGAATGTCACATGTGTACATATGCATACAGATATACAAACATTACTTTGAAATATAATAATGCAGAGAGGTCACTTCAATCAGATCCCTAAATATTTCCCATTTTACTTGTGGTTAAATTCATATCTTTTTCCCTTAATAAAGAACGATTACTTAAGCCTTTTCCATGACCAAAAATTCCTCTTCCACAGCGCATAACTTGACCAAATGGCTCTTTATTTAAATCTGAATTCCTCAGAGAGTAGGAATATTTTAAAATACTCTTGGCGTTACTAATTGCGCAATTTGGGGAATCAGGAGACCCAGTTAAACCAATTCAGGACTAAAAGTAAGCAGCTCAAAGGGGAAGCACTTGCAGCTGCGATGATTTGCAGACATCAAGTTGCATGCGAGATATCAAAATGCAATATTTCCAGTAGAATAAATTTGCGAACTCCCCTAAACTGCTGCTTTTCGTATTCAGGAACGAGTATGCATATGGCATGGTAGCAATTTTTTTGCCTGCTTGCAATTGACAAGCACAATAAATTGTGAAATATGGCCGTTGCCTTGCCAGCTCCTCCGCCATCCGCACTTTCGTCCTGGATCCTCCTCGACAGGGGGGAATATTAAAATGCAGCTATGTGTGAGTACAGTGCAGGATGTGCAAGCAAGTGTGTAAATGAAAAATAAATATGAATGCAATAGAACTAGAAAGAAAGTAGAGTTTAGCAAAAGAGCTCGATGTGCTCTTGATAAAAACCAATTTAAATTTTAGCCGCTTTTGGAAAAAACATACACAGAATTCATTAAAAGTTGTAATCAAAAGTATAAATCATTTTGAACACAGTTTTTGTTGCATAAATTATTCAAATATTCTCCACTTTTTACAACTAAAAAAATTGTAAATGTAAATAAAATAAAATACTTTTTCTTAATGTTTAAAGAGTAACAGCAGAGTATGGCTCTTCTGTCATATAGATCCGATATTTGAAGAGCGTCAGGAAGGAAAGCCCCAACACTTTGGCTCCCATTTAAAAGATAAATGGCAGATGAAAATCGTTTCATTTGTTTCGGTTCGTCCTCTATATTTTACAGAGTGATTTCCGATGCGTCTGGTAAATTGTTGCGCACATTAAATTGCAGTTTAATGTGCACACTGAGCCATCATCATCGTGGGCACCCCACGAGGTGTTTCGACGTGTCAGCGAGGGGTGGCCAACTGGACAGGTGAGCAGGTGGACAGGCGGACATCTGGACAGGTGGACAGGTGACCACAGCGCGGAAAAGCAAGCCAAACATGTGTCGGGCTTTAATTATGTCATAACACTAGAAGGAGGAGGGGGAGGAGCAGATGGGGAGAGGGGCGGGGTCCCAAAGGTGCTCAAACATGATATGGCATGTTTGTTTTAAAAACAAGCGAAAACGCTCGATTTGCATTTGTCAAACAGTCGACATTAAATTCTCTGTTTACCTTTGCCCTCGTTCCGAATCCATTCGATTTAATTGGAGTGAAGGTGCAGGAGGGGGGTAAAGGTTTAAAGCCTTTTTAAACAATTTTCAATAAAGTTCAGCTAACAGGTTGAAACCTAAATACGTGTTAGGTAATTTAACTCTGATCCCGTTTTCAACAAATTGACACCGGTCAAAGTGGCATTACTTTACACTATTCGATACCATGTTTTTTCGGTTTTGCCACTTATGCCACAAATGTGTTGGCAACTCGAGCCCCGCCCCCTTTACCGCCCACCGCTTTATAAACAGCAGCAACTAACTCATGCAAAACCAATTAGGTGCGGTCGTTTCGCATCGCAACATCAACACGATGATGCATTGTGCCACCCTCACCCTCCCCCACCCCCTTTCCGCCCTTCTGGCCATTACACTTTAACCAAGTTTTAATTATTGCAACGAACGCTGGCTTTTCGGGATGTGTGAGTGTAAGCTGCATTTTGAGCGAAAATGCAGCTGCAAAATGTATCACTTTTCGTGCTTTTCGGTTTTCCTTCGCTTTTTCTGCACTTTTCGCTAGCTGATTTTTAATAATCTGCGATCTCGAAGCCGCTTCTTGGCCAACTCTCATCTGCTCATTAACGGAGTGCTCATGCATCGCATCTCGAGTGGCAGTTGTTTCTACACAAGCCAAAAATATTCGTAAATCTTTGCGAACAATAGTAAAAATCCCAAGAAAAACATTAAAGTCTTTTAAAACCATAAAAATTCAAACTGATTGTAATTAAACCAGATTAGTTACAAATATTTTAAGACACATTTACTATTTTGTTTGCTGCTGTGTAGTTGCTGGTTGCTTCAGCTTGGCTAACTTTTGCAAATCCAAAAACTTCTTGGCACCTCAAGATGTTGGCCACTGTTGAGCAATTCACAATCGCTCACTAATTGTTGGCCAAATGCTTCAGAGTGGAGTGTGTTGGCCGTAATGGCGGAAGCGTTCGGCGGAACAAGTGCTTTTATTTATGAGGAGAGCAGCCCCACAAAATAGGCCAATGCAGGAAGCAGTTGGATTTAAGTTTTGGTGAAAATATAAAATAAAATAAATACACATATATAATAAAGAATACAAGAACTTAAAATGTGTGTTCGAAGGAAACAAAAAATGTGGGCTTAACATTTTACGACTCAAAGATATTTATTTAGAATTTTTAATTAACTATAAAAATTGTTTGAGTTTGTGATCTGTTAAAACATAAAAATGCAATTTAATGCGGCTTTTTGTGGTTTTTCCATGACCACAAAGCAAATTAAAAGCGAGTGGTAGGTAATCTTTGCTCTGGGTCAAAACTTGTTGCCAGCTGCAATCGAACAAGTCGTTCGAACTCGGCTCGGGGAACTC